CTCCCCTCCCCGCCCGCTCCGCCCCGCTCCGCCTCGCTAACATCCGCCAAGCAAACCAAATCACTTCACCACCACATGCGCCGCCGCATACACCCCAACCCCAACCCCACACATGGCACTGATGACCCCAAACCCCATCGCATACCCGCCCGCCTCATCGCCCGCGGGGAACAGATACGCGCCGTATATCTGCGCCAGGTTGCCCAGCGCGTTGACCAGCGCCAGCGCCACGCCGCGCGCCTCGCGCGACGCCATGCACGCGCCAAAGGCCGACGACGCGTACGCCAGCGCCAGCGCGTTGGCCGACCACAGGCCCGCCGCCATGAGGACGAGCAGCGCGTAGCGCGCGGTGTAGGCGTGTGGGAGGCTGGTGACGGCGATGGAGCAAGCTGTGGAGAGGAGCAGCCAGAGCGAGATGGCGAGGCCGCGCTGTGTGGGGTGCGCGTCGAGGAGGATGGAGGAGAGGATCACGGCGAGGAAGGAGGCGGCGTAGATGGGTACGACCTGTTTTTTTTTTTCAATTTTGTTTTTTTTTTTCAGTCGAGTGGTGGTGGGGGGAAGGAAGCGGGAGGGGACGGTGGGAGTACTGTGTGGGCGACTGACCATGTATTGGGCCATCTGAGAGGTGTAGCCGAGACCTTTGACGAGGGTGGGGTAGAAGTAGGAGAGGGTGGAGGAGCCGACGATGACCTGTTGTCATTTGCGAAAATGGGGTCAGTCAGGTGCGCATGGTTGAGGTGTTTGTATACGTGCCATGTAGCCGACGACCATCAGCCAGGTACGCCAGTTGCGGACGGACTCGGCGATGGCTTGCATCGGGCTGAGGTGGACTTCATCCTCTGTTGCTGCGGCGGCGTTGTCCGACGTCAGCCGGTGCACGGCGAGAGCACGTTGGCGGGCCGAGAGTTTCCTGCTCGTGGCGGGGAAGTCGAGCAGGAGGAAGGCGGATACGACGGACCAGCCGCATGTCGCTACCCCCTCGACAATCTGGCGATATGTGTAAGTGGAGGGCTGGGGAGAGGTTTGCGGGGAGAGAACACACGAAGAGCCACCTCCAGCCGGCGATGCCGTGGGCGCCGTGGAGCCCACCGGTGATGGCGCCGGCGAGTATTCCGCCAAATGCACCGGATAGGACGGCTGCTGAGATGTAGACGCCGAACCGCTTCGATTGCTCGTTCTTCTTGTACCACGAGGACAGGATGAGCAAGATGCCGGGAGCGAAGCCGGCTTCGAAGATGCCGACCACGAAGCGCAAAGCCACCAGTTGGTGGTAGTTGTGCACGGCGGCCATGCAGCAGGTGATGCCGCCCCACAGGAACATTATAGTCGGCAGGAAGATGGAGGGTCGGGTGCGGGAGAGGATCAGGTTGGAGGGCACCTCGAAGACGACGTAGGACACGAAGAATACTATGAGGGAGACGGAATATTCGTCGGAGGTGAGGCGCAGGTCGTCCATCATGCCGGCTATCTTGGCATTTCCGATGCTGTGTGCGGGCCCTGTATCAGTCAAAAGCTCTTCCGGGATCAGGCATTGATAAGGCACTTACTTGGTCCGATCCATGTAGGATAGGAGGTACATGAGCCAGATGGTCGGGAGCAGGAACATGTCGATCTTGCGCACGAGCTTCTTTTCCTCGTCCGGAGAGAAGTCGTAGTCGGGGTCAGGTTTGATTTCATCGTGAGATGGCGTGGCGGCCATGGCTTCGACGTGCTCGATTTCGTTCTTGTCCGAGTGGGGGATGGCCATGGTGGGAGTGAGTGTTGACGGGCGCGTTGGCGAGGGAAACGAAGGGAGGCAATGCAGAGAGTCAATATATGGGCGGCAGGTAACAAGCAGGATCACGACGGATACAAGGCAGGCGATAAGCGATGCAGCAAGGTTCAAAGCCCCGGTCATTATACGGTCAACTCAGCGAAAGGTGGCGCGCTGGGCCATTATCCTCGGTCAGCATTCCAAGAAGAGCAGGGCAAGGGACCTCGGCGACGGAAAGTCCATCAGGGAGCAGCGGGCACGGCGCATGGTGTTAGCATGGGAGGCGGACTTGGTTGGATGAGTGGGCTCGGTGATTCGAGAGTGACCGAGGGCTTGGTGTACTAACCGGCTCTGTTGTGATGCCGGCATTGCAGCACGCGTCACCCACTGCAAGAAACACGGGCTGCAGTGAAGATGGCGTCGGCGTCGAGCACTTCCCCGCAGTTCCCCAGGTACGGATCGCTCTTTTGCGGGGGAGCAGATGGTAACCGGGCCACTGTCGCTCACCTGATTGCGGGTGCCCCGTCTCGTGGTCGCGGGTTCAAGCGGCGTGTCGTTTGGCTGAAGCTTTACGGAAGAAGTGTTTTCGAGGCTAGCGGCGGTGCACGCAGCCAAAGAAAGACGGGCGATATGCTCGGGAACCTTGATCGGGGAAAAGAGACGTTTGAAACGATGTTGCAGTCATGGGTAAACATCCGGGACGGGCCAGGCTAGGGCGGGGATTGGTGCCGGGCGTTGCGGCCTACCCGGCGATGTGCATGGTGACTCGAGACGGGGCAGCTGCCTCGTGCCGAGGTTGGCTCCGACCGTCGCTCCCCCACACATCCCGCGCTTCCACCTTGACCGTGTCGCGCCATCCTCCAGCCCACGACCGTCGTTGTGGACCGCGTCGAGCACGGCATTGGCCCCACCGGATGCCGTGTCCCGTCCATGGCCATGTCCCGCTCTCAAAGGGATAAGAAGATGGATCCCGCACCATCCTCTTGCTTCCTTCCCACCCGTTCATCCTTTGATCAGCCAGATTTGATATCCAATACCCTTGCACCACCCCGTCCGACCATACTTACTTACCATGGGCTCCATTAAAAATAGCCAGGAGGTCCTTCAGGGCGAGGGCACCGCCATGCCCGCTTTCCTCAGCACCGAGCCGCCAGCAGACATGAACTGGCAGGTGACGCTGAAGGACAAGGTCATTGCAATCACTGGAGTAAGCCGATCCTCCACCTCCCCAAACACCGCTGACGTCGAATCCCACAGGCGAACCGCGGCATCGGCCTGGGCATCGCCGAAGTCTGCCTGGCCAACTCGGCCAAAGCCGTCTACTCCCTCGACATCCTGGAGCCAGGTGACGACTTCCACGCCCTGGCAAAGCGACACCCGCACATCCAGCACATCCACACCGACGTCACCGACGAATCCAGCATCGAAGCCGCGCTCGACGCCATCGAGGCCGCGTCCGGCCCTCTCCACGGCTTCGTCGCCAACGCGGGCATGACGAAGCACCAGCCCGCGCTGGACTTCAGCCGCGCCCAGGTCGAGCAGCTCTTCACGCTCAACGTCTTCGGCGCCCTCTCGTGCGCCCAGGCCGCCGCCCGTCGCTTCATCAAGCACGCCGTCCGGGGCGCCGTCGTCTTCACCGCGAGCATGACGTCGTACCGCCCCAACCGCGCCGCCCCGAGCGCCCCGTACGGCGCCACAAAGGCCGCCGTCCGCAACATGACGCACACGCTCGCCATGGAGTGGGCCAAGCACGGCATCCGCGTCAACTCCGTCTCGCCCGGCTTCGTGCGCACCGCCATGACTTACTATGTCGAGAAGAACCCCGACTGGCCCGACAAGATGAAGAATTACGGCGGCATGCCGCGCTTGGCCAACCCGCAGGAGCTGGGCGGCGCCTATGTCTATCTGTTGAGCGATGTGGCGAGCTATACCACCGGCATCGACATCCCGATTGCAGGCATCGTAGGCGCCTGGTAGGTTTGAGGCTGAGGCGGAGCTATATTTTTATTTTTATTTTTTACAAGTTTTCAGTGAAAGTACGAGAACAGACAAGGAAAAGGCGAAGCTGATCTGACCAAGGGGAAGATACGAGAGGAATAAGAACAGTGGAAGGTGAACTGTCCTCCTTCTACGACAAGGGCTCTGAATTTGATGGACAACATAGACGAAAGTGGCATGAGCTTTATGAATAAGCATGCAAATGCGATATATTTCTACCCCCTTTTTTTGGTGGCTTCACCCCTTCGTACCACCGGTCGTGGATGTCGATCAAACTGCTCGATGAGGCAGGAGGTGGCACCCGTTTCCGTTCGGATGAAATGCGATGCCCTTCATTCCTCAGCCCTCATGCCTTTCGCCGACTGCCATGGAAGGTGCGGGCACGAATTGCTACATATTTCCGAAGTCACTGGTGTCGTGACTATCGAGACTTCGTGTTTGCCACGGAAGAGAAGCAAGAAATTCACAACAAGAATCCGATTCTGGTGCACCGAGGGCAGCAAGATTGAGCTCACCGAGAGGGTGCGGCGAGGGTCCTTGGTGGCATCGGATATACGGATCTATGCTTTTGGTAGCATCGGATCGTGCACTACGGGGAAGCGGTAAGGATGAAACTGACTAGCAAGTGTAAAGATGCCCAACCGAGCCTGACTATCAGCGCCACTCCGCTCCACATTTTGTCTTGGTCTGTGGAGCACCGCGTACCACTGCGACGGAATGCGCAGAGAAAAGGGAAAGGCAAACAAGGCTGAACCATGTGACCAAAGTTCGTGGGAAGCTGTGAAGTGGCCAAGGTAGAAGAATACCAAGACAGAAGACCGCATGGTGCAAGCGAATGATGAGCCTGCGTGATCGGACGTATTGGTGGCACGCTCGGACGGAGCTGAGGATCGGCAGTGACTAAAGAAGCCACCTGAGGGCATCCAAACCAGGAAAGATCACACTCCGATACCCTGTGTATATCTCCAGCAATAAGTCCGGCTCGGGTGAGAGGATCGACTTACCGATGCCTGCTTGAGCGCAGGAGACCTACTCACACTTAGTGTCTGGAAACATCAGTGACTTGGAGCATTGACAGCCCGGCAGATTCCCTGCTGTAGAACATAGGCAAAGGCTAAGTTTAGAAGGTCCTGATAATGTGTCGGTGCTAAACTTAGCGCAAATCGGTTTTGATACACTGCAGGTACAAAGCCCACATCATGACACGATCTCGTCCTCCCTTTCGAACAGGAACTAGCCACTTGCAAGGAAACATGACAATTGAACCGCTTCTAGTACTGCCTTAGAATAATAGAAGCTGATCATACTCTAATAGCCCACGGACACGGGATCATTACTACAAATCTTGGTGCCTTCCGCAGGAGTCGGCTAGCTAAATGTGGTAATCCCGAGTGCTCCCAACAACGCAATCTACCAACCCCTGTAATGATCAACCTTATGTACAAGCTTGCTGCACCGGTAGTCTATCTTTTACCTAGCTGTAAGCGGGGGCCTCGTCTCGAGTACCAAAGTTCCCCCCGGTTCAAAATCTAGACCACCTACCTCAGTCTGTGACCATCCTTGTCGCCGCATTGACCGCGAACTACACGTCGTTTCTCGTCGCAGTCAGGCCATCATAGCAATTGCCGCATATTACAGACTCCGTTGCGTCAAATATTGTGTTGATACTCAAACTCAACACAGGCCTTGGTTCTCTGCAAATTTAATCAATTCTTCATATAGTGCCACGCTTTACGTACCAACCTGACTTGGCTGCAACCTCGGCTCAGAAAGTAAAGCAACAAAAAGAAGAAGAGAAAGGGAGGCAGCTACCTACTACCCTTGAATGCTAAAGCTAACGCCAAAAAAGAAAGAAGCCCCAGCTCCGGGCATCCGGAGAAACTCCACGACCCATGCATGTGTATGCTCACACCACCATTCTGCCAACTCCACTCCGACCCCTCGTTCACCGTCATCGCCTCAAGCGCGCGGTACCTTCCCCAATTTCCTTTCAATCACCCATTCCGCCTTCCTCTCTCAACCCGCCATCTCCACATCACTACCACCATCCCCACCACTCGTCGCACTCCCCGTCTCCGTAGTATTCCTCTCTCCAATCGTCGCCGTCGCCGCCGACGACGATGACCCCGACCCCGCCCACTCTTTCCCAGCCGTCTTCAGCACGGCCGCCAGGTTCAGCGACTTGTCGAACCATCGCTCCCTGCGCGTGTTCTCCCTGCGCCCGCCTTCCAGCGCGCTCCGCGCCGCTCTCGTCGTGCGCAGCCGCTTCGGCTTCCCGCCGCCGGCGCTTAGCAGGTTGCTGATGCGCAAACGTTCGTTCTCGAGGTGGATGTCGTGCGCGGCGATGTTGCGCACGTAGGGTGCGAGCTCCTCGGCCAGCAGGCGGAAGGTGCGGTCGAAAGAGGAGGCCGTCACGCTGCCGGCGCTGACTGTGCTGTTGAGGGCGGCCGAGGGTGGTTCGGCGAGAGGGTCGAAGACGTAGAAGTCGGCGCGTGTGAGGGACTGGGGTTGACGGCTGGATGTGATGTGATCGAGGATGGTTTTGTCGATGTTGCGCTCATCAAGGGCGGCGGGAGCTGCTAGTGGTATGGTTGAGGAGGCAAGTACATAGCGTCTGGCAGCCAGATGCGAGCTCACAGCCAAGTGAGTGTCGAAGTTGGTGAAATCAGCCAGTGTGTCAGCTTGAAGGAAATCGTAGCCGTCGATATAGTCGGTGCGAGCCTTCTCTGGAAGCAAAGGCTGGGTGGGATCCATTGGAATCTGCTGCACCGTTAATCTTGTATTTAATGAGGGTAGTTGATGCACCTACCCTAGAGCGTGTAGGGACATCGACTCTGCAATACACATCTACTGCACTCGAAAGATCGATCAAGCGGTCCATGTCTTGCAGAGCCCTGAGGTTCGCTTCTGCATGAGTCTGTTCAGTGCCCATGGGATGATCCGGAACGACGACAGAGCTGAAAGTTTCAGGCTCGATATTCCAGGACTCCACCATCTCGAGCATGAGCTCATACTCCCTGTCGAATCCAATATGATTCTCGTCAAGGAGCACGTCACGCTCAATCCAACCCATGCCCGCTTGATAGGTACCCTTGCTGGCCACACGTAAAACTTTGCCGTGTTCGTCAACGTCCTTTCCGGGGGGCCATCGTTGATACATCCACTCCAAACCTCCTTTGCGGTCACCTACGGCCATCTGGCACCAGAAATCGAGCTCCGTTATAGTCGCCCTTAGATCATGACTCTTACTCTCATACAGACTTGAGACGGTTTTCCGGGATAGTAAATGACCCTCCTTCGCGGCAAGCAGAAGCAAGTAGTCGGCAGCCAAATCTGTTGATGCTGGAGACATGCGCAGAATGGCGTGCAAGGAGTCTTTGGAGACATGAAACAGGCGCTCGTCCGTGCATGTCATTATGACTGGTCTCCTGGAATTCAATGCAAGATGCTCGACTGTTTGCCAGAAATTCTTATCATCTTCGAAGAGAACATCGACCTCTTCCAGGAGAATGAGCGACTGCTTCTGATTCTGTCTTGGCTTGATGAGCGGTGGTTGCTCTTTCTCCTGTGTGGTCTTGGCTGTCACCTTTTTCTTTGGTAAAGTTTTGGGCTTTGCCTGTGATTGAGCCGTAGGCTTGAAAAAGGAACTCATACTTTTCTGTCGGCCGCTCTCAATATCTTTCTGAACGGCATTGGTGAGACGTTCAGTATCTGAATCAACCGCAGCCGTATCAGGCTGCTCTTGAGTATGCCGTTGGACGAGATGGTTCTCCGTCATGTCGCCGATTTTCTCCAGCACGTCCTTGCCACTACGGCGACTTCCAGGGTTGATCTCGAATACCTCAAATCCCAGTTCTTTTGCAACAGCATACACAGCGGCAGTTTTCCCAGATCCATGAGGGCCGCTGAGGAGTAGTAGGTTGTGTAGCTTCTTCCCACCACCAAGGGTGGGTACGTCACCGCCGAATCGGACCATCGACTTCCTTACGGCATGGCTCGCATCGGGGGCTGGTGTCTCCTCGGGATCTGTAAGCTCGTCCAAGTCGTCCAGAACATCCTCATCATCGACGATAAAGTCATCCAGTTCATCCTTTTTTCTCTTTTTCTTCGGTGGCTTCGTTGCTCCGCCCTTCTTTGATTTCGTGCCCGGGTCCTTTAACGCTCCTCCAACAGAATTGACTTTGAGCGCCTGAAGCCACCTACGAAGCACAGAAACTTCTGTTGTAGAGCCCAAAACGTTGAAACTATGCTTCGGCGCGTACTTCTGGGTCCACGACATAGTTTCGCAATGTCCTTTGTCGAACGGGGTGAGTTCGTCGGGTATCCCATCAAACAAATCGGCCAATGCCGGGTGAACTAGCTTTCCATCCAATGCGAACTGGTCACCTAATTCAGCTTCGGAGCCAAAGGTATGTTGCTGGAAGGAAAGGATCTCCGAATGTACTCTCCGTTGAATATCTGGACTGGTTGTAAGTAGACGTTGCGGAAAGCGCACCACACTGTGGCGAGTGGCATCTTGATCCTCTCGCCAGCCGGTGCTTATGTGTGGTTCCTGCGCAACGAGCGATAATATAGCTTCTGCATCTGGAACTTTGTACACCATCCCCTTGAGCTTTCTTCGTTCCTCCAAGAGCGATGAAATTGAGGGGAACGATGAAAGCTCCATAGACGTGTCAAGTCTTTCTCCATCACCGACGCGAGTAACACCTTTCCAAGGCCAGGGGGCCTCTGCACCTCCGAAGGCTTTGCGTGGTCTGGTAGAGGAGCCGAACATGCTGAAACTTTGGGATTCTAAGCTTTCATGCTCTGCGCGTGCCTGGGCTCGTAGCTTTCCCGGAGTAATGGCAGTCTCACGTCTGCTAGGGACTTTCTCAAGCACCATTGCAGGTTTGGCGGCAACACTCTGATTGAACTCTGCAACATCCACGTCTCTACGCTGTGTTTTGCCGGTGAAGAAAGGATGCGTCGGTTTAGGAGGTCCGGGCGGTTTCGCAACCTTTGGAGGTGCAATGACTTTCGCCGGAACATGAGTTTTCGGTTCGGGTGCACGCTTTACCCCCGCAAGAATGTTATCAATGTCCTCGGCCATCTGCACTGCCCGCTCATCATCTTTTATATATGAGATCTTGACGACAAGCTGCTTCGGACCTTTCTTGTTCGCTCGACTACGTGTTTTCCTTTGATTGATTGTGGCGGGGGCCTCATCCCTCGATTCTTTGGGTACGGGAGAGCTGAAGCGACCTTTTGCATTCATACGCAGCATCTTCTTCGGTGGCGAGGGCTTCGATGGCGACGGTGAACCGTCAGCAGAATCCTTTTTGGGGGTCCTCTGAGACTTCGCTGGGGAATCGTATGCCACTGGAGGCGAAGACGGAGGCACTGGCGTCCTTCTGTTCTCCATTACGCCGGTCATTGGCGCTGGAGATGTTCCGGGCACGACTTCCAAGTCGGCAAGATTTACGCATTCGGCGGAACTCTTGGGGCTCGAAGCTTTGACCTCAACTGTCTCCGGTATCCTCTCGGCCTCTGTTTCCAGTTGTTCAATCCATGATGGCTGGTCCTCCTGCTCGGTTTCCTTGCCTCCCTGATCGACGGTTCCGGGGCAGCATTCCGCTGCGTTGTGCGTACTCTCCTCAGGAAAAGGTGAGTTCGTCCTTTGCCGCTTCCGCCGACCAGCATTAGGGTCTTCGTCAAGTGAAGTGGCCTCGCTCACATCCCCAATATTGTTCCCTTCTTTTTTGAGGCCTGCGAAGGCGGCAATTGACGCCTGCTTCACCTTCGGCGGAACAGGACCCTCGTTGGTCTTTCTCTTAGTTGTGCGATTCCTTGTTGCTAGCGGACGCCCTTTCGCTTGCGATTTTTTGGTGACGTCGGCTACGTTGGGTTGGTTCTCGTCTTGCGGGGCGGCGTTCGTCGGAGCTGAGTCGGGATCGTTTGCATGTTCAGATGCCTGAGGGCCTAACAGGGGTTAGACGGTGGTGAGCAGCATGTGAGAAGCAGACCCACCGTGTGGCTTCGCGAAGAAGGGATGTATGTTCTGCTGGTCGGCGAGATTCATGGCACTCCCCACAGCTACGGATGCCATTGAGCACTAGCGCATGGCAAGAGATGAAATCGAGGGGCGCAGACCGAAAAGGGTGCAATTATGGTGAGACAGGAAGCGGAAGCGGTAGTTGGCGGAAGATGCACGAAAGTGCTGGTGTGGGTGGCTCGGCGGAGTGTGAAGAAGAGGGCTGGCTTTCAAGCAGTCGCGAACGCGTCGAGGCGACAGCCAGTGACGCGCCTGCCAATCGCGCGGGCCCGAGCGCGGTCCCACAGCTTTGCGCCGGCTCAACTCCGGTGGTCGGAGAAATTGGCTCCGACAACTTTCTGCCCGTCAAGAACTTTTTGTGAAGCGCGGTTGCGACACGATCAGCTCTGCGCCGTCCTGCGCTCTTGCCGTCTTTCACGCTCTGCCCGTTCGACTCTGCACTCTGGCCAGCAGCCATGTCGTCCGGCAAGGAATTGGAAGCACCTCACACCCTGGCATCGCTGCCAAAGCCCATCGACCCCGTAAACGGCCGCACTCTCGCCTCCACTGTCTACAGCTTGAGCGCCGCCCGGAAGAGGAAGAGGTCTGAGCTTGCTGTCAGCGTTGATGGAGACGGCATCAGCCTGATTGACGTATGTCGTGCCTACTCGTTGCCATGCTCATGGAAATTGACTTCTTCTCCAGGTCCAAGCACCACGCTTAATCACCTCATATGCCCTTCCTCCCCAGTCCTCATTCACCGCCCCGCCTTTCTCCGTATACTTGAAGGCAAACAAACAACGTCTCGCAAAACGATTCACCTATGCGACGGTCAAGGAGAGCTCCGGTAGCTCGAGGCAACAGATCCTGTGTTTCTCCGAAGAAGTCCATCCCACGCCTACGGGAAACCCCGATAAGACTGCTTACACCATACCACCCTCGTCCGGCAAAGTGTTCTCGATTGACGCGCTCTCATTGAAGTCTTCTGGCAGCACTAGCGAAGACACCCACGACATTGTCGTCCTTTTCGAGAATGGCCAAGTCGATTGCCTCTCCGCAAACCTCCAAACTGTGAAGTGGTCGACGAACGTCCTGGATTCGTCAGACAAGATAGTCGAGTTTTCCGCATACACCGATGCGGCTACGGCAAAACGCGGCCTTTTCAAGAGCCGCGAAGACGCTATCGCTGCGCTTGACCCTGCCGGCGATGCCGACTCAGAGACTCTCTCTGCAACTACTTTGCTGTGCTTGGTTACGCGTCCTGCTGATGAGGAATCTTTCCGCGCGCATGGCCGCAGCTTGCACGTCTGTGCTGTTCGCCCGAAGTCTACTGGCGGCATTACCATCAACAAGCCCACCATCCAGGCTTTGCTCACGCTCAGCCTCCCTCGCTCTCACATCGACTCGCAAGCGGACGTCCAACCTTCTTACTCGCTCCATGTGTCATCCGGCCTTCTCTATCAGCTTGCTTCTGGTTCGATTGTTACCTACGACTTCTCCACCACTGTCCCCCAGCTCAAGTCTGAGTTGACTGTGCCCGGCACACCTCTCCAAAACTTTGTTCGCGTTTCATCGTCCCTTCTCATGGCTGCATCTCCTATTTCTTGCGCCCTATACGATGTCAAGTACAACTCTGTGCAAGCTATCTTGCCCCTTGGCTCCGACAAGAACGAAGACTCTCAAAGCAGGAAGCGAAAGCAACCTAAACTACTGGACGCGCAATCCCCCTTGGTCCTTCTGCATTATGTAGCTGAGCTCGGTCTTGTAGTCGGCTTGGCAAAAGACGAACTCATCGGGCTCCAAGTTGGTTCTGAGGTTTCTTCGAAGCGGAGTAAGGTTCGGGGCGGCCTTTTGATTGACGCCATTGGAAAGGGTGTTGGACGCAAGCCTGCAAATTTGGATGCGCCGGTGAACGGTTCTCATCCGCTAGGCGTTTGCCTACTCAATCCTGCAGACACGTCGAGTAAAGCATGGCATCGTACGCGCAAGCAGCTGGACGAGTTTATCAAGGCCGAGGACTTGAAGAATTTTGAGGAGACCTTTGCGCAGGAGGTTAGCATCCAGCTTAAAGGGAAGAGCACGGAGGAAGAGCAGACCAATGGAGCCAAAGACGTCGACATGGCCGACGTATCCAAGACGGAAGAGTCGAAGGCGAATGGGGTTGCCGACGAAGAGGACGACCAGGCTCTTCCGGAGTGGGATTTCCCTAACACTCCGTGGGATGTCAACTTACAGACCAAACGTCACAAAGCTGTCTACCTGCTGAGTAAGGTCTTTGACTTTTCATCAGCTAAAAGAGAGATAATAGCCCACGATCTGCCGAACACTCCCTTGAGGATACGATTCTTCCCGCCCAATGCGTTCCAATGGCTGATCTGGACGGGTTTCCTTACGACTGATATGATCCGACAAGCCATGCGCCAGGAGTCTACTGGTCTGCAAACGATTTCACCTGCGAATGTTATCGCCTCCATCCTCAACTTTGATCCTGGAATGCAGCTGCTTTGCGACGTTCTCCGGGATCATCCTGGCCTTGACGTTGACCTTGTTGTTCAGGCCATCAAGGCTTTGGTGAACAGCCTTGAGACGGAATCTTTCCCGGAGATAAAGGGGCAGCTTACCAATCGCCCCGAGCAGAGCGAGAGTAGAGATGAGGAGTCAGCAGATATAGAATTCGACGCCGAAGCCGACGCAGCAGCATGGGCACTCGCGCGAGCCGAATCATTCGTCGATTCCGGCATCCTCATCCGCAGCCACTCCTTACTCGAGGCCTTGACGAAGCTCCACACCTTCCCCGCTCCTCTTGTCTCGCAGACTCTCCGCAAATCTCTCACGCACAAGGAGATTATCTTCCTCATCAATATTCTCCGTCTGGAGCTCCACGAGGGAGGCTGGATCAACACCTATCTACAAGACGGCCCACACGATTCCGCCGAGTTTGGCGATCCTTCTGACCGCGCCATCGCCATCATCGCTGACCTACTTGGTTGCGCACTGGATGCCATCGGTGCCGGCGGCTGGCTCACTTCCGGAAACGACGCTAAGGCCGACACAATCCAGGCCTTGCGCATGGAAGTTTCGGCCGCGCTCGAAGGCATTCACGAGGCCGCGTTCATGAAAGGCTTGCTGAACGATTTCCTGCGCTTCGGCTGGAAGCGGAAGACAGTGCAGCAAGGCCCTAGCGAGAAGAGGTTGAAGGAGAAGGGCAAGCCGTTCACACTCACACAAACGGATGCCGCCGAGGCGAGAATCTTGCCACTGGGCTTCAAGGTGGAGGGCAGGGTTCCAGAGTCGAAGGTGGGCTTCAATGGCGAGGTGAAGGCGTTGACGAGGAGAGAAATTGGTCACAAGATCAGCAGGAGGGTTGGCAAGTATAGTTTCGAGAAGATTGAGGTGTAAATATGATTTTGGCTGTAGCAACAGTTGGATACCCTGCAAAAAAAGGTTTTAGACGTCCGCACACATTTGGTTGTCCTTGATGTCAATACCAGCTGTGAGTAATGTGACTCCCAGGACTGGTGCTTAGCAAGTATTCTTTGCAGCACCATCGTCAATCGTTTTGCTATTGAGTATATCGTTGCCCACGTAGCGGCTTTCATGCGCCAGCGCCAGATAACACTGTGGTTTACGTTCTTTGTTTGTACAATACTTTCGTCCTAGCTGTTCACCAGTCTTTGGGAAGACGTCTCGACTTCGACACATGCCAAGAACAATGTCATTATACACAATGAATCTGCCAACAACGTTCATCAACAAATTTTCGTCGAAGGAGCGATATAAACGATGCTGAACACATAACATTCGATCATCATCATCACAACCGCCATCTAACCATTACCACCACTAAGCCTTCTCAACTTCCCCATCCAACCAAGCACAACACTTTCCACCAGCCCTACCCACTACCACTACTAGCCATGAAGCCCACCAAAGCCACGCCGAAGAACAAGGCCAATGTGAAGAGCCTTCCGCCTCGAGACAGGGCCATTATCGAGTGCTGCCACTGCGGCGCCGACAACTCCTCTGACAGCTACTACAGCTGCAGCAACTGCGGTCACACCAGTGACGGCTGCTGCACCTGGATTGCTTGATTTGGTTTCGATCGGTTCGTTTTCAACGAGTGAATTGACTGAATTGACATGGCCGAGGCTCACATAGATGAAAGAGAGAGTGTGTGTTGACCTTTCCCACAGGCACTCCGAGAAGGCAATGCCTTGAGAAGCCGAGGCGATCTGTTCACTTAGAAAGCATGAATACCAGATTACTGTTACTAGTCCCGAAGATACTTGGGTATCGTTATAATGTGAAGGTTGTATTTCGTGTCTGATTGCAATGGACCTCCTGCCCTGCAGTCGTGTTGAATTCCTTGTATGAGATTCCAAATTAAAGAAGAGTTAAAGTTTAGATGAAGGCGCATTTGCAGAATTCCGAGGACTGCGCAAAGTTGAATGACGAGAAAGAAGGAATGCGAAAGCCCGCTCGTCCCGCCACCACAGTGATTATCCTTGAAAGGGAGAAGTAAAACGTAGTCATCCGCCTCGGCGCTCAGAACAGACCCAGCGCAAACTGCAAGAAAGCAATGAATTAGCACCCCTCCGCATCTCCGCGAGACAACGCGCATCAAAAAGGGGGAAATGAAAGAAGGAAGGAAGGAAAGAAAGAAGAAACACTTACCGGCAACAGCGCATGACACCCAACCCAATTCGCGACAGGCACGATCGCCGCAAAGTCCTCAATCCGCCACCCCCTCGGCGCATAGACAGCCAAGTACACCATGCCCGCGGCCACAGCCACACAAAACAGATACATCCACTTGAAATCCCTCACGATCCGATCCAGGCCCGCCCTGAACCCGCCACCGCCCGGCGCCAGCTCCTTCGCCGTCGTCGTCCACTCCATCCTCACGCCGAGGAAATGGCACAGGATGGCCTTGGCGAGGTGGAACGACACGCCGCCGAAGAAGAGCAGGAACATGGGCGTCCACTTGGCCGTCTCGAGCAGGGCGGCGAAGAAGGTGGCCTGGCCGAGGCGGTGCCGCAGCATGGCGTAGCCGAGCGGAGAGAGGACGTTGAAGACGGCGGCCATGCCGACGAAGATCTGCCACGAGGTGAGGTAGAACTGGTCGACGCTCGCGCCGGCCCAGCCGACGAGGAGGTAGTTGGCGAGGGTGAGGGGGATGGCCGAGGCGATGGCGTAGTAGGTGCCGATGTAGGCGAGGATGGTGACCTTGGACGTGATTTTGATGTTGGACGCGAGGAAGCGGCGGAAGAGCGGCGTAAGGGGGCCGTGGGTGGGCCAGTGGAGGAGCGGGTGGAAGACAAGTTCGTTGCAGCCGTAGGCGTATTTTTCCCAGCGCGCGAGCTCGTCGTAGACGGTGAGGGAGACGCCTTCCTTGAAGCCGCCCGAGTGGTAGGTTGCGAGACGGACGACGAAGTTGGACATTTGGAGGCGGAGTGAGACGTCGAAGTCTTCGGAGACGTGGCTGTCGGACCAGAATTTGGTCATTTGGTCGGCATCGTCGAACCACGAGATGCTCTGGATGGCTTTCCAGCGGATGAAGGTGTTGTGGCCGACAAAGGGGGCGCAGTCGCCGTTGCCGACGGCGAATTGGATACTCGTGTAGATGAGGTTCGTGAAGTATGTGATGCCGTTTTCGAAGACGTTGTTGACGACTTGGAGGATTCCAGACGCATGCTGCAGGAGGGCAACTTCGGGAGATTCGTGCATCTCCAGGGCGCCGTAAAGCAGGCAATCCTCGGGAACGCGAGTGTCAGAGTCGATGATGAGAATGAGCTCTCCGAGACGCACGTTTCCACCGGCCCAAGTGCGGCCTTGGTCTGTTTCTACGATAGCGTCACGGGCCTGCTCGTACAAGCTGGTCTCGTCGTCGATGGAAAGATCATCTTGAGTGCAGCCTCGCTCGGCGCATACGACACCCAGCATACTCTGAAGCTCGTCTTCAACGCGCAACGAGAAATCGAGACAATAGTTCATGTTAGAGGCCTTCTTGAACTGACCTTTGCGAACGAAATGAATTTCGCCTTTTGTTGCATCGGGGTTCTCATTATGCTTCGGACGGGCACACCAGCCGATATCGTTGAGCTCGTAGTAGGCTTTGCGAGCCTGTTGTAGGTCTTCATTGACAAGCCGCATGCCGTCGTCGTTTACATAGATGGACGCTGTGCCACCATGCTCTTCGTAGTGCTTGACTGCTTTGAGCAGTGTTTCGACAGTCGGAATAATGACTCTGTGGCATATCAGCGGTCTGCTCTTCCATGAGATGGCACATTTCGTACCCTTTTAGTCCCTCCTTGTACACAGGCATTTGGATTGTCACGTGAGGTAATTCGTAGTCCGGTTGTCTTCCAAGCTTGGGTGCATTGGCTGCGCCTTTGTGTTAGTAAAAGGCTTGCGATCTTGCAGTCACAAAATACCGGAATAAAACATGCTGTTGCCCTGAACCCCAGACAGCGGGCCAAAGAGTTGGAAAACGGACCCAGTGATGACGATCATGAAGAACTGGAGTAAGCGAGCGTAAGTCATCTGCGCATGCTGACGGCCAGGACCCCATGCCAGCTGCAGGAACGCGCATGTTGCTCACCAGTGAGAAGCTCGCGAAGAGCGGGACCGTTGCAAGCTTGATTGAACATCAGCTGTTGTCCAACTCCTGCATTCAAGGGTCTGTCGGGCATCTCACCAGTGCGAAGCGCATGTAATTCCCATCGTATCGAACCTCGGTCAGGAGCTTCAAAGGTCAGCCTGGTGTGCAAAAAGTAATAATTTATGGAGTGCACTTGCTTTTGCAACGCAAGCCATCTCGACGACCACAACGAGGATCATGGCGAGGCCAACGATCACTGCGTGGGTGAGGAGGAACGGTCTTTTGGGGATCTCCAAACCATCTCGCTCGGGATCAAAGAGTCTTTCTCCCTGGTCCTCGCGCTCAAGGGCAGAAGCGATGACCTTCTGCTTCTCATCAAGAGCGAAGTCTACAATTGGCGATGTAGGAAAATATGGCGGCTGAGGTTCTCCAGGGTAAACAGAGCTTCCTCTACCTGCAATGGTCTCGCGGTGAGTGGCCGCCATCAGAGGTGCAGGCATTTGTGCTCCCAACACCTATGAAACGCTCAGTATTGGTCATATAAGTTTCGAATGGTGGTCTTACCAAGTCAAACAATCGGGTTTCGATGTCTGAACCATGGGCGAGGATGCCAGAGACTGTGTTACCCCAGAGAAGGAGGAAGCGCTCATTGCGGCAGAAGCACATGTTGTAGTCCCTTTTGATTATTGCTCTTCCTGAAACGATATTCTCCAGGGAATCTACGATGGGAGAAACATCTCTTCTGTGTGGACCAAGGAGAATTTCAGTCTGACGAGGGGGCGTCTGCTGAAGGACTTGGCCAACGACCTCAGACGACATGGTGAATGCTACCATGGCTCCAAGCATCTCAACCGCCCTGGCGACTTGGAGGCTGACAAACATGGGCTCAGCGGCGTAAGTGCCATCAGGTCGTCGAAGAAGAACGCCGAGGCTTTCGGCACTATGTTCGATAATGCCGAATTCATCTTCAGCCGGCTCGAGCCACTTGTGTTGATCACATTTTTTGTGCAGGTATTTCAGAGCCTGGTACTTTTGTCAGTGATGGATGACAGGACGCTATAGGGGCGTAACGAACCGCTGCATGCCGATCCTGGTGCCCTGATCGATCTGAAACGATACTCGAGGCTGCCGCACTGTGCCTTCGATCCAAACCAAAGTGCGATACACCTGGGGACGTTGCAATGGGGGAGGGAGTCCGCCCTGTCAAGTCGTCAGGACTTAGCAAAGCCATTGAAAGTGAGAGTGATAGTGAACGTGGTGAAAGAAAGGCCAAAGGAGTGGAGCAGACGATAGGAAGGAATGGGTGGTCGGCGTGGAACAGACGCTTGGTGCATATAATGGGCATTCACTTGGAGAAAGGGGCTACCAAGCCATGGTTTGCAAGTGGCTAAGACCAGTTATTCATGGAGGCTGAAAGTGGCTGTGGAATCGAGACGGTGACTCGAAGATGATGGGGCCTGAGATGGTGGCGTAAGAGATGAGGGTGGGCCTGCAGCAGGCTGGTGACGGGCGATCACAGCTGCAGCCAGGCCAACCGGGTCAGGACGGGCAGAGCGCGAGAGAGCTTGCGAGACGGCGCATCTGAAAGACTGACGGAGGTGTGATGGAAGTGGAGGATGAGACGGGCGCCAGAGTGATGGAGGTGCGATGAGTGGAGGATGAGACGGGCGCCGGGTTGGAGTTGTGCGCCGCCGCGGCTCCAAACTCGGGTCGCCAACAATTGACTTTCCCGGCGCCAGCCCCGCCCGCACCTCCGCTTCTCCCTCACCTCTCTTCTCGTCCATCGCCCACTCCACCACCTCACACGCAAGAGCCCAGAAGACGCTTCATGCTTGCTGGCGATACCGTGGCAGAGGCTCAAGATGCTGAAGAGTCCCGAGAGTCGCACGCTGATCCCTGACCTCCGATTTACCTTTTTGCGCTGCAGTCTGTCCAGTCATATGCCTGCACGCTCGCGCTCGCTGCGCCGTGTGGCGTGCCTGCAGCCAACCGGAACCGCAATCATGGGCTGGCTACCGTGGCACGGTGATCAATCTTGCGACAGTCTCGGGTTTTTGCAGAGAGGCTAATCCGCAGCCGTCGAAGCTTGACAACTTTCATATTACCCATCCGCTCCCGCGAAACCTACATTTCCTCCATCTTGGAGCACTAACAACTTCTCGGGATGCCGACACAGCCTCGCCGTCGCTGCTGCGCCCATTTCCTCCACCATGTCCAGCCACGAAGACCTAGCACATACCTCATCGGCGCTCTGCTGGAGTCTCCTCTCTTTGAGCTGCGCAACAGCCTTTTCCGCAGTTTCAGTCTCGTTGAAATGTGGACTCTCTCAACACTTGATCTCTTGACCAATGCTGATCCAGCTGACACAGGGGCCGCACATCCGCTTCCCTTCGGAATTGCATGTGCCGTGGCTGTTGGTAGTGCATAAGGTACCGGCTCTGCTCCGCCCAACAGTGAGATCATCTACTTCTCTCAGCCTCTTTCTATCTTTCGGCATTGTCAATCAAGTTCCCACTTCTCAGAATGGCAGAAGAGCTGCACTTTGAAAACTCAACCGTAGCCGGTAGTGCAAACGGAGAAGTGCCGTTGGAACAACGACACCCCTACGCTCTCTCGCCCACCTTCCAGCAGTCCTCCCACAATCCATTTGCGACCCCACCAAGCCTCAGCCGTGCCCCCAGCCGTGGCATCAGCGTTGTTAGTTCGCAACGGACGCCACTATCGGGACGACAAACCTTGCATCCTTGTACGCAGCCAGCCGACCCCTCCCCCAAAACTTGCTTTAATCTTATCGCAGTTGCCTACACTCATGGCGCCAGACGACGCAAGTTCAAAAGTTCAAGACTGAACCCGGGAGAGTGAGCTTGCCTTGACTGCCGTTCCCAGTCGCCTCGTGGCTAAACGTGTCCAGGTATGATGAGAAGCCGTGGCTGCAAGACAAAGTCCCGAGAAGGGAATGGGAAAGGATTATCTTCTGGGCCGCTATAATGCTCGGATTTGTCATTGGGGGCGCAATATGCTTCCTGTCTTGGACCAACGTGATGCACGGCGAGGTTCGTAGCACCCAGTCCATGTGAAACCCGGTTGCTACAAGATCACTGACCGTGCCATCGCTTAGTTTTGCCTCATGCACGAGGACGACTTCAGCGCCGGCATCGACGGCAGCACGTGGAACTACGAGATCCAACGTGGCGGCTTTGGCACCGGCTCCTTCGAATGGACCACCGATGACCCGAAGAACGTCTTCACCGATGGGGAGGGCCTACACATCGTGCCGACCCTGACCACCGAGAGCACAAACATCACACTCGATGACATGTACGACAAGTACGTCGTGAACCTTACCACCGACGGCACATGCACGCACCCGTGCCTGGACATTGACTCCTGCTCCATCCGCAGCAACAAGACCGCCGGCACCATCATCAACCCGGTTCGCAGCGCTCGCCTCAACACCCGCGGCAAAAAGACCATCCGGTACGGCAAAGTCGAAGTCGTTGCAAAGATGCCCAAGGGCGCGTGGCTGTGGCCGGCCATCTGGATGATGCCTGACGCAGATGTATACGGGGTGTGGCCGCGCAGTGGCGAGATCGACATCGCCGAGAGCAGGGGCAACTATGGCGATGAGTATCCAGACGGGCGCGATAGCGTTGTCAGCGCGCTGCACTGGGGCCCGCTTCCCGAGGCCGACGGCTTCTACAAGACCAGTGGCAAGCACAACGTCCGCCGTACGGACTACACCGAGCAGTTTCACACGTACGGCCTCGAGTGGACCGAGGACTACCTGTTCACGTACCTGGACACCCGGCTCTTGGTAAGCCTTCATTCTTCCCTTCACCACTCCTCCTTTATCGTCGTCTTGACGGCCCACCTTCCTTCACGCCAGTAACCCCATCAACTAACCGCAAATGATCCACAACAAAACAGCAAGTCTTCTTCATCAAGTTCAGCCACGGCTACTCAAGCATGTGGGACCGCGGCCACTTTGGCGAGACCAAGATCAACAAGTCGGCCCTCTTCGACCCGTGGTCGGCGACGGGCCGGGCCAACACGCCCTTCGACCAAGCCTTCTACCTCATCCTAAATGTTGCCGTCGGTGGCACCAACGGCTTCTTCAAAGACGGCGTCGCAGACAAGCCCTGGGTCGATGCGAGCATCCATGCTCCCAAGGAGTTCTTCGATGCGCGCGAGCTGTGGCGCCCTACCTGGCCGGATGATGACAATGAGAGGGGGATGACGGTGAGGAGGGTGAAGATGTGGAGGCAGGGGAAGTGCTAAGGGAGAGAGCGCAGTGGAGGAGAAGGATGTGGATGAGTGTTTGCTTGTTTCCCAATATATTTGCATTTTTCCCCTAGGGACATCCGCTAGGTGCCTGCAACTAAGCAAACAAGTGGAGACCTCCCCGCACACGGCTGAAGCCACTCGTTGTCTTGCCTGTATCAGTCCCAATGGTGTTCACGATCAGGAGACATAGTCACCTTCATCGAATGCATCCAATTCCGTACCTCACACTACTGCAGGTTGAGCCTGCGCATATGACCCTCAGCCGCACGGCAAGCCACGGCCCGCCCAACCCAACCCATAGCACCACACCTTCTTCCCCCATGGAGAGAGCAGCACTAACAAAGAAACGGGCGTAAGAGATGCCCTTCAGGATCTCGGCACGGCGCGTTTCCCTGCGCGCCGCGGGCTATTGCTATCACTGACCTTATCTTTGCCCCGCATGCACGGCATCTTAGACGAGAGCTATCTGGAGGGCCCCACGCAAGAGATGGAGGAAAAGTGATAATCCTCTGCAAGCCACAATTCGCTTCCCTCCTTCGGCCCCCAAGCGAGTTCATCGTTAGTCTTCACAGCGGTTGCGCGTGCCTCATCAGGCCTTCTATCGCTGTATGAAGATGTCAAGCAAGTTCAAGCAGGCAATCAGCATGTACAATGCTTCGTTACAATTGGGCGTTGCCGGTCTGCTGCAATGAGAGTGCATTATGTATGCTACTCATCACTACGCATTGCAGCATAGCGAACATGAATTTGTTGGACTTTTTTTTCAAAAAAACAATCTCATGTTACTCTAACCTTAGCCTGAAAGCTAACGAATGCTACGTCGAAAGGTATTACAAAAAAAATTAAAGATCTGCCGGATCGAAAAGATAAAACCGACGGACAACCTTTAAGCGATGAAGCTTACCATGTCGGTGGCAACTACGCGTTTTTTTTTTTTTTCTGCCGAGCGAGCGAGCGAGCACCAAGCGAGAGAGCGCGTGCGCACCCGACCGGCCGCCGCCGCATTGCTTACATGTTCCTGGTAAGGCCATTTTAGGTGCCGCAACTCATTGTCTGGACCCGGTCTATTCCGCAAAACCGGACGGCGACAGCAAAGGGACGTCAGGAGAGGCAAGGTGGAGAAGGCAGGAAGCGGAGAAAGGAAGGAGGGGAAAATGACAATGTTGCAGTCAGTAGTGAGTACGAATTCGTACGTAGTAGAGAGTTCCCCAACCTACCTTGGCTGCACTTTGCTAAGGTGGGATCAATGCAGGGGCAGTTGGCAGGCATGTGGGGCATGGAGAGGAGGGATTGGGGGAGAAGCAGGCTGCCTACTGCATGCATGCATGCATGGGCGCGGAAGCCGCAGCTGCTTTTGATTGAATGCTGACGGGCGCTGGATAAACGTGCAGCGAACACGAGACAGAAAAATTGCTTGTCATAACGTTTCACGCCCCCGATGCCAGGCAGACGCGGGAACATTGCTCGGGAGTGCTGGTGGAGTGATGTTGATGTGCCGATAAGGTCTCGAGGGCGCTGGGTTGGCGGTGCTTTCCGCATCCAGGCAGAGGCTGCATCTTTGAAGACGGTTTTGGCGGACGATGGCCCAGGCAGACACGGAAGGATCTTCAGTTCGGCTGAAGGATGTTTGGAGGCACGACTCGATATAGCGGAACGCGGTGGCGGTGGGATTGGAGGGGCATCTGTTCCTGAGGATGGCGCTGCATGGACCGGCTCCAGCCAGTGGAGGAGCTGGCTGCCGGGCGGACGAGCAGAAGGATGAGCGCCAGGTGGGGAACGATGAAGAGGATATACGAGGAGTGGGCGCCGTCTGTCGCTGTCGGCGGCCCTTCAACGGGCGTTGCTGTATATTAGGCTGGCAAATCATGGCAAAGCGAAGCGATATGAAGAAACGGACGGACGGTTTCGGCGCGAAGGATCTTAGTTGCCAGGGCTCGTCGCAGCAATTTGTAGCCAAATTAAGCAGCGGAGGGAGCCAGGAAGCAAAGCGGAAATTCGATAGTCGTGGCGACGCTGCAGCCGGGAGTCTGTACGAGCTGGGAAGGTGCCCTCGTCCAGCCGGCGAACAAGAGCGGCCGGGCCATGCAGAACGGCCTTGGCCCCCCAATCAATCGGCTGCACATGCCCCGCCGCACGCGCATTGGAGATGGCAACGGCAGCCACCGCAATGCGCAAGAGCACAGCCTTGCCACCGCATGCCTGGCGGCGACGGCGGCGACGGCGGGCACGAGCACCGCGGCGCGGATGCCCCAATGGACCCACGGTCGCAGCCGAGGAGCGCAACGCGTCACCGAAGCTGCAGCTCAGCTCGAGGCGGCAGTGAAGCGTGAAGAAGACGGGTGTAGCATGCGCGTGGAGCGTGTGCAGAGCCGCGGCTGCCCGGACCGGTACGTCACCCGGCGATGTGTAGGAAGGCGGGTCCCGAAGCGAGCGACGCCGCTCTTACACTTGCTCAACCTCTAATCATCCTTCCCTGTATCCCACCCCCATCCACGTCCATCGTGTCGCCTGGCCTCAGCTCCCGCTTGCCGTCCCGCCTGCAGCCCGCTGTCGGCTACCACGTCAAACCGCCGCCATGGCCCCCTGCCGCCCTCGTGTTGCGCCTGCGAGCCACTCTGATAGCCCTACGGCCCACTTGCAGCCCCCAGCTCTCCAAAATGTCGGCTGACTCGATGGTCCTCCGCGATGACAAGCCCTTGGCCGGGGGGAGCATGTCGTTGCTACGTCCCAATTCGGCCCATGGCTGTCCTGTCCGTCAGCGCCGCCCGCCGCAGGCCCTACCAGGCGGTGGAGAGCAATCCTCTTGCTTCGCTCACACAGCGTAATCGAGTCACCTGTGCTCGTTCCTGGCCTGACACGCTCTTATTTGAGGGCTAGCATCCATCTTGCACGCCGTGACCCTTGTTCTCCAGATCCTATCGCCCGTCGCTATCAGCGCCAGGCCCGCCGTATAAACACGGCCCCTCCCCGCGCCAGTGGGCTCTTCTCGCCAGATCCTGCACGCGCCAAATCCAATTGTCTCTGCTCAGATGAACTCCTTGGCTCCGCTCCAGGGAAGGCATATCGCAGCAATGGCGCCATCAATGAATGCACCTGTAAATTGGGTGCGCTCGTCTCTTCAGCTATTCTTGCTTGCATCGTCGGTACGTGCCCCACCGTGTGCTAGCTGCTGGGCGGCACTCCCCTGTCCGCACTGTGTTCCGGGCGATGGCTAAATTCGCGGGCGCGTAAAACAGTTCTCGACATTCTTGGCAGATGCGCGCTATATCGACGCCGACAAGCGACAGGAAGCTACACCTACTTCGACTGCTGTCTCTACCGCTGCTCCGGCTTGCCCAGGCTCAGACGGCGTCACTTACAAGCTTGCCAGCGGCTCCACTTTCCTCGTTGAATGCAGCGTTGACCGAATTGCCAATGACCTGAAAACCATAGACCCTGCTGCCAATTTCGCTGCCTGCATCGCCGCGTGCGACACTACCGCCAACTGCAAAGGTGTGTCTTACACCGGCGGAGCGAGTGGTGGCCCCTGTTACTTGAAGTCTGCTGCGGGTAGCGGTTCCACCAACGCGGGAGTCTGGGGAGCTCAATTGGTTGCCAAGGGATCTGCTGCATCCTCGTCGGCGGCTGCATCTTCGAGTACTGGTCCCACTGGGGGCGCTTCTTCTAGCATGACTGGCCCTGCTTCAAGCTCTACGGCCAGAGCCCCTTCCGCTAGCGTACCCGCTGGCTGGGAGCTCAAGGGGTGCTATGTCGACAGTGTCAATGCCAGGGCTATGAACAATCTGCAGCCCGATGATGCCGACCAAACTGTCGAGAGCTGCGTCAACACGTGCATTGGCCTCGGCTATACGGTTGCCGGTATGGAATACGGTGTGCAATGGTGCGTATACCGACTTTTCAGCCCATCGCCGCTGCCTCTGTGGACTGACATTTCTGTAGTTTTTGCGACAACTACCTCCGTAACGGCGCCGCGGAGGCGGATGCTGGCGACTGCAGCATGGCTTGTCCCGGTGACTCTTCGGAGAAGTGCGGCAATGGAGACAGGCTGTCGATCTGGTCCAACGATGATCTGAAGATCTATCAGCCTCCAGCTGCCCAGAACACTAGTCTTCCAGGTAACTGGGAGTATGTTGGCTGTCTCCTGGACAGTGCAGTCGCCCGGACGTTCCCGTACGAGCTTGTTCTGGACCAGAACAACACTGCTGAGAACTGTCTCACTCAGTGCTCCAACTACGGCTACGCTCACGGTGGAATGGAATACGGTACCCAGTGCTACTGCGGTGACGCGTCAGATATCGATGCCGCTGGCGCCACCCTGCAAGACGAAGCCGATTGCAACATGGCATGCTCCGGAAATGCTACCTACATCTGTGGGGCTGGTGACCGCATCAGCTACTACAGGTGGGGTAGCGACGATCCGCTCTATGTTTGGGAGTACCCGGAGGGTAACGATGCGGGCGAGTACTCCCTGCTCATTGGTGGAGTGGTCATCCCACTTGTTAGCATTCCTGCCCGTAACGGCAAAGTCGTCTTCGTCGAGAAATTCGGAACCGGGCCAGGGAACAGCACGGGCGCTTATGAACTGGACCCCACCCTTGTTGACGATTTTACCGCTGCTTGGAGGACAATGCACGTCAAAACGGATGTTTTCTGCTCCGCAGGTGTAACACTTCCGGATAGGGCAGGTCGTTTGCTGAACGTTGGTGGATGGTCTGCAGACTCTCTGGAGGGTGTCCGCTTGTATTGGCCGGATGGTGTCCCTGGCACACCCGGCACCAACGATTGGCAGGAGAACGTCCAAGAGCTTGCGCTGCAGGTTGGCCGCTGGTACCCGTCGGCAATGGTGATGGCGAACGGTTCAATCTTGGTCGTTGGTGGCGAGGATGGTTCCAATGGCCCACCTGTACCAAATATGGAGGTCCTCCCCAGGCCCGCGGGTGGTCACCTCGTGGACGCTGACTTCCTCAGTCGCACTGATCCTTACAGCACTTACCCGTTCCTCGTTGTCCTACCTAGCGGTGGCATTTTCATCTCGTACTACAACGAAGCACGTATTCTGGATGAGAACTCTCTCACCACTATTAAGGAGCTGCCCAACATCCCCGGCGCAGTCAACAACTTCCTCGCTGGCCGCACATACCCCTTCGAGGGCACCACAGTCCTGTTTCCTCAGCATGCTCCTTACACTGATCCCCTGAGGGTGCTTATTTGCGGTGGTTCCGCCCCTGGACAGGCACCGGGTCTTGACAATTGTGTCCACATGACGCCCGATGCGCCGGAGGACGGTTGGGTCATCGAACGTATGGTGAGTAATATTTACAATGTTCTGTGTTTCGTTTGGTCTAACCGCAGTACAGCCAAGCAAACGTGTCATGTCTTGTATGACCGCCCTGCCCGACGGAACCTATCTGATCCTCAACGGCGCCTCGAGGGGCGAGGCAGGCTTCGGTCTCGCAACTGGTCCCAACCTCAACGCCATTCTCTATGACCCCACGAAACCGCTACACCATCGCTTCAGCGTCATGGCCAACACTACTGTAGCCCGTATGTACCACAGCGAAGCGACACTTATGGATGATGGTCGCGTCGTTGTCTCCGGCTCCGACCCGCAAGACGACCGCTACCCGCAGGAATATCGCATTGAAGTTTTCACGCCTCCGTACATCCTCTCCGGTGCCGCTCGACCAGCATTCACCGTCTCCTCAAATGACTGGGCCTACGGTGATGACGTTACTTTCACCCTCACCAGTGCCACTACCGGCAACATCCGCGTCTCCCTACTTGGTGCTGTCACTTCGACCCACGGCAACAGCATGGGACAACGCACCTTTTTCCCGGCGGTGTCATGCAGCGGCACCACTTGCACCGTGACGGCGCCACCTAACAAGTACATCTGCCCGCCCGGCTGGTTTCAAGTGTTCGTTCTTGACGGCCCTACGCCCAGCCACGCCACGTGGGTACGCATTGGCGGCGACCCGGCTGAGCTCGGTGAGTGGCCGGCATACGATGACTTCACAACACCTGGTCTAGGCGCGGTGCTGCCGACCACGAGTGATGTGGAAGAGAGTAGGATCGCGACCTCGAATGTCACGATGGGGATTTAAGGCAGGCAAGAGGTCTGATACACTGTTGGCAACTCTTTTCTATGGAGGATTTAATCAGAACAAATACATACCCAATGGTTCATTTATATTTACTCGTACATATGACAGATTCATTACCATATATCATCACTCTTACTCGCGGTTTCTCCTAGAGCTTGTTCTTGTGAAGCCAAAGAATGACGGAGAGGAAGGGAGCAAGAGAAGCGGGGAGTGAGGAGGGGCAACGTTGTAAATTCTTGGATTAACTCTATGTTTTGCCAAACTGGAAATGAAAATGAAAATGGGCTTTGTCGGGGTTTTCTCTGCATGTGGCTTGATATGGTCTGACCCGATGGTGATTAAGCGCAGCTGCGTGTATCCCAAAGTTATAACACTTCGCTAATAAGCTCATCCGTCTATATATCGATTATTGCACGCAATCCTCTATATATCGAGAAGGCTTCGTATTATATATCTATAAAATATCATCAAGAAAATATAACAAGAAAGAAAAGAAAATGAAGAAGAAAGGAGGGGAGAGAGCATTATCAATCGTAGGAGAACTTGCCCCTATTTAAAGCGAACTCTCATCCCATACCTGTCTTTTATGGGACTTTAGCGACCTGGCGATTTAGCTACCCACTCGCCCTATTTAAGGTAAGGTAACGGCTTTTTAAGGGTCGGTCGGTCGGTCACCCTGGTGTCGAAACTACTTCGAGAAGGTAAACCCCCTCCCCGGGGACGCTTCTCAATCTTGTTGCTAATAAGTATACGACATCGGCGACAGTTGATTAGATGGGAACACGTGAAGCTTCTAATGTTAGAATTGGCTGGATCGCCGTTCGGCAAGACTAATATTTACTAGAAGCAGTCAAATGCATCTAGTTATTATAACACCATGCTGCTTACGCGCGCCTAGTCTACTATTACGAGTGCGGTCGTTTTGCGCGGAAAAGGGGACATGAAATTATTTATTAAAAAGACAAGATATTGAAGGAGCTCCCCTTTGAAAAGGTAGCAGTGATAAGTAGTGTGCACATAGGACACGAAGGTTCCCACATGTCTAGTCCAGGAAACCCCTACGGAAAATTGCAGCAGCCAGATATTTCCCTTGAGACGAAGAAGAAAATGTCGATATCGTTTCTGGAATCCGAGTGGAAGGAAAGGAACAAACGTGTTCGTAGAAAAACCAGAGGTATCTCGCGGCTACCAAAACGCCAAATCATGCACCGCGTCAAATAAATCATCAAGAAGGAGAGGTTGAACTGCCACGAGAGGAAAGCTCAAATGCCACTCCATGGCTAGAAACCGGCGTGCGAGTAGCGGTTGGAGGGTGGGTACGCGCTGTTGTAGTCTGAGTCGAAGTAGCCAGTCTTGCGATCCTCCTCGGGCAGCAGCTCCTTGACTTCCCAAGTGTGAGCCTTGACACCGACGCTGAACTCGAGGTCCTCCTTGGTGATGGAATCCCAGTACTATGGAGTTGATTAGAACCTGCAATTGCATGCATGACGCTCCTAGAGGAACATACCTTATAGACCATCATAACGCCCAGAAGATTGCAGATGGTAGAGAAAAACAATCCGTCCAGGTAGTGCGCGGCCCCCTCACAGATGGTGTCGTTGAGGACATACAAGATTACCTGTCCAATGACGAAGAAGAAGACGCCGAAAATGATATGGCCCAAAGGCCAGCGGTCCTGAAGAGTGTTGACAACCAGCATAAGCTGAAGTACGACGTAGATGAAGAGGAAGATGGCGTTAAAGAGGTAGAGCACGACAAACAGGCCGATGGTGTTGTCGGGGCCCAGGCCCGCCCAGCCCTTGAACGTCAGAAGTGACACGGCGCCAGAGATGATGAACATGCCGACGGAGCACAAGCGCAGCAGCCACACTGACAGAGTCGTGCCATCTTCGTATAGCTGGAAGCCGACGAACCCATTGATCAGCAGGCAAGTGCACAGGGCAGACGACAAGCCGTTCTGGACGGCGGCAAAGTACGGGTATGGGCCACTGCCCGGAGGCACGACGCCCGCATCGAGTAGCAGGGAAAATATAGTCAACATCATGAAGATGTAGAAAAAGGTGGTGATTTCCTTCCGGCCTGCGCGGGGTTAGCATTACTTCCCTGCAGAAACTGCCATGTTGTTCAGTACGTACCGACAGCGGTGAACTTAGAGCGCACATGCACAATCATGATGACGGTCATGATGAGCGCCAGAATGTGCATAAAGTCGGCAGCAGTCTCAAAGATCATGGTGTTGGCCAGCTGGATAGATCGCGCATAGCACGTAGCTTGAATGCCCGTGCCGGTGGACGTCAGACTCGAGCGCCCGACTAGCGAGCAGAGCGGGATGGGCGCCTTCTCGCATATCGAGTCGAAGTCGCCGAAACCCATGGTGGCGTCGGTATAGCGCGGGCTGGACTGTCAAGTCGCGGTGGTAAGAATATTTCGGCAGGCCCAACGGGCGGGCTGGCGACGAGGTTGGGAGGCGGAGGCGGTGGCGCGGAGCGAGCGGCAAGCGGCGAGCGGGGTGGGCTCGTGGAAGTGAGCACAGCGAGGGTAGCGAGCGAATAGAGGCGTAGAGATGCTGCAGTGACCGGAGGGCAGGGTGAGCCGCGGAGCGATCGGCGAGGGCGGTGGTGGTGAGGCTCGGTGGGTGTTTGCTGTGGAGCGCCCGCATCGACTGAATTGCGCGCGGCAGGGGCCAAACATGCTTGGCACTTTCCGCCTCGCAAGCCCGCACCTTGCCCAGCCTGGTCTCGCCCCAGGCTCCGTCTCGTGTCTAATTATGGCCCTCACACCGACCGCTGCTGCGGCGTGCCCCTCATTCGTGCCCTCATTCGTGCCCTCTGGAGCGTCGCATCGCGCACCAAGCCCCTGTTTTCGCAGTATGGTAGAGGCCTGGTGGCGGGCCCAGCGGCGCGTCTGTCAGCGCCCGCCAAACCAGGGACGCGGCACACCCGCCGTTGTACCGTACCGAATCCACCTGCAGGAACCGGCGCCTACGGCTAGGGGAACCACGGCTGAGCAAAGCCTTGTCTGCTGCATCCGACGCAGTACCTGACGTCAAGAGCATGCGGTTGCTGCTGCTCGGAATCAATGGCGTGAGCATGCTTTTCCAACCATCCCCATCTCCCGCCGATCCAATATTGGTTGTATCACCATGGGCAACGCGCCCATTCTTGCTCCAATCTCCTTTCCAGAAACCCCGTTGGAGAACGGGTCCGAGCATCGCTACCGTGTCACAAGCCATCATGTACGGATACTGTTTTGGGCGAGAGCAAAAGCAAGTTTACGACATAATGATACAGGAAAGAAGTTGACAAGCATCTACCATCTGTCCCATCCCATCGCAGACGCCCGTTTCCAGAGCGATGCAACAGACTGCGAGCAGCAAAAGACACCCAAGCGAAACAATCAAAAGCAAAGCAGTAGCGCATTGAACATGGTATATTGGCAAACGAAAGAATGACACCGAGAAACAAAAACGATGAGGGTGGTATTATAGAGCGGTGCCGTAGACATGCGTAATCCAACAAAACCGGGGGAAAGGAGCACAACACATACGTGGGGCCAGCCAGCAAAATGTGCTACCTGCCATGAAACGTGACGAGAGGTATCAGAAAGGAAGAGAGGAAAGAGAGATAGGAAACGATGAGCCTGCGCTCGAAGGTGTACAGACAAGCCCACACCTAAGCCAAGCCAGCCCGTCCCAACCAGTGTTCGCCGAAGTCCCCCAGTTTTGAAACAAATTAACCACGGTATCTTGGAGAGGAAATGACAAAGTAAGACGCTCCACAAGATGCAGAACCAGAATGCAACGTCAAGGAAAAAGACATGAAACCATTAACAACGGAAAAAAAAAAAAAAAGCAAGCTCTCAACCATGCCCATTACCGGAAAGCAGAGAGGAGATGACGTGAAAAAAGTGTGAGGCCAATCTAGGGGTAGAATGGAACGCAAAAGCCAGACTGAGAAAACGGAAAAAAAAAATGTCATGAAAATCATTAGAGAAAAGCAACCCCCTAATACGCCGTTTGCATCTCAAGAACCTGAACAGGCTGAGTGGGTATCGAGGGAGTAGGAGAACCCGAACGGGAGGACATGGCGTCCTCGTAGCCAACGAGGGCTTGAGAGTGGAGCTTAAACGCTTCGCCCATAAGTTTGGTGATGCTGTCATCAAATTAGCACTCATGCGCTTTCAGAAGAATGATTTCGGTTCAACTTACCCCCAGACGACAACTTCGTCAATCATGCTGCCCCAGAGGCGCGCGACAGTCGAGCTCAACTTGGAGCCGTAAACATCCACGGAATCATCATCGAACAGATTCCTGAGCTTATTGTACATGGCGAGTTCTTCCTCAGTGGCCGGCTCTTCGTCATGTTCCAGGCGATAGAGCCAAAGCGTGAGGATGACCATCAGGTCCATGCCGCAAAGCGGATGCTCAATGCTCCAGTTGGTTGCCGACGTCCGAGCAACCCAGCGAATGCCTTGCACGGCGGCGACCTCGATACAGTCGAAGCATTCTTGGATGACCTTGATCATCTCTTGCGAACGCTTCACCTTATCCCGAGCATTGGTCATGGAAGCTGCAACCTCGTACGAATCGTGGTAGCGGAGTGCTTCCTGAACCGACTTGAGATCGACCAGCAGACGTGCGCGCGTGTTGCGGTACATCGCCATAGCATTGAAAATGAGTGGATGACCCTTGTGCGGCGCACTCAACTTGACAACCACAGTCTCAGGCTCACAGATCTCGAGGGACTTCTCCCAAGTCTCGAGAGCAAGACGAAGCTTGTACTCGGTGACCACGTCTTGAAGAGCCTCGGGGCTGCGCTTGTGGTACCAGACTTCCAAGAAGAGTGCATTGATCATGACGCGAGTCGCAAATGCGCTATAGCGCGCGGTTTCTCCTTGGAAGAGGTTGTCGTGTGCCTGACGGAACGTGATGATGTTTGAGGCGGCCAAGTTGTCGCGCCACGACTCGTCATCGGAAGGATCCACATTCCAGAGGGTTTCGGAGGAGGGCAGTTCCAAAGTGTCGAACTCGTTGAAGCTGATGGCAGGCGTATGGTTGTATGTCATGGTGAGGAGGCCGAAGAAGATGTAGACGGCATAGTAAGTACGCCGGCACTGTTCGTCCTCGATCCACTCCTCGTGCGTCGGGTGAGCGCCATTGCGAGCTTCAGTGCGGAGCTTCAGCTCGTAACGGTTGCCAGCAACCATGTTGGCAAGCAGACTCTTGATCGAACAAGCCCACTCCAGACCCTTGGGGTCACCACTCCATGAGGCGAAGATCATGTTAAGAAGGGTCGACTGCATGAGCCATAGGGGACACTTCCGAGAGCTGAAGTTCTCCTTGTTCTGCAAGAACTGATTGACGAGCACCTTCGCACCAATGTGCAACATGTATGCCTGATCCTGATCGAAAGTGTACAGGGCACCGATCGAAAGGACGGCCAAAAGCAACGGCGCGGATATTTCGGTCGGATCGTACGACGCAGGATGCAGGAATGGCAGGTGGTGGTGGAACAGGTTGAAGTACGTCGATAGGTACCGGTTCAGGAGGGCCACGCTCGGCAATTGGAAGGTATCGAGCAGAATGCCTTCGCTGTCGCAGTGCTTGATGTTCTCGAGAATCTTGTTGCATGCCTCTTCCGATTCGAGTTGGGGAGCCTTGGCCATTGTCAGTGCCTGGCTAGGGCCAGGCGAGCGGCGGTAGTCAACGGGGGACACAGGACCCATTAAAGGGTAGGGTGACAAGGCACCGGGAGTGGCGAGCCCGGATCCCTGGAGGGAACTCTGAAGGGAAGGGAAAGAGGGAGCCAGCCCATCGCTGCACGAAGGTTGACGCTCCATGATAGGCGCCAACTGGTTCGGATGCCCTTGCGCGCCGACACTGTTGAAGGTCATATGCGAATCCTGCGAGCCCGACATGCTCGAAGTGACAGAGTGCGATTTGCCCCCCTCGACGGGATGAGGCAGCATTGAATCCCACATGGGCATCTGCGGGAGCGACACGGGACCGGACGGGTAGCCGACCGAGGGCTCGAGGAGCGCGGGACCGTGAGGCGATATGACCGTTTCTGGTGCATCGATCGCGGAATTGGGCTCCTGGCTGGCCATCGCTTTGTGGTGGAAGTCGGTGACCAGCATGGCGGCTGTCTCAATGTCCACCATGCCATCGCTGCTCGCTTCTATCTGTTCGAGAGTCGCAGTGTCGAGTCCGATCGAGGGCTTTGAGGGCCCAGCAACGGGGATGTCACTGGCCTTGGGGGCGGCGCGGCGCTTGACCTCGCTGTGGAGGGGCACGCCACCGTCCTTCGCGTGGACGGTGCGGTCGTGTCGCAGTAGTAGGTCGCGACGGACGAATGTGCTTCGGCACTTGAGGCATTTGAAAGGGCGTTCCTTCGTGTCTGCGGTGATGAGGTGTCAGCGGGGGCGATCGACCTGGCGGCTCGGCTGCTGTGTGCGGGCGCGAAATACTTACGCGATCTCTCATGGCGACTGCGGTGCTCGCTCCTGCTGAATGCGCGATTGCAGAACTGGCACTTGTACTTTTTCTCAGGTGCAGCGGCGGGCTTGCGGCCGCCTGTTGAAGGCGAGCCGGAGGCGAGCATGGTCATGGCGGCGGCTGGCATCGAGACAGCGCGTCGTGTCTTCAGCTACGGATGGCGGCGGGGGTGATCGAGCGTCGGCTCGGCGACTGGCGCGAGGGGTTTAAAGCGTGAAGGTATTGTCGACGATGAGCATTCCGTATGTGCAGGATCATGGAACGGCAAGGTGGGAGCGACAGAGACGAGCTGGCCGTCTCTCGTCTGTGGGGTGGGCTGCCGGACGGTGGCGTCGCCGGCTCGTGAAGGGTTGCTGAGTCGCGAGGGGCACGACGCAATGACGGACCGCGATGGGCGGACAGGTGGGTGGGAAGGAGGGGTTGAGCGTAGAAGAGACGAGCGTGAGGAGGTTTTGGCGGCGTTGGCGGGTCCCGGCTTCTGGGAGGAGGGGGCATGTGCGCTCCTGGGAAATACACCAGCCACTCGCAGCCTCACTGTCCGCAATTTACGGCCATGCACGGCCGCCCCACACATACCGCGGCCCTTGGCTAGCGCTGCCGGACAACGGTGCGATGCGTCGTCCAGCGCGCTGTGAGCCATGCGCTCGCGCGCACGCTGCCGGATCAGCCGTTTCAACACCAGCTGCGGGCGCTGTGCGGTCGTGATGCGTGCTGTCGCCGGCGCCGAGGGGCCTCGAGGGCCTCAAGGGCCCCGTGACCCCCGCCAGAAGGTCTCGCGTCGTCGCGTCCCCGCTCAGCATTCGCTAAACGATGCGGCGGCCACAGGGACGACCACGTACTCCCGCACCACCCCGGGGCCTCGCCGTCGCTGCGGCCTGGCGCCTGGCAGACGGCAGGGCGGGCGGTCGCTTGCTCTCGCCAGTCGCCGCATGCCTGTCCATCCCCATGCTGCCCTGGACCACTCCCTTGTTCCGCACGATCAACAGTCATCACGCCTCCTGCCCCCCTCGCTCGCTCTCGCGCCGCGCCACAGCGCCGCGGCCGAGTCGCCTCTAGCGACCTGCTACGTTTTGCTTTTGTTCGCTGAACGCCGGCGCGCCTCGTCCAATCCATCAACAACACGAGGCCGACCGGGGCCGCGCCCACGCTGTGCTCGCTGTGCCCGCTGACGTTGACGGCAGCCTTCCGCGAGCTCCACTTCGTGCCAGACCGGCCGTCAGAAGCAAGGCAGCCAACGTCACTCGTAGGTCGACGTTCTTCCCCCGGCCGCCTGCACGTGCCACGGACGTTTCGCGCTTTCTGGAGTGCCTCAGGTTATCGCAGAAGAAAAGGCGGTATACGCCCGGAGCGCGTCCATTATAATTCAAGCGACGAGACGTCCATCCTGCGGCGACAGCGCAGCCGCCTTATGCACCGCCATGGAGCCACCTCACACCGCTCGCGTGCGCGGATGCTAGCTGTGCATGAAGCCGCTGCACCGCGATCCGGACCGTCTGGATAGTTTACGGGCCTGCGGCGATATTTTTTTTCTATTTTTTCCCTGCCTGGATCACAGCTGAAAGGCGCGTCTCGGCGCGCCCGCGTGCGCCGAGGGGTGGCACGGCGGCCGGTGAAACAGCAATTTGCGAAGCCACCGCTTCCCGCAAAGCCAAGTCAAGTCGTAACACCAGTGTGGAATTTGCAGCCCGCCCGCTCGTCCCCTCGTTGGCTTCCAGAGCGGATCTGCACCTTTCTCACCTCTCCTGCCCGTTCCTGGCCCGGCCTTGTGCGACTACGGCGTAGCGCATCGGCTAGCCTACAGATCCTCTTTCCCCGCGAGCCGGCGCATCAGCTTCATCTGGAAATTGGCCTGTCGCAAAGAGATCGCCTCGACGACCAACGAGCTGCATCCTGCAGCGGCATGGCGGGGCGTTGCGCCCCATTGGCGTCCGCCAGCCTCGCGCGTCAGCATGCCCGCGAAACATCGTCATTGAGCGCGTTGGGGGATGTCCCGCCCTGGTCCAGCGACGCGTCGCTGCCCCTCGCCAGGCACAGATGCGGCGCTGTCATCCATGCCATGTTGTGCCCCGCGGCATCGGGACAGTGGGCTGGACTGCAGACTGCCCTGCACGGAGATGCCCCGCCCTCCGCCCCCTCCCAACCTCCTTATTTTCGGTGTGTCGACTGTTTCCACCACGGGCAACACCTTGGACGCGTCTTGAAGAGGCCTTCGCTCGCGTCGCATTGGCTCTGCGCGACCACCTGCCACGCCAGGATGTGCGGCCAGCCCGCTTTTTCGCGTTTCGCAAATTTCATATTGGATGCAAATCAGCCCCTCCATGATACCCATGATACGTTATCACTGCGGGATGTCGCCCTACGGACGCACAACCCCACGCTAGAAGGTCTTGTATGTTCTCCCGAAGGCGGCAGAGCCACAGCATTTCGGCTGCATAACTTAGTTGAATGCTCATAAGAACCTCAGCCATCCAATCGGGAAAGGGTCGAGGGCCTTCATTTCCGTTGTGACCGGCATGGGTTCTGGCTCTGGCCCTTCATCAAATGACTCTGGCAAGGTTGTGCCCCTTTTTCTTCCGTCCACTTTTCGTGGCCGATTGATCGCCATTCAGCGACCATTCTTGGGACAGTAGTGGTTCCGAGCCACGTACCTGGGCTGAATCGTCCGACGGCCCAAGCCACTATGTCAAGATGGTTTCGTGTCCCGCTTCCACGCGAAACTCTACGACTCAGCGCTCATCCATGCGCTAGCTGCTGCTGCTGGCATCCTTCGCCGATCTCCGCGTTGTGCCCCTCATTTTTCTAGAACATTTGGCGCGGCTTCCATCCTTAAGTTGGGAGAAGTACTGAGATCCAGCGCCGGTCTTCGTCGACATCGAGTGTGGATCGTGGCCTCTCAAGACCCGGGGCCTCTCAAGGCCTGATAGTCAAGATCCGGATCTTATTATCAGAGTGCTGCCCCTCTTTGCCCCCGCTAACACGATTTGGACACTGCAACCGGGAACTTCCCACCAGGCAGTCCAAGGGGCTGCTCATCGGCACGAACTATGGAAGGGACTGCTACGGCACCTTTTAACCTGACCACCCCTGTAGATCCGCGTTCTTTGCTTCTAGAAGCGGAATCGGTCGATTGATCTTCGTGTTTCGCCAGGACTTGTTGATTTTGCGCGAATTGCAGTAAACATAACACCTTTGATGATCTCGGACATTCAAGAGCCCGTCTGCCCCTGGAGCGGATACATCACCGGAAAAAGTGACCCCATCCTGATGTCAATTGTAATGAGAGTTCTGCGGTCTTTCCGTTAGAAAGTATGCTGTGGAAGGCCGGACGGCAGGTCACTGTGCGCAGTAGGCACGTGGCAAATGACAGGCTCCGTTGCGCTGATTTGGTAATGGGAACAGCGCATCCCGCCATGAAGCGGGACCGGTTCTGCAACTTGTGAGGACATTTTGCACAAGGCATGAATTCGGCGCCCAGATGACATGCGCAGCTAGGTCGGGCACTATTGTGGTTGCGTCATCAATCGCCTGCTCGATCTCTGGCCAGCGGTAGCGAGCGGCAATGTCTTGAACCCTTCTACGATCGTGATTATTATGGTCCACAGAAGAACGTGGGATAATATTCCACGGAATCGCGTATCGGATCGGCACGTTGATGGGTGAGCTTTCCGCTTATGATGCGCCCAGGCTTTGTCTGTGGGCGTGGCTGCAGCGGAAACTGAGGGAGGAGCTATCTAGCGGCATGATGTGCAAGATCCTGGTCCGAGAGTCTCCTTACAGTACACTGACAAGCCATAGGGCTGCATGAACAGCGGATTTGCCGTTGCGCAAGGCTGCATACTGATGTCTGTGGAAAGCCTATTGCCAAGTTCGCAGACCAACTTTTCGTCCCGCAGCCACACGCCTCCGTGGCAGCTGCGTAGTTGGATGCTTGTGGCGACAAGGTATTCGTGGTGCCTGAAGCGGGCGGTCCCTGCCAGCCAGCGCGGGCGGCGTTGTTGCGTCAATAGCTGTCAAGCTCCTATGACAAATCGGCAGTGGGGTGGTAGATTTCCCAGATAACGGGCACTGGGGAGGGATCTTCATGCCCTAGATTTCTCCGCAAGCTTAGTCCACGTGTTGGACGGGGGCAGAAGCGCTGATCGGCGGTATGCACGCGGCATTAGCAGCAGCAATCAGGCCATGTCGGCAGCGGTGCGCGTCGGATTGAGTTTGGGAAGCGTTGCGGGAGAAGCAGCCCTCAGGCAGCAGGCGGGCGGCAGGCGAGGCCTGACTCAACATGGCCATTGGCAAGTTGCTTTGTCCGCCGCTTTGGACAGGTGACATGGCGACGCTTCGGGGTGCTTGTGCGGGCAGTTATGCAGAGCCCGAGGGCAGATATGCAGCGCCAATGCCAATAAGACGCGCCGCACTGGGCGTGGGCCGTTGGGGGGCGTATTGCCTTTATAAAGAAGTGGAGAGCAGAGGCTTGAGCGGCATTTTTCGCTGCGATCTCCAGCGCAGGGCCCGCGTCGCGCACGTGATCTGGCCTCGTCGGGCGAGAACCCTGAATGAAGCGGCCGCAACACCACCAGCACCCGCACCCGCGCCTCCCACCGCACGGCGACCCCCGCGAGACGACTGCGACGACGCCCTGCCCTGCTACTGTGCCTCTTGCTTTGTTCCCACGAGCGCCCCATTGCACCGTGAGCCGACGCTGCGCGCTCATGTGGTGCCGCTAGACGCCCGACCCCCCACGAGCCCATGCTCTGGACGCCTCCGGAGGTGCTGTTTCGCTTGGCCCAGCTGGCCTTTGACTCCCACTCAACGTGCTGACAGCCGCCTGTCGCTGCCCCGACACGCTCACCACCGCGCGCACTTGGAAGCTCGCCGACACCCCCGTCGCGGCTCTCCGGCTCGGTCCGACTGCTAGGACGAGAGAGGGGCATCAGGGAGAGGCTGTCGGAGCTGCTGCGAGAGCGCCGCGACACCCGCGACCACTGCGACCGCCAGCGCTGCGCTGGCTGAAATCACTATGAACGGATACTCGGGTACGTTGGCCCCGCCAGGGGGGCTGTACGTACGCGCCCTGTACGACTACGACGCCGACGACCGCACCAGCTTGAGCTTCCACCAGGGGGATATAATACAGGTCATCACGCAGCTCGAGAGCGGCTGGTGGGACGGCGTCATCAACGGTGTCCGCGGCTGGTTCCCCAGCAATTACTGCGCCGTGGTCGCACAGCCCAAGGACGAGACCCGCGATGCTGAGAGCAGCGCCGACGAAGGGGACGTCGGCACTTTGGACGGTTCGCAGGACTTGGGCAGCTACTCGGAGGCTTCAGATACCGACGACGATGGAGGAAATACCCAGCTGCCCATGGAGGGCACCGAGACGGATAAGGAGGAGGAGGCTGCATTCTGGATCCCCCAGGCCACGCCCGACGGGAGGCTGTTCTACTTCAACACACTCACTGGCGTGAGCACCATGGAACTCCCACTTGAGACGCCGTCGTCTTTGTCGGAAAACGGACCGAGAGACCGCACCAACGTGAACATGCCCGAGAGCAGTCGGCCACCTCCTGAGCTCATGGCGGGAGGATGGCATATGTACAATGGCGACACCGACGACGAAAACTCCGCGTCAGACGTCGAGGGACCCTCTGGCATGGCTGGATCTCACAGTTCACTAGTAAGTTTTAGTGCAGTTGCACATGTGCAACCTTGTTGCTAATTAGTTTACCAGCAGCGCCGACGGTCCTTGGCTTCCAACGGGATTTCTCCTGCCACATCCATGGACTCCATGAGCAATGCCTCTGGACTAACACGTTCTCGATCCGACCTTCACGAACACGCCAACGAGACGGGCTTCTCAGGACTCGGTCCGCCGTTGGGCTCTACCATGTCTTCCTATGCGAATAACTCAATTGGAGCGCCTCTCACATCCGCCGTTTCCAAGCAGTTCTTCGACGACGCACAAGCTGTTCCTCTGACATGGAATCGTATGGTCGAGGACATGCGCAGGTCTGTAGAGCGGTATCGGCAAGCAATCAACAACGGTGATCGCTCAGAGTTTGTGAAGAGAGCGGAGGACATTTCGGACCATCTGCGATTGCTGCTCGCCGCAGGATCGGGAACCACTGATAACCACTCTGGAAACCCTTCAATTATCTCCACCAACAAGGCTCTCTATCCTCACTTCCGGGAAACAATGTCCAGGTTCTCCAAGCTCGTGCTCTCCTCGCACATTGCAGGAGCAGACTGGCCTCCAGCGGACTCATACTCCAAGTGCTTGAAAGAGGCAGACGGCGTCCTGAACGGGGTCTACGGTTTTGTCGAAGTAGCTCGCCAGCAGCGCGGTGAAGACATCCCACGCTTGATCCCGGGTTTCGTCGTGAATAGCTACAACGGAGGCAACTGGCAAAACAATGGTCTCAGCACCCATGACCCAATGAACCCCATGTCTTTCATAGACCAGGACGATTTCGAGGAGCCGAGCGCCCGGTTGGACGATAAACTTGTTGAGAGACTAGATGATCTCAAGAGGCTCATTGTCGCAAGTATCAGAAAGCTGGATGAGCGCTTGGTCGTAGAAGAAAAGGTGATCACTGAAGCCGTTCACCAAAAAACCGGTGAGCGCGTATGCAAAGCCGCTTCCAAGGTTCTGGAAATTTACCGTCCCTGGATCGCTACGGTCGAATCCATCAATCTGGCACCCATTGGTTCGACATTCCAAAACCCCCAAATCGCAGACTTCAGCGTGGCAAAGCAAAAGGTTTATGACATGATCTCGGAGCTCATCCTCACTTGCCAAGCTGTTGCTGCACCCCTAGGAGATGAATGGGCAGACAACCGTGGAGACTCGTTGGAGGAGCGCTTGAAAAACGTCCGTATCGTTTCGCGGGACCTTGAGTCGAACACTTCCAAGCTGTACTTTGCTCTTCAGCTGCTCTCCGACCTCATGCCCATGGAAGACAGCCCATCCTCCATCAGTAGCAAGCGCCACACTGACATGGATCTGTACAACACCTATCAGCGAAAGCCTTCGACCCAGTTCAGCAGGTCCCCACTTGGAGATGACCCTCTGGAGATGCACAGCGGAGGAAACAACTCCAAGCTCAAGAAGTTCTTTGGAGAAGTGCCCGCACCTGTTTTGCCGCAGGCGGTTCCAGAGGAGATCCCCGAGTTCCTTCAATTGGACCACGAAGGCGAGATTTCGTACGATCTCAAGAGCACTCCAGCGCAGCTCAAGGGTGGCACACTCGCCGGCCTTGTCGAGCAACTCACTCGTCACGACAGGCTCGATTCACCTTTCAACAACACATTCCTCCTCACCTACCGCTCTTTTACCACTGCTAGCGAGCTGTTTGATATGTTGGTCAAGCGCTGGAGCATCCAACCGCCCGCTGGTCTGTCCAGGGAGGATTATCAGCTTTGGGTGGACAAGAAGCAGAAGCCCATCCGCTTCCGTGTCGTCAACATTCTCAAGAGTTGGTTCGACAACTACTGGATGGAGGGCAACGACGAGGAAGCGCAAGCACTCATTCAGCGGGTGTACGCCTTCGCGAAGGACCATGTTGCGACCACAAGCACTCCTGGAGCAGCTCCTCTGATGACTGCCGTCGAACAGCGTGCCAGAGGCCAGGATGCTCCAACCAAGCGTCTCGTCCTCACCCTAAACACCTCCACCCCTCAACCAATCTTGCCGAAGCACATGAAGAAACTCAAGTTCCTCGACATCGACGCCACCGAATTTGCTCGACAACTCACCATCATCGAGTCAAGGCTGTACGGCAAGATCAAGCCAACCGAATGTTTGAACAAGACTTGGCAAAAGAAGCTGGCGCCAGGCGAAGCAGATCCGGCCTCGAATGTCAAGGCTCTGATTCTGCACTCCAACCAACTCACAAATTGGGTTGCCCAAATGATTCTCACCCAATCAGACGTCAAGCGACGCGTGGTGGTCATCAAGCATTTCGTCTCTGTGGCTGATGTAAGTATTTGAATTCCGTCTCCCTGAGCAAGACACTAACGATTACAGAAATGCCGCTTGTTGAATAATTTCTCGACGCTTACGTCGATCATCTCTGCGCTCGGTACGGCACCGATCCACCGTCTCAACAGGACGTGGGGTTCGGTCAATGCCAGGACCATGACCACTCTCGAAAACATGCGCAGGCTCATGGGAAGCACAAAGAACTTCGCCGAGTACAGAGATACTTTGCACAAAGCCAACCCGCCTTGTATTCCCTTCTTCGGTAAGTATATCACAGGCCGTGTACGCAGTCGAATCGATTCTCTAACATTGGTCCAGGTGTGTATCTCACCGATTTGACTTTCATCGAAGACGGTATTCCGTCTCTTATCAAGAAGACCAACCTCATCAACTTTGCCAAGCGCGCGAAGACGGCAGAGGTGATCCGGGACATCCAGCAGTACCAGAACGTGCCATACCCGCTGCAGCCGGTGCCGGAGCTGCAAGATTACATCTTGACCAACATGCAGTCAGCGGGTGACGTGCACGAGATGTACGACATGAGTTTGGCTGTCGAACCCCGTGAGCGTGAGGATGAGAAGATCGCAAGGTCAGTCCGACAGCAGCGCAACACGGTAATAGGAGGGAGAACTAACAAGGCCACGTAGACTTCTATCTGAGTCCGGATTCCTATGATGATACCCCTTGAAGCATTTTTCTTGCTGCGCATGGCCACGGAGGCGGCGGTCGGCTGGTCGCCCATACATCGCTCGCGGGAATCTACGTTTTTACGGAAAGGCTGTTTTCTGGGCGGCGTTTGTCAGGTGTCCGAAGGTGCCGCTATACTTTGCTGCCTACACTATTCGATGGAGTTCCGCTTCGCATTTTTTGCCATTCCAGCTTTTCCGGTGATGGCATCTTTTCATCCACGGCATAACGAAAGGAACGGCATGCACGAAGGGTTGTGGAAGGAGAACGGACATGCGGGAATCTGACGTGTGTATCTGGATGTTAGTCGCCTGTTGGAGAGGATGTGCGGAGGAGGGAGCACATGGGGGGGAAGGCGCTGAATCATACTCCGTCTACGAACAGCCAGTTGCCGTTAAGCGCCAGCTTTGCCAAGTACGATAATATCAGCCAGACAGCGACCGTAATCTCGAGCCTTTTACTTCAGGTCGATAATGAAATTGAGAGGTCAAGAGCAAGTCCAATGAGTTGTTGTGTGCTCATCCGTGATGTGCAGCGTTTGGCCGCCCGCCACGAGAGGCAAACACTCCAGGCCACGCGAGCAGCACAGTCCCGCGGCGAGGGAGACTACAATTCGGCAGCCTTGTGCAAGAGGTTGGGTGGTTCCGGGGACGAAGAAGCATCAAGGGCCATGTGTCACCAGCATGCTGCTCGATATTACGAGTCTTGGCTCGTGATGGATCTTGTACGACTCCAGAAGCGAAGCCGGCAGAAATCACCCGGGGCTTCCTATCAGCGCTGCCGTGCCATTGGCGTGCTTGGCCAAGGTCCGGCGGCCAATGGCTTGGGCTTATGAAGTACTCCTGCGGTTGTCTGTTTGACCATCGCCGTCGGCGGAACCCCAGATGCCACGCCAGGAACAACCCACTTGCGCGCCATACCACGATGCGGGGCTGGTAAGTGCGACCGACTAAGGGCACCCTTGCCGCTATGACAGCTCGTCTCATTCGCCGGCCGCCATTCATGCGCGTATGTTGTGCAACGCACTCTCCAAGTCGCTGTCCAAATTCTCTCCTTATCTCAATAGGGCCCACCGCCCTGCCAGACAAGCACTCGCTCCCTTTCCCCGCCTTTCTACAGTCGAGTGCCAGCGGATCGGCGTCTCTCATCATAATGTGTGCTCCATGGTGATTCAACTCTGCTCTTTCCGCCTTCCTTTCTGCATGTCACTTGTTTCGCTTTGTATCAGTTTCCATATAGAGAAACCGCAGCATTGCCACAGGGTCGCGCCCGGTGTCCGCTGAGCGTCACCACGAGGGCATCTGCACCAGCATATAGCGCTTTCCTTCCCTATCCGCGTGCACTCCTATTTCCACCCAGCAAAGAGACAATCTTCACCAAGACTTGACCACGCAACGCTTGGCCTACAGCGCAATCTCCAGTCCAATTCGCCATCCAGACTCTCCTTCAGCATCCGAACATGGCGGGCCGCGTTCCTTCACCAATGGCTTTACTGCTGCTGGCTTTCCTCCTACCTTCTCTTGGTGAGCAATTCACGCATCCAGCCCACCCCGACACAGTGTCATCCAGATCCCGCAACCGCTGACGCGCAACGACGACCTCGCAGTCACGGCACGATGCGAGTGCGGCTACTCGGTCAACAAGACGACGGACGCGGAGCACACGGTCTGGACGGACCTGATGGAGACGGACTTCCTGCACATCGACGACGTCGCCAACAACAGCGACGGCGCCAACAACAACATCGGCTGGGTGCCGCAGGTGTACAACGTCACGCCGGCGCTGGCGCGCGGCACGTACGGCAAGATGGCGCTGCTGGAGAACGTGGTGGCGAACCCGCTGAAGAACCCGTGGGACTGGGCGGGCGAGGCGACCGAGGCGGGAACCGATGCCGGGTTGCAGCTGATGGTGCGTTCGCGGCCGGTCGACGACATGGTGCCGATTGGGGAGATCGTCGCCGCGAGGACGGACATGCTGTATGGCAGCTTTCGGGTCGCGATGAAGATGACTGGGGTTCCGGGGACCTGCGGGGCTTTCTTTTGGGTATGAGTCTGCGGCCCTCCTTATTTTTTCTCGTTTCTATGTTCAATCTTGTTTTAGAAGGGTTTCAGTTGAACTGACCAGCATGACGGCGCGCAGTTCCGGAACGACACGCAAGAAATCGACGTCGAGTTCCTGTCCAAGCAGCTCAACGCCTCGTCCAACCTCGTCAACCTCGTCCTGCAATCGCCGCAGTCGGCCGCGGCGGGATACGACGCCTCGCACACGCCCAACTACGACGTCTACCCGCTGCCGTTCCGGCCGGACCGCGCGTTCCACGAGTACCGCTTCGACTGGGTGTCGGACCGCGTGTCGTTCTACGCCGACGGCACGTGGCTCAAGGACATGACGATCGAGCTGCCCAACAGCCCGGGCCACCTCGTCCTCAACCACTGGTCCAACGGCGACGCGCTGTGGTCGGCCGGCCCCCCCGCGCAGGACGCGACCATGACCGTGTCGTACGTCAAGGCCTACTTCAACTCGAGCGACCCCCAGCGCCAGAAGGACTACTCCTTGCGCTGTGCCGCCGCCGCCGCCGCCGGTGATAATGCCACGGTCTGCCAGATCCCGAACCAGACGTCGCCGCCGGATAACCAGGGGCCCGACGCTAATAGGACGGCGAGGACGTTCTTCTTTTCCGATGACCCGCAAGATTCGGTTAATCAGACGGTGTTTGACGGATGGCGGAACAGGAATGAGGGTGGAGGAGGACCTGCTGTTGGGTGGATGAAGTTGGCGGCCGGCATGGCCTTCGCTTCGGTCATGACCGTGGTGGGTATTGCATAGGGTGGTCGTTACAGATCATCAAGTTGGGGCAATTAATAGGGCGTTTTTTGGGGCTTTGGAAGGCTGGCGCAATTCTGGGAGTTGGTAGTGTCTTTGGAGCGTGAGTTGGGGTTTTGCGACTTTCATGGCTGGGCTACTTTTTCTTTTCTTCTCCTCCCTCTCTCTTTTGGACTTTCTTCCCTTGGACGGACTATGGATGGTTCGGGGCACTTTTTCCTTTCTTAGCCCGGTTCGCTTGGTTTGCTCAACTTTTACTTAGGGGACGTTGCTTTCTTTTGTTCTGTTTACCCTTCTTCACACCGTCGTGGGCGTACAGTTGATGTACTACATCTTATACCCCTTCATCTTCTACCACACCCGGTTTCTTAGCTGTTCGTAGCCACTTCGGAAGTATAGATATTTATTCACTGTAATTCTTAGTTGCTGTGTGGTCCTCCGTTCATCCCTTTCCTCCTGTTCCTCCATTGGAAAGCCCGCCAGGCCAGTTCTCTACACGGATCAAGGTCGTTTGGCATTTCCTGTTCACACCCGACCGTGGTGACTGATTTTTCGCCGATTAAGGGGTTCTGTGGCATGGAATGTACCTACATATCTTCCACATGATCGTGGAAGTTCTCATTCTTCGACAGGAATGCAGTATTACCGATCCCAAAAGGACAGATCTGAAGTTCGGACCTAGTCGGATCATCCGAAATTTTTCTTTTTCTCTCGCTTTTCTCAGCCGCGCGGGCGGTTAACTAGCTTGCTGCAAGCCGCAGAGTGATGATTGGGTGCGGGGAAGACGGTAGCGATAGAAGACTTGCATTAGCGAGACGCTGGCATTGATGGTTTTGGTGGATGTGGCGCACTCTTCTGCCCGATTGGCGAGTGAGTGATCAGGGGGGAGGGAGTGTCACCGGAGCATTTCAGACTCGTGAGTGGCCGCAGCAGCGAGGTTCTTTCTTACTTGTTCGCATCGTGCTGGGTGGGACGCATGAAAATGTCGCTTCATGCTGTCGCTTCCAATGGCTGAGAGTGAAGGAGGTAGCGTTTTTCGGCGAGCTTTCTCACATGCGCCAATGGTGCCGAAGCGGGAATGGCGCCGGTGCCACAGAACCTATACAATGTACTTGTTCCCCCTTTTGTCGGGCGATAGGGAGCTGATCGGCCTCAAGTGGTCGATAGTGAATGCAGGTAGGAGATTGCTACTACATGCAATACTATGCGGGCCCACCCGGCTTTTCTGCGCTTCCGTGGCTGGGACTGGGCTGGGCTAGACTGAGTCTCCAGAGGAGTGAAGACGGTAGCGAATGCCCGACGATCTCTTTTTTTTTCTTCACTTCCAATTCTCCTTTCTTTGACACAGTAATCTTGAGTGCTCACAATTCTCCTTTCTTTCTGAACGAGACGTCGGGTGTTCACTGCTTACTAGAAGGCCACGACCGAGGCTTCTGAAGCGGTTCGCGCAACAGTCATTCTCTCCTTCACAATCACTACGCTCGTTGACTTCGGTCTGTGAGACCGAGACACAGTCGTCGGCTGTTACCAGCCTGTTAGTTTTTTGTTCAGTCGTACTTGTCTTAGCGGCAAAGAAAGCCTACCGGACTTCCTACTTTGAACCCAACCTCACGATATTGTTCCTGTCAGCACGGAAAGCCATCTATAAATTCACACCTTCAGGGACATACATCAATCCTCAACAGTCTTTTTTCAACGCATTCAGGCATCCACGAACTCCATTGATCCATTGGGGGTCCACCTTTCATCATCACAATCCCGTCCGGTCACATAGCCGCGGGTCAACTTCATCTACAACCACGATACGCAAAGGGCTCAGCATAGTCGTAATACATCCAGCACAATGCGCACCTTCACCACTTCCGCCATCCTGGTCTCCGGGGCACTTGCCGCAATCGTCTTTCCAGCGGGTACTCCTGCCACAGACGTGGCCGGCCTCGAACTCCGCCAAGCTCCTACCGCAGCCACGAGCGTCACCTCTCTTACCAACACCGCGGCAGAAGCAGAAGCAGCGACAACCGCAGCAGCGAGCCTCCTCGCTGCCACCACCGCGACCACCGCGCAGACTGCCGTATCCATATCCACCTCTCATTCTTCCTCTTCGACCACCTTACCGCTGCTCCCAACGACTTTGACAACAACAACAGCATCCACAGCGGCAACAGCCACCACCAGTGTCAACTCCGCACTCACCACTTCCTCGTCGACTTCAACATCACCCACCAACCCCGCCCTTCTTCCAACCACAACCACCACCACCACTTCCTCCTCCCCAGCCACCGCCGCCATCCCAGCCACCACCAACCCCCTAGGTGGCGCAGCAGCCGGAGCAGCAGGACAAAACACCTGGCTCACCACCGTCTGGCGGGCACAAACCGACGCCGCGGGGGCGACGCTGGGGTACGCGCAGGCCGTCTACACGCAGACGTGGGCGGCGGTGCCGGACCAGTTGCCGTCGGCGGGGAGCGGGCGGGTGCATGTTGATGATGCCGCCACGACGGGGGCTGCTGCTGGTGGGGAGGAGAAGAAGGGTAGCGGTGGAGTGAAGGGGGTGGTGGTCGGAGGAATTGTTTGGTTGTGGTGGGTGATGGGGGCGGTGATGGTGGTGGGCAATATGGGGGTATGACTGGGAGGGTCGGGTATGTTCTCCTATTTATACGTTCTTTCTTCCAATTAGAAGTGTGGTGGTGAAGAAAGTTGAAGTGCTCGGTTTCAAGACAATGGGCGTTGGGGTTGCAGAAGTGTGAAGTGTTTTGGTTGTATGGACGTAGAGAGCGAAGATTCGGGTGAAAGGGGGATTATGTTCGTGGTATGATGATGCGAGCACGGTCCGAAGCTGGATGGCCCGACCAGACCACATCAGACTGAATGGACTGGCCGTTCCGGCCGAAACGGAGTGGCGGGAGACGGGGCGGGTGAGATCAGGATCAGGGTCTATGGCGTGAGGGGTTGCGGGCCGGTGGGATCCGGGGTGCAGGTCATGGAGAAGATGCTGGGTTGGATATGGCATTCGAATCATGTCGAAGATAAACACTCTCTGAATTTTGCTTGGGTTGACGGATGCTGAATATGGCTGGATGATAAGATGCTGCCCGTATGCCGTCGGCCATACTCTTGGCCTTCTGCTTATGCCAGCTTAATCGCCTGTACCTGCGTTCACAATAATCCCGAAAAATCGGTGTGAAACAGTCAAGTCACGGCATGATGGAGCAGCCGGCGAATCGGGGCAGGCAAGTGGCCTGCGAGTGGGTTACTCTTGCACCACGACCATTTGTGCCGGGCTCGGGTTCGTGCACACAAGGTGCCAAAGCAGATACCCACGTGTATCTGATCTCACTGCGTTGTGCGGAGAAAGCATTTGCGAGTGTTCCGGCAAGGCGCGGAAGGGTCTGCATTTGGACGAATAGCATGATGACGATCGTAGTCGTATTCGGACTAGATGCGCCGCACATGTGCTTCCCGCTTTCTTTCGAGACCACGCTCGGGAAGCGGCACCGCTAAAGCCCGCGATAAGCCAGGTGTTGGCGCTAAGCAGCGGAGACTTCAGGTGAAAATGTTCGGCGGTGTGTTTTGTAGCGCTAGGCGCCACCTGCGTCCTCGACCTGAGGTTAAGCTTACTCGGCGCGGTCCACCGCTTGCGTCTCTGCTTGCGTTTCCGCTACGTACAGCTACACGAGTGGGAGTCGGAGATTGCTAGAGCCGGAAGCCGACGTCTCCGACGCCCGAACCGGACCAGGCTGACGTGACGGATCCAGGAATCCATCTCGGACTGATAATTGGGCCGGCAGGCGAGCGGGTTCGGCGTGAATAGGCTGACGGCGACAGTGGCTTTGTTGCACGTCGCTTTGTCATGTCCGGAGGCGCGGTGCGACTGACGACAAGCTCCCAGCAGTGGACGCCGGGAGCGAAGGATCAGGCTGATGGAAGTAGAATTAGGTCAGCGGTGCAGCGAGGCGGGGCTGGATTGGGAAAAGAGCGATGGTGTTGTCAAGCTCTGGCGGATGGTGCTGCGGCGGGGCAGCCACTAAGTACTGGCGCGGGCGCTTGCAAGGCTTCGGCCTGGGTGCTCGTAGGGCAGGCTCGACTCTGCAGCTGCCACACACGACGCCGCGTGCTCGCTCTTTCTCCTCTGCAACTGCCGCGCACGACGCCGCGTGCTCGCGCTCTCGTCTGCAGCGCTGCAGCACACACAGCACTAGAGCAGCAAGCGCCTTGCCTTGCGCACAGCAGCTCAGGCATCGGCTGCGCGTCCGTTTTTTTGTGCGACCTGGGTGGCCCCGGCGTGCTTGGCGGCGTACCGACACATCCGGCAGCGGCCGGGGCGTGGGTGGCTGACCGCGTGCCCGCCGGCAAGGACTGGCCTACGCTGGTCGTGTGCCGCTCCACCGGCCAACGACAGCGCCCGCTGCCTCGCATCCAGCGCTGCTTCAGTCAAGTCACCGGCTTCTCGTGCGAGTCCATCCGGGCCAGCCCCATCCGCTGCCGGCCAGGCGCCGCTAGACGAGCAGAGTCGCCGAGCCCGACCTCATGAAGATTGAGAGATGACGCATCCTTGTCCGGACTGTCGGCTGCCTGGCGCTGCCGTCGCTATGCCACTGGTGAGAAGTGTCGTAGGTGATATGCCAGCGCCCGCTGAGAATCCTCCGTCCCCGACCCACCAAGCCTGTACTACTTAGCTCCCACGAGGCGCCTGCCCTGGGGGGTTCTTTATCTCCCGCTCTCCTGCGCGTCGTGCCTGCTGTCGCGTGCCTTTGTCTCCCCTACCGGCAGCTGCTCCAGCCGACGCCACCTCCCGAGCCTCACGCGGAACCGCCCATCCCAGCTCGAGTGTGGCTAACCCAAGCATCCTATTCGCCTACCCTCTGGTCGACATCTTCCTACTTGAAGCAACTTCCCTCGACATCGTACCTCTGGAACCATGGGCGCGGGCGCCTTTATCGAACCGCTTGTTGTTGTCAGCCTTCTGTTCGGCGGCACCTGGCTGAATCGCAACCCGGACTATCGCCTCTTCGCCTCATCCCGGCCCCACCGCCGCAGCAAGCATGTACGCAGCGGCTCGCCAGACAGCATCGAGTCGGGCTTTGAGAGCCCCACGGACGCCGACGGTCTTCTCTCCCCGCGCGCCAGCTCGCCCTCTCTGCTGTCCGCCGACAAGCAGCCCAAGCGGCGGCAACGTGAGCTGCGCCTGCTGGGATTCCGAACCACAGTGACGTCGCCAAACACGCGTGTCTTCCAGGATCGGTTCCTCAGCCGCTTACTGCAAAAGTTCCCGTTCCTGGTTGAAGCTTGGTACTGGGCTCTGATCTACTGGGTATGTCTTTCGTCCCCACTCTTGCATACAGCGGGGTCACTAACACCTTGCAGGTCTACCAATTGGGCCGCGCGTTCACGGCACTGACGCTGGTCGAGGATACTGTCAATGTCGCCCGCAAGCATGCGCTGCAACTCATCCACATCGAGCAGAAGCTGCACATCTTCTGGGAGCTGCCCGTGCAGCACTTCTTCTTACAGTACCCCACGCTTATGACCTGGATCAACCGCATCTACTCCTTCATTCACATCCCAGGCACCATCCTTTTCCTCGTCTGGCTGTATTACTTCACCACCACCCGCAACCGCTTGAACGAGCGCCAGCTCGGCAAGCCCGCCGGCAGCATCGAGGGTAGCCCTGCTGGACCTGCCCTCTATGAAGCCAGGAGACGCACCATGGCCGTCTGCAACCTGATTGCCTTCATCGTCTTCACGCTCTGGCCGTGCATGCCCCCACGCCTGCTCAGCGACAAAAACGTCAAGGGGCCGGTTGGTGACGAGGCCCGCAAGTTCGGCTTTGTCGACACCGTTCACGGCGAAGGGGGTGAAAGCAGCGTCTGGACGCAGAACAAGTTCTGCAACCAATACGGTAAGCAAATCCCAGACAAAAGAGCTACCTTCCCGGCACCGCCAGTTTTATTTTTTTTATCCTGTCCCTTTCGGGCGACTGTCGTGCCTGTCCTGTGCGAGTCATTGACTAACATCTTGGCGTCGCTCGCCTTCCCGATTCGTCGTAGCCGCCATGCCGTCCCTACACTTCGGCTACTCGCTGCTCATCGGCCTCACCATCCTCACCATCCCGCTGCCGCCGCACCAGCGCCGCGGGCTGTCCATCCGCCTCACCAACAGCCTCAGCTTGCGCCTGCCAAGCCTGCGCCGCACGCTGAGCATCGTCGTCGGCGTCGCCTACCCGCTGACCATTCTCGTCGCCATCGTCGCTACTGCCAACCACTTCATCCTCGACGCCGTCGCCGGCGCGATCGTGTGCGGATTGGCGTGGACGGGCAACGGTGTGTTGCTGAACTTGATGCCGTTGGAGGATTGGTTCTTGTGGTGCGTGCGCATCCACAAGCCGGAGAGTAAAACAGTGAAGTGGATGGAGGGAGGAGAGGACGACGAAGAGTGGGTTGTTGGAAAGGGTGTGTTGCCGTGAAAGGAAGGAGAAACAGGAGGACGATGACTAACGAGGTAAAATTCAACGGGGAAACTTGAACGGAATTGGTAAGAGAGGGAAGACTGCTCGCGCTGCATGTCTCTTCTCTTTTTCTTGACTGTCCATTCCTGGTTTTTGGAATGGGAGGTTTCGATTGTTGGACAGACGTAATGACGAGGCTGTTATGACTGCTCTCGATTAATGACATTGGCACGCGCTGCCTCTTGAAACCCAGTTTCTTTTTTCCCCCTTAGCAGCGACTAGATGGTGTATGTGTTGCCATGATGCGAGTCGCTTGTTTTCGCTCTTATATGGTCTTTCTGCTCATAACCTCACCTCCATCTATATTGTATGGAACAAGAGCTTTCCCTCTCAATTCAATAGAATAGTTGCAGACAGGAGGGACAACGGGAGTACTGGCATATTGATCTTGATCATTCGCCTCATTTTTTTTTTTTTTTGTAGCTCGTCCTCCAGTACGAACACCACTGAGACTTTCTTTCGTTTTTTGGTTCACTTGTGATAGTTGGCGTGAGTATCTTTGTAAATGCAGGAGGAAGTGATGGTCACAAGATTTGTTTTGGATTCTGATATGATCGTCAGGATCCGTATTGTGGGTTCATTGCTTGTATGGGATCGGTGGCGGGGATCCATCCAGCCCTGATTAGGAGAGGATTATCGAGCGTCTCATCTCAGGAACATTGGATCCGAGATTTGATGCACGCGCACACCTCCAAGCTGACGGAGAAGGTCATGCTGCGAGCTTGATATAGCGGCTACCACGAATCGCCCCTCCTTGTCGAAGAAGTCATGGGAAACGCTTGTGTTACTAAGGACATCCCATAGGATAGAAAACCAATGCAGAAAGAAAAAAAACACGGTACCAAGGTCCATTGTTGATGAGCTCGATTTTTCTTGAGCGATGTCTCGTGCCAATTACTTTCCCGTTCTCGTTCCAAACAGTCGGTTCCCCCCACTATACGTACATATATCGTCAACCATTGCATGCAAACCAATTAATCAGGGCCATTACTCTTCAGCATCCACCCGTGTGTGCCCCCATCCTCTTCCCGACACGACGCGCAAAACGAAGTCATCAAACATCCGTACTCTGCCCTTCTTGGCCTCTCCATCCACCATCCGCCGCTACCTCGTCACCTTCCCCTGCGTCGCCAGCAACGTGGTCCTCCCTCCCAATCACAAAATCCACTCTCCCGATGGTTTTGAAGGAGGACGATCCACCGCCATCGTCGGCTTCTGCTGCTGCTGCGCCGCCGTTGATCAGCTGGCGACCCCGATCACATGATTGCTTCAGCTCCCTCTCCGGCGGCCTCCAGTCGTCAGCAGCGGCAACGGTAGTGGTGGTGGTGGTAGTAGTAGTAGCGCAGTTGTCGACGGTGAGAGTGTTGGAGAGAGGCGAGGAGGTGGTGATGGAGGAGGCGGCGGCGGCGGCACGGACGAGTTTGGCGATGAGGTCGGCGAGGGACATTTCGATGGAGAGTTTGACCAGGTAGGCGAGGGGGTGGAATTGCACGTAGACGAAGGGGTTTTTGGAGAGCATGGACAGGATTATGGCGATCTACTCGTTTTGGCCTCTATATCTCAGTATGGAGGAAAGGAAAAGAAAGGGAGAAAAAAGTAGTTGAGGGGTAAACATACGTCCATGAAGACGGAAACCATGGCTAGGCCGGCGTTAGCCCGGAATAAAGTTATATACTTGCGCAAACCGTTTGCGATAAGGTCGCGGCGGATTATATATAGGAAGTAGCAGTTGAGGGCGGCGTCGAGGAGTAGGAAGAGAGCTTTGGTGACGGGGTCCCAGATGTGGTTGAGGTGGACGTAGGTGGTGGAGCGCTGGAGCTGGGCGGGCAGCCAGATGCAGAAGACGCTGACGTTGATTATGCCCACGTAGCCGGCGACGCACCACTTTATGTTGCGTACTTGGTGCTTGTCGGGAAGGAGCAGCCCCACGCGGTTGACTATGATCTGCAGGATGACTTGAATTTGGATCACCCAGAAGAAGAGCACGAAGAAGAAGAACTCGAAGCTGCATTGAACTCGTCCCCGAGAAACGGCCCAGGGGGATTGTGTTAGTGAAGCGCATTCTTCTGTCAGGGTGCTTCGATCTTGGCCTTGCCTTGGCGGAATCATGCCCATCATGTAAAACCAACCAAAGAAGCCGATGATGGAGCTAGCAACCAGCTCGGCCCAGATCATTACGATATACATGGTGATGCGTTTTTTGCGTCTCCAGATGTGTAGCGTCTGTTTCATGGCCGTCCCGGTGGCGAATATCGTCCATCCGAGCGTGAATCCCCACTCGATACTGACGACGGCCAACTCGGCGGGCGTCACTTCGTAGAATTTCCACCATGACGGCACGAGTGTGCCTATCATGCCGGGGAGTTGAGAGAAGTAACAGATAGTCGGAAATGAAGAGTGGAGGCGGTGGAAGCGAGTGCGGAGCGGTACCGCTATGACGAGTACGAGAAAGCTGGACTATTGTATAGACTCCGAGACATGCAGCTATCGGTGACGACGTGACTCGTCAACACCGCCGCTTGCATCGAGAGCTGTTGACAGCTGCATGTTTTCAGTCATGACATTACCAACCAGGCGAGAGATTTGCTTGACTGCGATGCTCCCGTCTGTCCAATACTCGTCGGAGTTGAGCAGCAGTACTTGTATGGGTTAGGAGGCGGGGAAGTCTGATTTACATGAAGACTGGTAGACGGAGAAGGGAGTTTGGGGAATCGGCAAAGTAGACCGGCTCGACCGGACGACAGGACAAGTTCTCGACGACTCGCTAATAAGGGCCGACGTAGTACGAGTGCGGAGAATTGGTTACACAGGCCGGATGTGGTAAGGTTTACGAATAGACATCATATATACATATATATGACGGGTGAGCCTGACGACAAGTTGGCTATGCTGTGAGACTGAGTAGGAGCATAGCGTACAGCATGGACGGTCGATGGCCTTGGCGCGCAGGGAAGGCATTGAGCGTTACAAACGGGGTCCTCGGCGGGCGGCAGCGACTCGTGGGTGTTGTCCCAGGGGAGCGGATAGAGCAATATGCTGGGTGCGACACAATGCGGTGCGGGCAGGTGCGGGCAGGCGCTGAGGGGCGATCGTTGCTGGAAGCGGCCCGTTGAACTGCTGGATAAAGATAGAAGTCCGGCAGCGCGAGAAAGCATGCCACCGGCGGCGGGCACGTGCGCGCGACTCGCTTCGGGCCGCGGGCTTGACTGGAGCTTCGCCGGGGCTGCTCAACGAATTCTAATCATCCTCTCAGGGGGGAAGGATCGCGGGCGCCTGCAGCGATCTAGGCTGCCGCACGCCTCGCGGAACGAGCCAGCGGCGCCGCAGCCGCGGGTTGCGGGCGTGCCATTACTGTGCCAGGCGCATTGGCAGTCGCGGCCGCCCTGGGCTGTCTGGGCTGCCTGGGCTGCCTGGGCTGCCTGGGCTCCCTGGGCTGCGCGGGCTGCGCGGGCGGGAAGTGGGACTCAGCGCGCACGGGGCGGGGATCCTCTTTACAGCTGCCCGTGGCGACTGCAACGCAACGCACCGCGCCCTTCATATGAACGGAACAAGGCCCCGCCGCTTCCATATCTGCCTAGGTGGCGCTCTGCTGTTCCCATCGTGCCATCCCATCCCAATGTCCCACACCTCCGTGTCGAGAATGTCCCGCCACAAGACGCGCAGCAGCACCAGGCCCGGCTTCAACATCGTGCCCTACCGCTGTGCCGCCCAGCCGCATGCCCGCCAGCCCGGCCCTGAGCCAGCCGCCGCCGCCGCCGGCTCGTCGCGCTTCCTCTTCGTCGAGGTCCATGGCCCGCACCGCACCCACCGCCAGGCCCTGCGCTACGACCGCTCGACCCAGGAGCTCAAGAGCCATGTCATGCTGGTCACCAGCGAGCGCAAGCGCAAGAGCCGCGCGAAGGACGACGAGGATCATGCCGCGCAGTCGCGACCGCTGCCCCCGCTGCCCCCGCATTGCCCGCCCGGCATCATCTCGGACATCGACACCCACCTTATTGATCCTTTCGACGTGCTCCCGATCGAGGGCAGTCCCCGCCTGCATGAAGCCATGCGATACTGTGCGCTTGCCACGCCCGCCGCCCTGCCGCCGCTTGCTGACCCGCTGCTCCTGCCCTCCAGTCTTTGAGAACTACCCCGGCCCGACGCCCATGACCGACGGTTCGTCTCGTCGCCCGCTCTCCTGCTCTCCTGATCTCCTGCCCGCGCACGTGATTGCTGACGCCCCCCCGCCAGATGTCTTCGTCTGCGACCGCAACCGGTACAAGCGCGAGCGCGTCGAGTGGAACAACACCGAGTACCATCTCTGCTACGGCGAGCCCGCCGGCTACTACATCACCCTCTTCGTCTACGACATCCTGCAGAACCTCGCCACCAGCGCCGACCACCTCAGCATGACCGCGAGCAAGTACCTGACGGCCACCATCCGCGCCGTGCGCGAAGGCATGCCCAAGGAGGGCTCCGATACCCCCATCACCGACTCGTTCGTCGCCACCGTTGGCGGCCTGAGCGTCGTGGAGGTGAGTCTGCCTGCATCCTGACCCAAACCGGCTTGGCCAACGCTGTGTAACCTCAGGTCTTCATCGGCCACTGGGCCGAGGCCGAGAGCCACATGAACGGCATGCTCGCCCTCGTCGCCGCCCGCGGCGGCATCTTCACCTTCTCACACCTGGCCCAGCGCACCATTAAGTGGATCGAGTTCCTCTGCTGCGCCGCCAACGCCTGCGCCCCGACCCTGCCGCCGCTGCCCCGCTTCCCGCTGCCCGCGCAGCTCGAAGAAATGGCCCGCGACGCCCACCGCCGCTCCATGGCGCTGCTGCCGCGTGTCTTCAGCGAAGACAAAGTGGGCGTCGACGACGACGAGGACGACGAGGATGACGACGTCCTCGGCACCGAGGCCGACGACTACTACTACTACGCCGAGCTCGGCACCATCCTGCGCGAGCTGCACGAGGTCAGCATCGGCAGCACGCTGTTCCGCGGCAAGGCCGTGGCCGCCGCCCTGGACGACGTCGAGCACCGGCTGCTGGAGGAGATGGTGCGGCGGCGACAGCTGCACCAGCAGCGGCTGGTGCTGCAGCACCACGCGCTGCAGGGCTCACCCGCGTCCCTCGTCGACAACGTCGTCAGCGTGGACACGGTCTTCGACGCGGTGCTGCAGTCGGCGCAGATGTACGTCTGGGCGGCGCTCAACCCGGGCCCGCGCGAGATGGCGGCGCACTTCGTCTTCGTCGGGCGCCTGCGCGAAATCCTCGACGACGCGGTGCCGGACCGCGCCGAGCTGGTCGAGCGGTGGGTGGAGACGACGGGGTCGGCGGACAGCCTGCTGTGGGTGCTGTTCGTCGGGTGGGGCGTGTCGTCGCAGCAGCAAGGCGACGTCAAGGGGGCCATGTCGGTGGCCATGTGGTACGTCGAGCGCGTGCTCGAGACCATGGACGCGGTGGGGGTGCTGCGCAGCGAGGAGGACTTGGCCGACGTGTTGAAGCGGTTCCCGTGGGTGGACGGCTTCTGTCGCGGGCCGTGCGGGGTGCTGTGGCATATGTACGTACACAGGGAGTCGTCCGAGTACAGTCAATTTCAAAGTTGAGGCTTTGTGATGTTGCAGGTCTGGACGCGACTGGTATCCAGTGAGTGCCTGATCAAGCAGGAAGTGCTGATGCCAATATACGCCCGAGGTCCGAGCGAGTGGACGCCACCAAGACCAGCCAGCACTGGTGGGAGTCGGTGAGTGTCGACGGGCCGGCTGCGAGAGAAAATTGCAAGGGCTGTGGATACCGGTGCCTCGTTCGCAGGCCCAACGTCGGCCCTGTCGGCGCCGAATTTCGCCGCATCAGTACGAGTGCTTGGAGGAAACATCGGCATGGACCGGATGTGCCTGCATAACAGGAAATCCGGAGCGGCAGAATGGCGGCGATGTTGCGGTTCCGGGCATGGGATCTGATCTGTCGGCAATAGCTCCGGACGACAAAACGCCGCGGGGCCCCACCCAAGGCCTCCTGCCGCTCTACCGTACGCCGATCCCCCGGCTGGAGACGCCTCGATGCTTATCCGCCTCTTCGTCGTTCTGAGGAGCTCGTCTGGGCCTAGAGGGCGTGTTGGGGCGGATTAGCGACGGGGACCGGTTCCATCCGAGTCTGGTCAGCTCCGTGCATCTCGCCGTTAAACGGCACGGGAAAATAACACTCCAGTCGTCGTCTCCGCATTGTGGAGTCGGCAAGCCGAGTACAAGCCGAGATCAACATGCAAACTTCCGGGTACCCCACAGTCCAATCCCCAGTGACGCCATAGGGTGCCATCGGGCGGTGCCAATTGCCCCGAGTCTTCTGCTATAAAGCAAAATGTCGCGCCGGCGTGCTGTGTCCAGCTGGACGTAGGCTGCCCCTGTCGTTTTTCCCATCATGCTCGGCAAGACGCTTTTTGCGGCACTCAATGTGCCCGCATTTGTTTTCTCCCAGTCCATCCCGGGGGCTTCGCCCGCCGACAACGCCTGCGTCGTCCAGCCCGGCCCCAACGGCACTGATTCGGCGCCGGCAATCATCGCCGCGTTCCGCAAGTGCGGACACAATGATGCTGAAAACCGCGGCAAGATCGTCTTCCTGAACGAGACCTACACGGTCAAGTCGGTGATGAACACGACCGGCCTCAGCAACGTGGATGTCGACATCCAGGGAACGCTGCTCTGGGACAAGAACATCCCGTACTGGCTCAACGCTTCTCTCCCCGTCGGCTACCAGAACCAGAGCAGTGCCTGGCTGTTCGGTGGAGACAACGTGCGCTGGGACGGCAACGGATACGGCACTCTCGACGGAAACGGCCAGGTGTGGTACGACTTCGTCAACGGCACCAACAACTACAAGGGACGCCCGCATGCCATCACCATCACCGGCACCAAGGACAGCGTCTTTTTGGGTACCCGTTTCGTCCAGAGTCAGATGTGGTGAGTACCCGCACCGACCCCCGTCTCCACCATGACAGACAGATCGCTGAGATTGACGGCAATTCAGGACAATGACAGTCATCCACTCGGAAAACATCCTCCTGGAGGACATATACATCAACAGCACCGATACCAAGCAAGCTGTCGGCTTTGACTTTTCCTCCCTCAACGTAAGTGTCCCGCTTCTCCCGCCAGCAAAAATGCAAAACTAAAACCAAACAGACCGACGGCGCCGACACGGTCTACGCCAACAACATCACCTTCCGCAACTGGATCGTCGACAACGGCGACGACTCCATCTCCATGAAGGCCAACAGCACCAACATCCTGATCGAGGACTGCGAGTTCCACACGGGGCTCGGCGTCGCCATCGGCAGCATCGGCCAGTACGACGGCGTGTACGAGACCATCGAGAACGTCACCGCCCGCAACATCGTCGTCAACAACATGCGCTACGGCGTCTACATCAAGACCTGGACCGGCAACTCGACCGGCTACCCGCCCAACGGCGGCGGCGGCGGCCTCGGCTTCGCCGCCAACATGACGTTTGAGAACTTTTCTTTCATCAACGCCTCCGGCGTCTTCGCCGCCACCCAGTGCACCAGCTACAACGGCGCCACCGGCGGCTGCGACACGAGCGAGTTCAACATCAGGGATATGGTCTTGAGGAACTGGACGGGCACCACGACGAGCGATGTGAATGTGGCGATTCAGTGCAGTGGGAAGAGTCCGTGCACGGGCATCGCGGCCGAGGGGATCGAGCTGTTGGATACGGTCAATGGCACGAAGCCGGCGAATTGGCTGTGCTCGAATGTGGTGAGCCCGGTTGGGTTTAATTGCACCGGGGAGCCGTGGGAGGAGAATAATAGATGATTTAGAGGAGGATGAGTAGGGGATTTGAAAAGTTCAAGGTTTTGCCAAACGAATGAAAAGGATATTGTTTCTCTATGGAAATGCGCAGTTGCTTTCATTTGCTGGGAAAGTCTGGCCAGGATGCATCTTTTTAGTACTGTCCGGCATGTGAGTAAGCTTATGGACGTCGTACAAAGCTTGACCTTCGTTGCCTGATGGCGACTAGCCCAAATTCAGGGATAAAATTTCGTTCTAGAAGTGAGGGGCGCGCAAGTCTTGTGAGTGGGTGGATCATGATTAAATTCATTTGTCGGGCACCAAAAAAAGGAAAACACCAAGACGGCTTTCGACAGATCTACACACGCACACAGACCTACGAAACATTTGATAAATGCGAAATATTGCAATCTGAGAATAAAAGATGCAATCACTGGACTTGCATCAAAGATTCTGCTATGTTTACGGAGTATTTTTCGGCTGAATTCTGACACTGAATTTTCAACTTGTCTCTTCTTAACAACCACGGCAGTCTCCCGTTGAAGATTACAACATGACCCATTGAAAATGCTGTTTTACTCGTTTGAATCCCCAGAGGGGCCGCTGACCTGGTCATGGCTCAGCCTTAGAACATTCATCAAAGCCAAAAGACGATTGTGGCGGCCAAGTCAATGACGAGAGTGATCAGAAAAGCTACGACGGAGGAAGCAATGTTGCTACTTCCTTAGATTTATAATTTTCCATAGGCCTTGCGAACGTCTGATATCCATTTTTCTACTCCATTGTGTTGGAAAACGGTATCGACGGTTGCTTCCTCGTCCTGGCTGGTATTATCGAAAATAATTTCTACATATGTATCGGATGTGCTCGCTCGAACCCTTCAGCGAGGCTGTTCAGAGCTGCAAAGGTCTGCAAAATCGAGATGTGCTGACCGGACGAGCGAGGTAGCCTGTGCGCAAAGTTTTGGATGCGATATTGTGGACATCTCCTGTTACTTTCGGACAGATTCTGATCAGACCTTTCGTCGGCCATGTTATCAGTTCATTATATTGGTACAATGAAACTCAATCCTAGAATTGATGTGTGAAATCAACTAGTGATACTAAGTGCGCTTGCCATTTAGATACTGAAATTGGTTGTCAACACGATGGGCTGTCCATTGCACTCGATCAACCTTACAAACGCATAGGTTTTTAGCAATGCATGGAGCTTATTGCCTTTTGTTGATGATATAAAATTGTCCCTTGAGGACTTGCTCATGATGGTCACGCTGTACTTTGTGGAAGGAAGGGCGACAATATCACAGTGCGGACCCTGAGCCATCCAACAAGTCAAGGAAACTCAGCGGGACCGGAATAGCCCCAACCAGTGTCCACGCAAAATAGTCTCCAATAAGCACAATCATCGCCGCTGTTCCCCTTCGTTAGGCTGCCTGGCAACGGCCTCGCTGGTTCTTGTAAATAACTCACTGATCAATCCATCTCCTTGCGAAATGACTACTCCACTCATTCGTCTCGCAAGCCGAACGACTGTCAATTTTACGTACTCCGGGGCTTCCGTTAGCCATGAGGTTTCTCCCACTTCTTGCAGTCTTTGGTTTCATAATTATGGGCCTATCACTGTATAGAAACCGACACACCCTGGTCCAGTCAGTGGCTCAAAATATACCCCCAGCTTTTCAGTTGTCCTGACAATCACCTCAGATACCTTCCACAGCCGCCGCCAGTTGAAGAGCCGCTTCCGCATGAGGCACAGCTATGCCAGGCAACCGCCCCAAACAACTCTGTCGCGTCGCCCTCCAACATGCGCATTGGAAAATGCACTGCGCACTACGGGAAGATACGGCCGACGTACGAACGGGCGCGCCGCACACATGACCTCCACAACAAAATCCACGGCATCCGGCCGCTCGTGCTGCGCGAGGAGCTCGTCGAGGGGCTCTGGAACAAGCCCGCCTTCATCCTTTCCGTCCTGCTGGACGAGCTGCAGAAGCCCGCGGAAAGCCGGCTGCAGTGGCTCCTCTGGGTCGACATCGACACCATCGTGCTCAACCCGTGCGTGCCGATGCAGGCCTTCCTGCCGCCCGACGACCTAAAGAACGTGCACATGGTGGTGACAAAGGACTGGAACGGGCTCAACAACGGCGTCTTCTTCGTGCGCGTCGACGCGTGGGCGGTCGAGCTGTTCAGCAACATCCTGGCCTTCCGGTACTACCGCCCGGACGTCTACCTGCGCTTCACCGAGCAGAGCGCCATGTCCCTGCTGCTCGAGGAGGAGAAGTTCCGCGACGGCGCCGTGTACGTCCCGCAGCGCTGGTTCAACTCGTACCCGGGCAACGCCAACGACAAGCTCGAGAAGTTCCAGACACGCCGCGGCGACTTCCTCGTCCACTTGGCTGGCTGGGGCGAGAAGAGCATGATCATGAGGGAATGGCTTGCCATCGCCGAGAGGCATGCGCCCGATTGGATGCTCGAGTTCTGGCGCACAGCATATCCCGATGAGGTTGAGGAGTTTTGGACAAACTATGCGGATAAGGATTGAGGCGATGGCGCGTCCTGAGCATCTCGCTTCTACCAATATACATCCCAGCTCGCGGTCGATCGGACCGACCAGGAGGAACTGATTGGCAGGTAACTCATTGCAAAGGTATCGAGGGGAGATTACTGGCTATTAGAGCCTTCAGTGCTATAACGACCGAAGTCTGTATTTCAGAATTGATCATTTGACGGTGCAGTGCCAACATTGAACGTGCATTGCAATCGTGGCATCATTGGGTTACGATATTTTTCATCATCTGGTGAACGTGCGATGCTTTGGCTTGCATTTAAACAGAGAAAAACCAGCTATCTACAGGCACAGCTCACGAGCTGGAGCAGGCATGCGATGAATCCGGCGATTCACAAAGGGTTGACATTTCGACGAAGACGAAGTTTTCCGCCAAAGCCATCACTTGAGCTCAAACCCAGAATACCCCTCCGCAGCACACTCGGTCAGGCGAGCATAGTATGTCTGCACCCCGCCCAAATACAGCAAAGGCTGCCTCTTCTTTCCCGGAATATTATCGCCCATATACCACTTCCACGCACGTCAGCACGAACCCACACAGCGGGAAAGAGAGAGAAGAACGGGGGGGAACATCACTCACACTCTTCGTCTCGGGCAACAGCGTCTTCGCCGCAATCTCATCCACCAGCCGTACCCACTCCTCCTCGCTCTCCTTTCTCGCCTCGATGCTCTCCAGCCCTTCCTCCCGCACGTGCCGCATCACACCGGCGATCCAGTCGCCCTGCAGCTCCGCGCACGTGGGCCCGTTGCAGAAGGCCGTCGGCGCCTGCGGCCCGTACGTGAAGAACATGTTTGGGAAGCCCGCGCAGGCGAGGCCGAGATACGTGCGCGCGCCGTCGCGGTCCCACTTCTCTTTGACGGACTCGCCGGGTTCAGCAGTGCTGCTGCTGCTGCTGCTGCTGCGACGGCGACGGATGTCAATCTGCGTGATGCCTCCGGTCAGGGCGTCGTAGCCGGTGGCGAAGACGATGCAGTCGAAGGCGTGCTCCTCGCCGCCAGCGCCAGCCCCCTCCCCTCCTCCTCCTTCGTCCCCGCCAGCCGTGCGGATCCCCCTCTCCGTCACCTCCACCACCGGCGTCTCCCGCACGTCCACCAGCCGCACGTTGTCCCGCTCGAAGAGCTCAAAGTAGCCGTCCTCGAGCGCGATGCGCTTGCACCCGAACGCGTGCGGCTGCCGCGTCGGCGCCAGCTTCTCCTTCAGCCGCTCGTCCCCGATGCGGGCGCGCGTCTTGTCGCGCCAGAAGGCGTACGCCTCGGCGTTGGCGCGCGGGTCGGCGAGCATGTCGGCGTAGTTGGCGAGCCAGTAGCGGAAGTCGCCGTGCTGCCAGAGGCGCTCGTACGTCGCGAGCCGGGTGGCCGCGTCGTCGGAGAAGGTGAGGCGTGGGAGGAAGTTGTAGTCGAAGCCGGGGAAGGACTGAGTGCGGGAGGCGTAGAGGGAGGGGTAGGCGGATTTCGGCGGGGGGAGGCGCGGGTGCATGTCGCCGGAGTCGTCGTCGCCGCTGCCATGGCCCTTCTCGGAGTCGTCGATACGGCGATGCAGGCGCTCCTGGCCCATGGGCAGCGCGAGGTTCGGCGTCCGCTGGAAGACGGTCAGCTGCGCGGCCGTCTTGCTCAACTCCTGCGCCAGCTGCACGCCCGTCGCCCCCGTGCCGACGACGGCGACGCGCTTGCCCTTCAAATCGATGCCTTCCTCGGGCCAGAACGACGGATGCAGCCAGCGGCCCTTGAACTTCCCCAGCCCCTCGAAACCAGGAATATACCGCTTCGCCGCAAACCCGACATTCAGCAACAGAAACCTGACCCTAAACACCTCGCCCGCCCGCTGCGTCCGCACCGTCCACCGACTCGTCTCGTCGTCCCACACCGCGTCCGTCACCGTGGTCCCGAACTGCGCGTCGCGACGCAGGTCGAGCACCTTGTCCGCGTGCGCGAAGTAGGCCTGCAGCTGGGGCTGGTCCGGGAAGCGCTCGCGCCAGCCCTCCCACGACTCCCAGAGCTCGCGCGGCCGCGAGAACTCGTAGAAGGGCACGGGGCTGTCGACGCGCGCGCCCGGGTACCGGTTCCAGTGCCAGACGCCCCCGAAGTCGCTGCCGCTCTCGACGAGCCGCACCGTGTGGCCCTCGGAGCGCAGGCGCCAGAGCTGCCACATGCCGCCGAAGCCGCCGCCGACGATTAGCGCGTCGAGCTCTGTTACGGTTTCCATCTCTTTCTTTCTTCTTTCGTTTCTGTTGTGTTTGTGTGGGTGGATTGGTACGTGTGGCGTGCTGAGAGCTGACGAGAAGGGCGAAAGACGAAAGAGGTGTGGTTGTGTTGAGAGCAAAGCGCCGTGTGGAGCACTATCCAGACATATGCCGTATATCCCTACGCAAGCTCCGTAGTGATGGAACACCGTATCTTACTGAAGGATTCGCACGTGCAAACGACGTGTAAAATGTATGCAATGCTGTGTATTGAACCGGTGGCGATGAATTGGGGGCCGGCACAGAACCACCTGCCATGCAACCAATCAGTCCCTTTTCCGTCCCCCCCTCCCAGCTGCAATGCCATGGTGAACGGACCTTCTTCCTTTCTCGTCGGCCAAGTGCTTGAAAGCGGTGGTATAGGCAAGTGTAAGCCCGCATATGCGGGCCGGCATACACCCATGTCACTCACTATTGTATGTAAGTAAGATTAAACTTCGAGCTTACACTCTGGCTGATCACGCGTCATATTTGACAGGTAATGCAACACCAGGCAACAGCATAGCTGAACCTCCTCTCCTGTACGTGGCCTCGAGCTCCTCGTCCGCTGGAGGGATGTAGCAACATAACGAATCCCAGACGTTGAAGTGACGAAGCGAGGTGGAGCGGCAGGCCGGGCCGCCCGCCGCCCTCCAGGATAGGCAGGGCTCCAATACACGGTAGAGTCTTGGTAGGCCCCACTCCTCAGCTGAATTCTCCACCTACCCTCTCTCGGCTTATCTTGCCAATGTCGCTTTTCATTCTCCGTAGTATTGGCCATATGCATGAATAGATCGAACCCTTGCGTCGGTATCGGCATTGATTCAGTTGTTAACCTGTGCTTTTAACCGGCTGTTACCACACCTAAGTAAAATAAGTCAGCCTCGTTATCGCCTGTATTTAGTCCTCTGATCGGTCATGCGTAGAGTTCAACGTCTGAAACGCGTATGCATAGAAGAAAGAAAAGCGGGAGAAACGCACACAAGTGCTGAGAAATCTGGAATAGACATCATAGAAAAGTGCACATAGGGCAGATGGGTGGGTAGCAAGAGCATCCTTCTCGGTTCTCCTTTGTACGGCAAATCTACGCAGCACATTGATCCCTCCCTACTACCCAATACGACCTCTTCGACGGGGTATCAAATAATTACAACATCGTAAGTAGCCACTTCTCGACCTTCATCCCATGGCCTTTCTCAACTTGCCGGATCCTCTTTCCGATTTTCTCTTTTGGACGCAAGTCTTTAATCTCCTCTTCCCTTCGTAGCAACTCTCCAACAGCGCTTCTTCATTTAATTCGTTTCCAACCCGCTTGAAGACGCGCATCTGAGACCATCTTCTCCATATTTACCTCCACAAATGGTATTTCTTGTCTTTCATGCAATCCATACGTCAGCGCCGTAAAACAGGACTGTTGTTTACTGTTTTCTCCGGATCGATAGCAATGCTCGGGCTTTGAGATCGTTCCAGCGTAGGAGGACAGTTGATCATTCGTCATCGTCGTAATCACCGCCAACATCGGCCCAACCACAGCCCCACCTCCTGCCCTCAACTTCTCCGCCAATCCTGAGGTCCCTAGCAGCTGCACGGTTCTCGCGCCAGCACCTTGCAGTGTAATCATCCCCAATTGTGACTAGCTCGCCTTCACTGGTCCAGGTCAGACCTGTGACTTCCTTCGCGTGGCCCCGCACAAGAGGCGTTCCACGGTCGTAAATGGGTATCGTATCGTTCATGCGAGCGTGGAAGGAGTGCATGCCGCGGCGAAGAAGCGAGCGAGGTCCAGCAAGCGTAGAGTCCGAGGTAGATGGGCGAGACGATGGTGGCGCAACAGTGCGCTTCAGCATGGTTTCGTCGGTCGGGAACAAAATCGGAGAGCCGTCGCTTGAGCCCACCGCCAGCATTTCTTCCCTATCACCTTTGGCCTTTCGGACCGAAGTCTTGACCCAGAAACTTGTCGCATGAAGCTTGGGGTGCCTGAAGCCATACAGCGGACCCAAGCCCTCCTTGTCGGGGCTGGCAAACTTTCTCTTCTCACTGTTGGTGGCCAAGAGCTCGGGAGCATGACCAAGAACCAAGTGACTTGTCGAGTAGGCATAGATGGTGTTGTCCCTGCTTAGAGCATAGAGACGGCTACCGTTGCCATTGAGCGAAAGCGAGTTGATTCCGAAGTGGCGATGCTTGCTGTGCGACTCTGGTTGACGGGTAGTAGCAATAGGAACTGCGCGACGGTTGTAACGGCCACGGATATCCCAGAGCTTGACGGCTGTAGAAGCCTCGGATGCGGTGAGTAAGAGGTGCTCACGACCTGGCGAATTAAGGAATGAGATAGCCGTAATAGATACATCACCCCGACGGCTGGAAACCTCGCCCTTCGAAGGGCCGTCCCTGCTGCTCCGTTAGCAAAGAGTGTCCATGCAATAGTATGCCGTAGGTGAATAATGTACATACCTGTGTGCTGAGTTGGTATGCGACGCTACACTGCCCGCGCTGTGGCGCTCAGCGTGGGCTCCAGTAATTGAGTTCCACGGGCCAATGCATAAGCAATTGCTCTCTTGAACAGTGGACTGTCCATCGAAACCAATGAGGTTCCGAATGGCGCCCTTGGACCCATTGACCCTGAGGTCCCAGATCTGCACAGTGCCATCCCGAGCCGAGCTGACGACAACATCATCGTTACCAGGCTGGAAGCGGACCTGCTTCACAGATGATTGGTGACCGGTAGAGCCACCTAGGATGAAGACGCTCTGCTGAGTCTTTACATCGATAACATGGCTGGTCTGATCGCCGGAGGCCGTAGCAAGGAGAAGGTCATCCGAGGAAAAAGTGAGGTCCATGACAGCGTTGGTGTGCGGTTTGAACTTAACATGCGCGGTGTCGAAAGGTGGACTGCTAGCATCTGCCGTCTCTAGAAATGCGACCGTTCCGTCCTCGTCTCCAATAGCAACCAAGGAGTTAGCTGTGATGGATGTTAGTTCAATGACCTTTGCAGAGCTACAAGGAGATCTCACTGTTGCAAGCAGCAGCGCAGAACGGAATATCGGAGCTGAAAGAATGGATGTCATCGGGCTTGGTGTAGAAGTTGGCGGTCTGATCCCTCCAGTCACCACAGTGATCGTACATCTTGCCGCGCCCTATACCACGCCGACCACCGAACGTTCGAGTAAGGAGTCGACCAGAGGTGCTGGCAACTGGAGCACGACGAATTGGCTCACGGTAAACCTCCACCTCTTCTTCTCCTTCCTCCTCTTCTTCCTCTTCCTCGTCGCTCTCCTCTAGAATGGTTGTCTCAGCATCGGATGCTACCTCATCATCTTCGGCAATATCGAAGTTGACTGCACGGATGCAACTCCGTGCCTTCTTGGAGGGCGAGGGCTGGACAGGAGAGCTCTCAGGGGAAGGCAGGAGCTTCCTCTTCTTGTCGGAGCCATGCTTAGGAGTGACGAAGTTCTCAGAGGCAGCGACGTTGGCGTCGGAGAAGACGACTGTGCGCCGGGGAGTAGCCTTCTTCCGATTTACGGCATTGCGGGTGATGTCACGCAACTGGCGACCGGAGGCACCGCGGCCAGTGCCGCTCCTGGTTGTCCTGGGAGTGAAGAACTTGTTGAAACGCTTAGGGGTAATGGGCGGGGGCTTCCTGATCTTGTTGGTGCGGCCGCGGAGAGGTGAGGATGGCGGCGGAGGCGATGACGCTAACGATTGCGAGGACGGGGGGAGCTGGTCGAATAGGTCGTCCTGGGATAGCGAGACGCCGACGGGGTCCGCCATTGCTGCTTAGATTAGGGAAATGCAAGGGGAAAGGGTGCTCATGAGCAATGGTGGGTGTGTGTGCGTGTTGGGGCTGATGGCGGAGGCAGGAAAAGAGAGATGATGTGCGGCCTGGGAGGCGGCTGGGCTTGCTCGGGTCCACAGTCGCGTCGCGCGTCCCGCGTTTTGCGTGGGTGCGGGCGCCACTTTTCCGGGGCAAGAGGAATGGCAACTGTGATCCGTTCCAATGACGAGGCGGCGGACCGGAGGCCGTGGGACTCCGGCTAGCTCAACCCAGCCGGCAGGACGCGTGCAATAGGGAGTGCCAGCCGAATTGGGCAAGGAATAGTCGTGTGCGCCGCGTCGCGAGAACGAAGCTGTCGCGTCCGGGAGGTGCCACCCGAGCTGCGACGCCAAGGCCTCAAATTGAAGTGGCCAGCGCCGATAAGATAGTAATGGATGCAGGCACCGGCGCCGAGGCCGGCCCGGCGGAGAATCGAGTCGCCGCCAAAATTTTGGCCGCAGCAAAAGTTCCCGCCGTGCACGCATCCGACCTGCACGCCGTTTGCTGTGCGGCAGTCGACCACTTTTCCTCTCTCTCTCCCTCAACATGGCTCCCATAAAGCGTGGCGCCGACAACGACCACGCCGGCCCCAAAAAATCGAAGCACACTGCCGACGAGCGCGCCGCAAAGCGCCAGCGGAAGTCCGATGTCTCCCCGAACGACTCCAAGCCGAAGCCTGTAGAGAAGGCGCTTCCCGTTGCGTCTGTGTTGAAGCAGGAGGAGCAGTCTTTTCCCCGCGGTGGTGCCAGCGTCCTCACGCCTTTGGAGCACCGCCAGATCCAGAATGAAGCTGCCCGCGACGTCCTTTTCGAGCAATCAACCAAGAAGACGGGCAAGAGTGGAGACGGCGACAACGATGTCGACATGGAGGATGCCGAGGGGCAGAAGGCGACGAAGAAGAAGAGGAAGTCCAAGGCTCGGAAGAGCGATGCTGCTGAGAAAGAGGAGGCAGGAATCAAAATCGAGGGCCTGAGCTACAAGCGCGTGGCGCCCGGCTCAACCATCCTCGGACAGGTCACGCAAATTACTTCCCGCGATATTGCCCTTGCGCTCCCCAACAACCTGATCGGATTCGTTCCCTTGACTGCGGTTTCCGACCAATTCACCGAGAGAATCGAAGCCCTGCTGGATCAGGACGAGAAGGAGGACGCCGAGGCTTCTTCGGAAGAAGACGACGTGGAGCTGAAGAACATTTTCAGACTCGGCCAGTACTTGCGTGCTGTCGTCACCTCCACCGGCGAAGACTCTGCCAAGGGCAGCCAAAAGAACAAAAAGCGCATCGAACTCTCGGTGAAGCCTCAAGATTCGAACAACAGGATATCCAAGTCGGATCTCGTGCCGAACGCAATGGTGCAAGCTTCAGTTGCTAGCGTGGAAGACCACGGTTTGGTCATGGACCTTGGTTTGGCCGATGGCAGCATCAAGGGTTTCATGTCTTCAAAAGAGGTCGGCCATGCCATTGATCACACCAAGATTGAGAAGGGCGCGGTTTTCCTTTGCATGGTCACTGGCGTGAGCTCCAATGGAAAGATTGTGAAGTTGTCGGCCGACTTTCAAAAAGTCGGCAGCGTCAAGAAGTCCAATTTCCTTACTGAAGCCCCCACCGTCGACGTATTCGCCCCCGGAACTGCAGTGGAAGTCCTCGTCACCGATGTCACTGGAAGCGGCTTGGCTGGAACCATCATGGGTTTGATCGACGCTACGGCTGATATCGTACATGTTGGTGCGAGTTCAACTCAGCAAGACCTCACCACCAAGTACAAAATCGGCGAGAAAGTGAAGGCTAGAATCATCTGCACCTTCCCTGGTGAGAATCGTCGCAAGCTGGGCGTCTCGCTCCTTGACCACGTTCTATCGCTCTCAGAACGCCAGTCTGCTGATTCCAAGACTCCACTTGATGTGCTTCCCTTGTCTTCCATCGTGGAGGAGGCCAAAATCACCAAAATCGAGCCAAATCTCGGGGCATTCTTGGATGTTGGTGTTAAGAGGGTGCCTGGTTTCGCCCATATTTCCAGGCTTTCCGACGACAAAATCGACACTCTGTCGGAAAACACCGGTGCCTACAAGCTCAACTCGACACATCGCGCCCGTGTGGTTGGCTATAACTCTATTGACGGCCTCTACATCATCTCGCTTGAGAAGAAGATTCTTGATCAGCCTTTCCTTCGTGTTGAGGATATCAAAATTGGAGAGGTCGTTAAAGGCAAGGTCGAGAAGGTTACGATTACTGCCAGAGGCTCTGGCGTTGTCATTGTCAACCTTGCAGATGGAATCAACGGCTTGGTTCCGGAGACTCAAATCGCCGACGTCCATCTTCAACACCCGGAGAAGAAATACAGAGAAGGAGTGGCGGTTACTGCGAGAGTACTGTCAACCGACCCTGAAAGGCGCCAGACTCGTCTCACGTTGAAGAAGACTCTTGTCAACTCTGATGCTCCCGTCTGGGCTGACTATTCCGACGTCCAGATCGGCGAACAAGCTCCTGGAACCATCATCAAGATTCTCCCCGCCGGCGCGATTGTACAGTTCTACGGGGAACTCAGAGGTTTCCTCCCTGTTTCGGAGATGAGCGAGGCTTACATCAAGGATCCTGCTGAACATTTCCGCATCGGACAAACGGTCACCGTGCACGCCCTCTCCGTCAACGCAGAGGACGACAAGATGACTTTGTCCTGTAGGGATCCTGCTTCCCGCACGACAGCTCAGCAAGAAGGCTTCGACTCTTTGTCGATTGGAAGCATCGTCAAGGGAGTAGTTTCCGAAAAATCCGAGAAGCACATCACCGTAGAGCTCGAGGGTACAATCATTAAGGGAACTGTCAAACTTGGCCAGCTTACGGACGGCACCGAGAAGAAGGAGGAGTCTAGAATGAAGAGAATCAAGGTCGGACAGACTCTTGAAGATCTCGTCATTCTTTCCAAGTCGGACAAGAGGCCCGTGGTTACGCTCTCCAACAAGCCCAGCCTCGTCGCTGCCGCCAAGTCGGGAACCTTGCCCGCTACGTTTGAAGACGTCAAGGAGGGTCAGACAGTTTGCGGTTTTGTCCGCAACATTGACGATCAGCGTGTCTTCGTTGAGTTTGCCGGTGGTCTGGTTGGTTTACTGCTGAAGTCCCAAATGAAGGAGGATATGCAGAAGACGGTCGGGTACGGCCTTCAGAATGACTCTTCGGTCACCGGTCGTGTCCTCAACGTTGATGAGAGACAACGTCGCTTCCTCATCACGATGCGAGACGCTCACTCTGACGAGAAGTCCTCGTCTAAGACCTCAAAGGGCCCCGTGACTGACGATTCGCTGATCAACCCCGTCGACGAGAGCTGCAAGTCCATCTCTGACCTTTCATTCGGCAAACTTACCACCGCACGCATTACTTCAGTCAAGGAGACCCAGCTGAACGTGCAGCTTGCTGACAACATCTCTGGCCGTGTTGACGTGTCTGAGGCGTTCGATGACTATGACCATATCAAGGACAACAAGCATCCTCTCCGTCAATTCAAGCCTAGGCAGAACATCCCAGTCAGGATCATTGGAATCCACGACGCGAGAAATCATCGCTTCCTTCCCATCTCGCACCGCACCAGCAAGGTTCCGGTATTTGAGCTGACGGCTAAAGCTGTCAAGCTGTCCAAGGAGTCAGATCTTCTCACCCTAGACAAGGTGGCTGTTGCCTCTTCGCACATTGCTTTTGTCAACAACATTGCTCAGAATTGCGTTTGGGTCAACATCACTCCAAACATCCGCGGTCGCATTGACTTCATGGATTTGGCGGATGATGTTTCTCTTCTCAACGACGTTGCGGCGAACTTCCCCGTCGGCTCAGCGATCAAGGTTCGGGTAAAGAATGTCGATGTTTCAGCCAATCGTCTCGATCTTACCGCGACTTCGGACTCCACAGTCAAGCCTACCACGCTCAAGGACCTTACTCCTGGCATGATCCTTCCCGGTCGTGTGACGAAGGTGTCGGAACGCAGCATCATGGTTCAACTCAGCGAAACCGTTTCTGCGCCAGTGACCCTCACGGAGTTCACCGACGACTACGCGCAGGCCAATCCTACCATCTACAGCAAGAATGACATCGTTCGTGTTTGCATTCTCGACGTCGATGCGCCCAACAAGAGGGTTCATGTTACGATGAGACCGTCCAAGATTCTCAGTTCTTCGCTCCCAGTCAAGGATCCCCAGGTTCCCAATATCAGGCAGCTTAAGGTCAACGACGTCGTGCGTGGTTTTGTCAAGAATGTGGCTGAGAAGGGCTTGTTCGTTAGCCTTGGCCCCAGCGTGACTGCCTTCGTCCGCATCTCCGATCTCTCTGACTCTTTTATCAAGGACTGGAAGTCAGCGTTCGAAGTTGATCAGCTAGTCAAGGGCAAGGTCCTCCAGGTCGATCCTCTATTGAACCACGTGCAGATCTCGCTCAAGGCCAGCATGCTTGACAAGGACTACGTCCCGCCTGTCACGTTTGAGGATATGAAGGCTGGCATGATCATCACTGGAAAGGTTCGCAAGGTTGAGGACTTCGGTGTCTTCATTGTGGTCGACAACTCAAAGAACGTCAGTGGTCTGTGCCATCGCAGTGAGATCGCCGACCAGAGAGTTGAGGATGTGCGGAAGCTATACACGGAGGGTGATGTCGTCAAGGCCGTTGTTCTAAAGGTTGACAAGGAGAAGCGCAAGGTCAATTTTGGACTTAAGGCTTCATACCTCAAGAACATGTCTTCCGACGCCGAGGACAGTGATGAGGATGGCGGTATCGAGCTCGATATGGACGACAGCGATGAGGACGAAGAGATGGATGATTCTGAGATCGATCTCTCTATTGTTAAGGACATGGAGAGCGATTCGGAAGAGGACGATGACGAGTCGGTAGATGATATGGACGTTGACTCGGCTCCATCTAAGCCTGTGGGCGGTCTCAGCACGTCTGGCTTCGACTGGACCGGTAATTCTCTGGAGAAAGAGCAGAAGGCCCAGGCGGACCTTTCCGATGACGACGAAGCGACGTCCAAGAAGAAGAAGAAGAAGAGCAAGAAGCCGACAATCAAGGAAGACCGCACCGGTGATCTTGACGTCCACGGCCCGCAGTCCGTTGCCGATTTTGAGCGTCTTCTCATGGGAGATCCGAACAACAGCACCCTGTGGATGCAGTACATGGCCTTCCAGATCGGTCTTAACGAGGTCCAGAAGGCCCGTGAGATAGGCGAACGTGCACTGAAGACAATCAACATCCGCGAGCAGGAGGAGAAGATGAACATCTGGACGGCTCTTCTCAACCTCGAGATTGAGCAGGGCAATGACGACGCCGTGGACGAGACCTTCAAGCGCGCGTGCGAATACTGTGACCCGGAAGAGATGCACAGCAAGCTCATCACCATCTACACCAGCACCGGCCGCCTCAGTGTAAGTTCCCAATCCTCCTCTTCTTTCCAACGCACTACACCAGCTTCCAAAAAAAAAAAAGCCCAACGCTGACCCACATTCCGCCCATACAGAAAGCCGACGACCTCTTCCAGCGCATGACCAAGATCAAGTCCATCACCCCCAACCCCTCATTCTGGCTCAACTACGCAACCTTCTGCATGACGACCCAAGCGCAGCCCGACCGCGCCCGCGCCCTCCTCTCCCGCGCCACGCAGTCCGTCCCGCCCCACCACCACCGCCACCTCACCGCCAAGTTCGGCGCTCTCGAATTCACCTCGCCCAACGGCGACCCGGAGCGCGGCCGCACCGTCTTCGAAGGCCTGCTCGCCACCTTCCCCAAGCGCTGGGACCTGTGGGACATGTTCGTCGACCTCGAGCGCGGCGTCAGCAGCAAGAGCGGCGGCAAGGGCGAGAACAGGGAAGCCGTCCGCGCGCTGTACGAGCGCATGGCGCAGGCGAAGATGAAGGCGCGCAGGGCGCGCTTCGTGTTCAAGCGCTGGGCCGAGTGGGAGGAGAAGAATGGCGATAGGAAAGGGAGGGAGCGTGTCGAGGCGATGGCGAGGGAGTATGCGGAGAGGTTGAGGGAGGGGAAGGGCGACGAGGAGAGCGATGAGGAGTGAGGGGAGAAGTGAGGTTCCCTTTTTCCTTTTTCTTGTTTGTATAGAGCACAGCACAGGACAGCGACTGCTGCGTCCAAGGGATGAAGAAAAGTTAGTTTTTTTTCGTATTATTCCGGCGTTCCTGAGAGGGGCGGGCGGAGGGTGGCTTTGTAATGCATGGCAGAGCAAAAAGCGTGTATAGGCTGCAGTAGCCCTTGGCTTGGGCTTGGTTCAAAAATATCATTTGTTCTGTTCGAGTATGGCTGTGCTTTTTTTTTTTTCTTGATGTTTCTGCTTTTCCGTCCATATTGACATCATCTCTTTCTCCGTATATCTCTTCAAGTCATTGATTTCCTTTCATACCGAGATACTTGCTGTGCTGCGTGCGTAAACTCCCTCCTTCCTATGCTGGATATCATATGTCACTCATTCGAACCTCCCATGACCGTGCGCCATAATGAAAAACGTCAAATCCACCCTTTTGTCAGAACCAGAAAATGCACGTGCGTATCATCCAGATATCACCCTACTGCAACGAAAAAGATGCGCAGTAAAATAAAAGGTACGACTGACTCACTCCACCTTCATTTTCTCTAAAATCGCCCTCACACCGTCGGCGCCCTCCCTGCCGCCCAGGTCGCCGGCAGCTTGCTCGACCTCCTCGACGAGCTGTATGGCCTTTCCGCGCAGCTCGCGGATGCAGCGGGCGCTATACTCAAAGCTGCCCTTGCGCTCCATGTAGGCGACGGCGTACTTCTTGACCTCCGGGTCGGCCGTCTTCTGCTTGAGCACGTTGACGAGGACGAGATTGGCCGGGTCAGCGCGGATAGCGTGAATGACAGGGAAGGAGAATTTGCCCTCGGTCAAGTCCTCCGCGAAGCCCTTTTGGGCGGAGAGCCGCTCCGAGCGTAGGTTGAGGTGGTCGTCGAGGATTTGGTAGAGGAGGCCGATGGTGTTGACGAGGGGGACGCAGTCGCTGTTTGTGAGAGGTTAAACATTGGGTCCTCAAGTTCTAACAACGCTGAGTATGGGGGGGGGAGGGACGCACAGTTGTCTGGTCGACTCGGCTTGCATCAGCTTGATCGCCAGCCGGAACAAGCCGCCCGTCTTATTGCCCACCATCTCCAGATAGTCGGCCTCGCTCGGGCAGGTCAGGGTGTCGCGCCAGAACAGGTCCATGCCCTGCCCACGGTGCAAGTTCAGTAGCTCCTCAGTGAAGATGGTCATCAGGGTTGGGTTTTGTAGCTGGGTTAGCGCTTGGAGGGCGAGGAAGTAGACGTAGTTTGCGCTGTTGATGGTCTGGGCTGTGCCGAATATGCTGTTCGCGACGGGTACGCCGCGGCGGAGCATTGAGCTGTCCTCTACGTCGTCGACTCTGCAGTTCCCCAAGAGTGCGCGTTTAGTGTTTTGAAGACTGTAGACTTGGACTTGGACTTGGGCAGAAACAGCGTGGTGTGGCTTACAGTAGTGATGCGGTGTGCAACATGCCCACGACGCTTGTGATTATCTCCAGCGACTTCTCCGGTACCTGCAGCCAGGCGTTGAACGCGGCAATCATCTGGCTGCGAATGTCCTTGCCCGGATGGCCATACAGGTACTCAAAGGGCCCCAGCAATATCTTTTCCTTCTTATCGGACCATCCCGACCCCTTGCCGTATATCAGCTCGTCGCCGATGTTCTTCAGCGGGTCGGGCGGCGGCGGCGTCATGGGGACGGGATATGTATGGGTTTGTTGGGAGGGCGATTGCGGGGGAGAGAGCGAGGAGCCGCGCATGGAGGCGAGCGAGTTCTTCTTGGACGATGATATCCAGTCAATCTCGGACAGCGGGCGCAGGACGGGGCGAGGCGGAGAGGTCTGGCCGGTGAAGATTCCGTTCGAGGAGGTGCGCGGCGGAATGGCGTTGGGTGACTGGAAGCTGTGCGCCGTCATGTTGGAAGAGGTCTGAGCGGCCGGAGGACGGCGGCTGCCAGCTGACTAGGCTGCGGGAACGAGGGGCGGCGGGGTGCTTCCGAGGAAGGCGCGATCTTACGCTGTCTCGGGCTGTCGTTTGGCGGACGTGTGATGGTACCCAGGCGTCGCGGGCTTCGGTGGCCCGGCGGCGAGACTGCTGGAGCCTGGGCTGCAGGACTGAGACGAGGGAGCGGAGTACGGGCGCGGCGAGGGACTGCGCAGCTTGAACGAGCGGCCGTGTGCGGGGACAAGTAGAAATAGGAGGATACAGGAGCGCGTGGTGCTTGACTCTCGACCCCCCTCAGTCGAGCAGCGCGCGCGCATGGATGACGCCGCTGTCACATGCGGCCGCCGGTGGCCGCTCGTCGCCGATTGATCTGCGCCGCCAAACATCAACCCATCACCCCAGCCATCGTGACATGCTCGCATCACCGACCACCCCAGGCTCCCCAGGCTTCGTCACAAACTGTCTTTTCCCCCCGAGCCGTATGAGCTTGTTGCGGGTCGGCCAGGGGCACAGAGCGCCCTTGGGCCTCGCGCCCGAGTCCGCCGCACGCTTGCAGGCAGACTCGTAACATCCTCAGTCTTGGTAGAGTCGCGTTTCCACTTTCGTTGGTCGGCGCGTACCGCAGTTGACCCCAGAGATTGCTGCCTGCTCGTATTCTCGGCTCTCGACTTCCAGCGACATGGTGTGTCGATGGGACTGGGGCTGCTCCTCAGTAGCTTGCTTCCCCCGCTTTTTTGTGGTTCCGCACTAGTGCCTTCACGTCGGGTTTGGCGCCCTTGGCAAGGCCAGCGAAGTCCCTCCGTGCATTCCAAAAGGCATCCAACTAGGGGGTACGGCGGCTGCCGGCGGGATAGGATTGCTAGTAGAAGCCCAATCTAATCCAGGCAGCACCAAGAACAGCAATACGGGTGCTCACTGATCGTTAGCGTGGCATTACTACTTTCATAAAGCTTCTGGTTTAGGAAATGCTTCTCGATGAGGTGAGATCGCGAACCATCGTACAAAGCTGACTCCTCGCTGGCCAAGCAACAAGTCAGATGGTACCTGAAGGCTGGATGTTGATCCCCATGACCATGGGCTAGGCTTTACCCTCAAGAATTCAGCAACAGGGGCACGTCTTTGGACGCGGGACTCTCATCCCACCCCGCTTTGCACCTAGACGCCAATCCTCATCATTCCCTCCAACCACGCTACACCAGCCTGCACCCCATCTACAATAACCACCCTCTTCCCCTCTTCCTCGCCCAACTCCGCCATGCACGCCTCTCTCACCATCTCGTTCATGCCCGCCATCCCCGCGCAACCCAAACACACAGCCCCAACATCCCCCCTCCCCACCAGCCTCCTCGTCGCCTCGACCATCCGCCTCTTCACCTCCCCAGCCTCCACCTCATGCAGCTCCGTCGCCATCAACCCCGTCGTCTCCGTCCCCGCAAACCTGCCCTCACCACCACCACCACCACCCGAGCCCAAGCCCAAAAACTCCACCACCGCTCCCTCCAGAATCCCTTCCCACACCTTCCCCGTGCTCACGATCCCAAACTTGCCCCTGGGCGGCACCGCGGCCTGCAAGGCGGTAGCGACGCTGGCCTCGAAGATGCCAGTGACGGGCTTGGTGCTGTCGAGTGCGGCGAGCTCGGCCTTCAGGGCTGCGACGAGCGGGTGCGGCGAGTAGCACGCGACGAGGAAGGCGTCGTGGGCAGCGAGCAGCGGGCGCAGCGCGGGGAAGCAGTGCGTCGTCGAGTCGGCGGCGTCGCGCTCGTTGTTGATGGAGGGCGGCGCGGCGGGTGGGCCGGTGAAGAAGGTGTAGGTGGTGGACTGTGTTTGTTTGTTTGTTTGTTGGTTTTGTTTCTCGTTATTTTCTTTTTTCTTTCTTTCTTTCTTTCTCTGGGCCATTGCTATGGAGATACAGTTGAAGTGATGCTTCAAGCGTGTATTCCCGTTCCCAAACTGATTAATGGGCGGAACGTACATCATGGAAACCTAGGGTTTGGACGAGAGGCCTCAGCCCATCGGTCATGGAGACGGTGGAATTAGGGTTGATGATCAGGATGGAGCGCTTTGATGCCGTCATTTTGGCGGCTGTTGTGTGCAGATGCTGCAAACGATGGGGAAGAAGTGATATTTGCTGTCCGCCCAATCAGATGAGCCCGCTTCTCCGGAGAGTCAGCAGCAAATGAGCGCGTTAGCAGTGGTGTTTTCTTGCCTATCTGTTCTGGCGTGCCGGTGCCTCCCCCGCAATCCGGCGCAGAGAAAATTGGGACGATCCCTGCGCAGGGCTCCGACCTACACCGCCACACCGATGATGTCATCTCCAATCTCACGCCCTGACCGGCAGTAGCGCGTCTGGGCGTGCAGCCGTTTTGCTGCAAACCTGCTGCAGCACCCAAGACTCAATGCCCGGAAACCTGACCGTCGGCTCGCGCATAGCCTCTAGCTATACTTCGATGTCGTTTCACCAGATTGATATCGGCAAGCACAGACAGGGATTATTCTTTTTGCTGCTGATCTTATTGTTAACATGCATTGACTGCCCCGGAATCACTCCATCTCGCCTGCTGTTACCATCTCACGCAAAAAAAGGAACGCGCTCGGGCATAACGCTGCAGAAAAACAAAGGCACCGGTGAAGAGTATTATTTTCGTAGCAGGTAGCTAGCTAGACGTAGGCATTGTTGCTTCACAACCACTTGGCAATCCCACTCCTTCTGCGGGTTGCCACGCATGCAGCTTGCCTCCCCATCTGCAGTTGCTCTATCCGAGCGTGGAGCGCGTTGAAAGCATGAAAATCGTCATCGAATGGGTATGCATCGTAATCTGGCTATTTCGGGGGTGCCAGCATTGAGAATGAAAGGGCGTGCGTGCATCATCGTTTGCGGGGTATCCAGTGGGTTGCCTGCTCTGCAGTTGGCGGCCGTCAGCTTAGCTCAGACGCGGCCGCATAAAAATGGTGTTTACTGACCCTTCTCAACGCTTTGCATTCGTTAGATACCGGGCCATTTGCGCCCATCAGCGGAAGCAGCTAAATTTGCCCAGGCTAAAGCGGAAAGGCGCTCTGCGCACGCCGTTCTTGTCGACGATAATACCGCCGCCTGCGCATCATTAGCGATGAGCAATCGGCATGGCTGGAATTGCAGAGGGTGCGTGCTTACCGCCGTGACGGCCACCCCAGTGCTTTGTCCACATCAGACCCATGTTGTTGTTTGCTTGAGAGTTGTTTGAGAGGCTTTGGTTGAGGCTTGAACCAGATGGCTCGAGGAGGTTGCGCGAGGTTTTGATGATGTTGGGTAGGTAACCGGTGAGGCATGGACACGTCAGGCGGGTCCGCTGGTTTTAAATCATGGTGCCAAGGGCGCGGCAGCGCTTGCTGGGTGGCTAGCTTGTTGATCATCATTGGAGTGTGTGGCTGAGCTCCTGTGCTGTGGCGGTGGACGGCAGCCCCTACCTCGTCGGCCAACCGGCTGCTGGCCAGGATGGAAGTCGGGCTTCTCGACAGGCGGCGGCGGCGGTCGCAACCGCTACGAATCGCGTGTTCCGTCATGCCTTTTTTTCGCATGGTTGGTGCACTGCTGGGCAGCAGCACGCCGGACGCTAGACCTTGCTCCGGCTGCGAAAGCGCATGTCATCGATAATAATTCATTGAACAGTCCCGCTGCCCGGATGGGGTCTCGGGTGCCGCCGTCCCAGCGCTTCTGCTGCAACGACGTCGTAGATTACACCCACGTCAATCGGTACCCTCGCCCAGCCGGAGGCGCTCCGTCGGCAAGCGCCCACACCCGCGTTCGGAGTTCCGCTGCAAGGATTCAGCGTCCTGGGCGGTCGAGACTCATCGTCAACACGCTAGGCGATCCATAAGATTAATATAATGCAGTGAGGGCCTGTCTCTCGTGACGAAGCAGGCGACCCCTTTGAACGACTGCTTAATCAATAGCCCGTCATGCAAGTACGCCCATCTCGGCCTTCTCGTACGTAGCGCAGCACCCGAACGCGAGACGACGTCTCATGAAGCATCTTGGCGTCGCCCATATTGTGACTTTCAGAAACATCCAGCCCTTCCCGCTTGTCAGTGCTTGCTGATCCTCGTCGTCTGGCCGTGCGAATACGCGTCCTCATGCCTGGTCGCGCAATTGGTGCGATATTCCGTCGGAGATTGCTTTGCGGGAAGCCTGTGCCACTAACAGCTTAATCGACCACCAAACGATCCCCCCATGTGGGTTGATCCGCGAAAGCCACATGCCAGGGTGCTTAGATCGCACTTGTTCCAGGCACCGCACTGCTAGCTGACTGTGCGGTATCAAGACATCACGAGGCCGATTGCAGTTTTCGGGTTAGTGCCAGCTGCCTGAGAAAGTTGACGGCTGCCGGCTGCGTCCAACCAGCGGCTGCATGGGATTGAATGTACTGTACAAACTGCAGTCTGACCTGACGCACACTGTTGGTACCGGCTGGTAAGCACGGGGTTGGCTGAGGCCCGGCTGCACTTCTGAGAGGAGACTGCTATACATTCGTGCCGGTGTGACCAGTCTGCCCGACGCAGGCGTATCCAGATATAGACCATAACGCCTCCAACAACATTTTAATTTTGTTCCTTCTCGTCCGATGATATGCTACAGAGTCCGCAACGGAATGGCGTAACGCGCGGCGCGTCTACCTGCCGGGGAGAGCCCCGGACTGGGCCATGGCGGCGTTCTGCTCCTGGAAGCGGTTGCCGAGGCGCTCAGAGCCCTTGAGGATCTTGTCGACACACTTCATCACGCAGCCCTCCTCGCGCGAGCCCAGCGACTTGGTGGAGAAGTCGTTGATGCAGTCGTCGAAGCAGCGCTGGACGAGGTTCGAGTACATCTGCGGCGCCAATTAGCAAGCGGGGCCGGGGACTGAGCCATCGCGCGGCGCACCGTCATGAACTCCTTCATCTGCTTGCGCTCCATGCGGCTCTGCAGCTCGCGCTGCTCGGCACCCGTGAGACTGCGGCGGCATCTGTTAGCAGCGGCCGTGGTCGGGGGCGCGTGCACGGCTGGGGCGCTCACCCGTCCATTGTTGCAGAAGCTTGCTAGCGCGAGTCACGAGACGGCCAGCTGTCAAGGATTGGGCGGGGCGATGATGCGGTGGTTGCGGTGTGCTGGTCCGGTGCGTGGGTGCGGAGGGATTGGAGTGTGCCTGGCTTTGGAGCTTTGATAGTCACAACTTTTCGGGCCTGACGTAGCCCACGGGCGGCTTGGCTCGGCGCGGCCGCGAACCGCCTGATGAGACGCGCTGTGCAGCTTGAACAGAGCGACAGACCCTGACGAGAGGCGATTAGCGCCGGAGCACGGCCTGGCTGCAGAGCTGGCGTGCTGCTAGGCTGCTGGACCGCGCCCACGAGGCAGCACGCACCGAGGGGACCGTGGAGCTCTGCGCGGCCACAGGCTGGGGCTCTCTGACTGGGGCGGCAGCGGCTCGCCAGCGCTCTGCATCTGTCGGCACGCCGCGTCCACCACGGCTCCCAGCTAGTAGCAGGCCAGGTCCCCAAGTCTTATTTTAGCCGTTGCTTCTCCTGCTCGACTGCCCAAGCTCCCCTGGACTGCCCAAAACACCAACGCCCGCCGCCGCGCACTCGCTCCCGCCTCAGCCTCCCTCTGCGCTGCCAGCCCGGCGCGTGCTCACTCTGCTGCAGCGTCTCTCGTATTAGCCTGGGCGCCGACGGGCAACCTAGGGGCTTCCTCATCGGGAGACACGCAGCATCAGCCACCCAGCAGGTCCTGCCTGCGCTTCTTCTCGCACACACCCAGCGTCTCCCTCCGATCCTTTCCTGGACCAGCCGCACGTCTGACCCTGGCGCCCTGCGACGAGCCACCAGCATATATCATCGCATTACATCACCCGCGTCTGCGAAAACTCGCGTTTCCTCACGTTTCACGACCTCCGACAGCAACGGCCGTCCTGCAGCCGCCGCCTCACACCCAGGCTTCTGCCCTCCCAGCCAGCGCGCTGCACCGCACGCCCTGCGCGCCGTCCAAGCCTCAGAGCCCGGCCAGAGCCTGCTGCGCCTCAGGTCCCGCCGCCCATCTGCACGAGCGGCCGCATTGTTAAGCGGCGACACGTCCTCGCTTCGCCTTCGCTATTTTAGGACACGCCCGCCGTCACTCTCGCGAGCCTCCGCCTGCCGCCATTGCGACGACACCAGCACTCTCCGTCTCAAAAGAGCGAGAGGCGACCCGCCCTCCTCGTAGCAGCCCGCCAACATGCCGCACCAAGCCCATTCCAGTGGCTCGGGCGCCCGCCAATGGGACCAGCCACAGCCCGTGGGCAGTCAGGCCGGCGATGTGCCCTCGAAGCGCGACCTGACTTCGTGGTGGAGACAATTCAAGCGCGGGAATCCAAAGAAAGACGAGGACAAGGGTGGGTTCCTCCACCTCTGGAGGCGCATGCGGACGACCTTCGTCAGGCTTCGCATTCGCGCCGCGGCTGCTGTCAGTCGGCAAATCGGCCGCCTGGCGAGAGCCGCCTTCCGGCCCCTCCAGATTGCCTTTAGCGCTGTCACTTTGTGTCGTGAGCTGATCGTTTTTTACTACGCAGAGCCAGAGAAGCCCCGGGGCATTTTTGGGGTGCCTCTCCAAGACAGCATCAAGTATGCCAACGTCGCAATCTCTCTGTTCAACGAGGAAGGCGAGAGCTACATCTACGGCTACGTGCCCATTGTCGTCGCGAAATGCGGGGTCTTTCTCAAGGAAAAAGGTGAGTGTCAGGCCTCCCGACTAATGCGTCGTCTGTTAACAATCCGGTGCCCGTAGCTGTTGACGTGGAAGGTATCTTCCGTCTGAGTGGATCGGAGAAGCGCATCAAAGAACTGCGAGAGGCGTTCAACTCGCCCGACCGCTACGGAAAGGGCCTTGACTGGACTGGATACACTGTGCACGATGCCGCCAATATTCTCCGCCGATACTTCAACCAACTGCCCGAGCCCATCATTCCTTTGGAGTTTTATGAGTTGTTCAGAGATCCGCTGCGCAACCACCAGGCACAAGCCGTGGGCCCAATGGACGGCCAGAAAGAGAGCATTGGAGAGTTCGACATGGACAAGGCGATTCGAGTGTATCAAAGACTCATCACGGAGTTGCCTCCGCTCAACCGTCAGCTTCTCTTGTACATTCTGGACCTTCTCGCCGTCTTTGCTTCCAAGTCCGACTTGAACAAGATGACTACTGCGAACCTTGCCGCCATCTTTCAGCCTGGAATCCTGTCCCACCCTACTCACGACATGGCCCCGCCGGAGTACCGTCTCAGCCAGGATGTGCTGATCTTTCTCATCGAAAATCAAGACAACTTTCTCATCGGTATGCAGGGTACCGAGGCCGATCCCAAAACGGTCGAGGAGGTCGAGAGTGGGCCCTCAACCCCATCAGGAAAAGCTCCAACTACACCGACCCGCTCCAAGACCACTGTCGGCAGATCGTCATCCAATGCTAGCGCTGGTGCTGAAAGTGTCCGCAAGCAAGGAATGATCAGGAGGAATGTGTCTGTGTCGTCCAGGAAATCAAAGACTTCGAACAATATAGCCACGCCGAGCCCGGTCCAAACGCAATTTTCAAGCGGCGTCCATAGGAGCAATACGGTGCCTTCCAAGAAATCTCCGGCAATTGCGGGAAAGCGATTTTCCCGCGAACACAACGAGCAGAGTCCAGGCGGTCCCAGATCGCCCGCTGTCGCCTCGATCTCTATTGCAGAGCCAGCCAGGCCGGTCGAGGCCTTCGGCCCTCCCACAAGGCCTTCCCACATGATCACGGCCCCTTCGAGTGAAGATACCACTCCTCTGGCTGCCCCGCCAAGTGTGACCTCGTCGACCGGGCTTCTGCCCCATGGTCAAGCTCCTCATGCAACCAGCCTTCTGCCTCACAGCCAAACTCCGCAGAAGCCTAGAGCTGAGAGCTCGGATCGAGAGGCTTCGGGATTCCGTTCTTTCTCGAGCATGTTCCAATCGTCCCCCCATTCCGATAACGAGGCCAAGGAAAAGCGCAGGCCCAACAAGCTGCAGAAGAAGCGCGCTCCGAGCACCAATCCAAGCGCGGCAAGCTCTACCAATTCGCTCCATGGATCTCACGTTGGAGGACCACCATCACCACTTCCAGGAGGAGTTGCGGCAGGTACGCCAGTCAAAGACCAAGGACCTCATATTGCACCGATAGCTGAGAATTCACCCTCAAAGGCAACAGCGAGCGCTAACCCGCTCGAACCCAGCATGTCACCCAGCGCATCCATGCGTTCGCATTCAACCGTCTCCGGCGGTTACTCGGAAGCTGAGCATGGAGACGATGTCGCCAGGGCTGAGAACGCTGAGAAGGAAAGGAAGCACGGCTGGCGCCTTTCTCACAGGAAAGAAGCCTCCAAGCCGGTGAACGAGAATAATTTCGGCTCTGTCTCAGGAGCCGAACAAAGCATGAGCTCGGTCAGTTCCAAGGGCGGTCGCAAAAGCCTGAGTCTTGATCCAACTGAAGCCTCGAGTTCGAATCCCGCTTGGAACGAGAACAGAGAAGGAGACAAGAAAAACCCTTTTGACTGGTTCCGGGGTAAGATTGCTGAGCGGAAGGAGCGAGAAGAAGCCAAGCAGCGTGCGAAGAGTCCACCTGGCAGTATCGCCGACCCGAGCTCGCCTAGCTCTGAAAGGTCCGGGCATCGATCAACATCGAGCTTGGCTGCCTTGACGCATCATCGCAGAGGTCGCTCGGTTGAACAATTGCCTCGGCCCATGCAGTCGTCGCCGCCGGCTCTACTCGAGGCAAAGGAGGAAGCAAAGCCGGTAGGCCTCACCCCTCCCACGATCGAGTCAGAGGAGGTTACGCCGACGCAAACGCCGGGTAGTGCGAGCACAGTTCCTTCTGCGTCTCCGTTAGTGACAGTGAACCCGGCGACTCCCGCTGAGACCACTGCTCCGGAGATTTTTCCTACGGAAGGCCCTGCGGCTGCTTCTGCGATGCAAGGCGCGCCTTCTCCTCCTCTCTTCGCGCCTGCCCCTTCAGCGCCCGCCCCAGCGGCGCCTGCTAACGGAGCGCCTGATCATGTAACACCTGCCCAGGCTGCACCTGCTCGGCCGACACCTGAAGGGGAATCTACGGTCTCGCGCCCTCAGTCGCCCAGGCAACAGCAAACAGTCCGGTCCATGCTGGACGTCTAGTCTCCGGGTGGCAACTGACCTTTCCTTCCCCTCTCTTGTGAATATATGGCTTTGCGCTGTTGATTCGGTTTGGCGAGCGCTTGAACCGGTGGGGAGAGAGTTGGATTTCGGGTTGCACCCACTCCGGGTCTGAGAAGGGTGGCTTTTATTTTTCCTTGTTTTTTTCTTCCCGCTATGTTCCACGCCCAACTCGCATTATCCCTTTTTCCTTTTAAGTTGCGTGACGGAAGAATCTTTCTGCTGCATGATGAAGAAAGGGGGGGAAGAGATGAGCGCGGCGTCTTGGATGCTTTGTGTGTTTCCTTGAGCGAGAGAGCGAGAGGAACTGGGCGCAGTGGTGATGATCATTCAGGTTTTTTTTCCGAAGAAGCGAGCATAAGGGTTTCAGCATTGAATCATTTGGTAGCAGGGAGGAAGGGGAAAAGGATAGGAGGAGAAGCGAGGAGCTTTGATCGGCGCGTGAAGGGAGAGAGGCAGTAATTTAGGAGAGGTGGTCCTTTTTTGCTAGGAGGATCGTCACGAATGTCTTGGCATCTCTCTCGCTGCCGCCTCCGCCGCCGCTCTCTTTCTTCTGTTTTGCTTTAGGCGTCTTTGTCGAGGGTCGTGAACAAAGATGATGGTAGGCGGGTGGGTAGATGCTGCGCATGGAGAAGGCTGTGAGGGGGTTGGATTGTGGTGGGGAAGCGAGGACTTTTTTGTGTCTCGGGGGAGCGGGAAGATGGCGGCGGCGGGAGAGAGCGGGGAGAGGGGTGAGGGGTGATGGACCGGGTTGTTGGGGCATTGGTCCTAAGCTGGGGACGGTGGGGGGGAGGGGGGGTTGGGCTGGGCTGGTCTTTCGGGGACACCGTGTTGATGTGGGTAAGGGTTCGTAGTAGGGCAGGTACCTACACTGCGCCTTTGTCTTGTCCCTTGCTTTCCACTCGGACTCTGTGTGTGTCTGTGTCACTCTATCTGTATTTTGTTGACACGCCCTTGATGGCGTGTGTGTGCTGTTCATTTTTTTCTCTTCTCTTTCCCCTTGGCATTAGATGGATGGTTGACGAGAGGGGCAAAAGTTTCTTGCATATTCTATCTATCTGTTGGTGAAATCTTCCTGAAATTTCTTCCTTCTTCTGTCCCCTCTGTCTTGGTGATGAGTTCACATGACGAGGAAAATTTACGCAGGTACTTCTTCCCCTTTCTGCCGTCGTCATAGGGTGGCGTTGGGTGGGGGCCCGTGGTTGTGGCTCCGTTCGTCCCCTCTCCCCCTCCTTATGCTAAAACGCCAAACGGTTGGGAAAACGTGGCAACAAAGAGAAAGTCACTACACCAACCGGCCCTCACCAACTGTCCTATGTTAGAGGGCGTAGGTAGGGGTAAAGAGAGTAGGAAAGGTTCAATGCAAGACATTTGGAGGAGGGGCACCCTCTGAGCTTGAATGAGCTCAAGGAGAGGTAACTCTGGCTGCTCTGTCGCCTGTCTTTCGTATGGGACGGAAAGTTTTTCTTACTTCCCACCGCTTCTGCATGTAGCATGTGATACGAGGTGGACTACATCATGCATGTATAACGTTCACAGCGCTATGGCCTGTCTTTTTTTTTTCTTTCTATCTTCTATTGTGGCGCTTTGGTGGTGTCTAAGGTAAAGGCGTTCGTTCTCTTCCTTTTTTCACCCTTTTTTCTCTCTCTTCCTTTCTCTAGAGGGACTTGAGAAGCATCACCAACGGAGGCGGGATACGGGTAAGGGGACGGGGGAGGGGAAAGAGGCGCCGGCACGAAGGAACGGAGGTAGGAACGCCTCGGACTGTCTTCCATCAGAGGCGTTTGGTTCTCCACACACAGACACACACTACTACGCAAAAATGTGGGATTACATACGCGCTTGCGGGGTGGCATGGCGGTTAGTCGGTCAACCCGAATGCAAGGCTCGAGACCGTCGTAAGTTAGCAGATTGGGGCGAGGTAATACGATTACAAATACGCCGCCCTTTCCATTCTTCTTTTTGTCTTTTTTGCTGTTCTTGTGCGTGCTCCTTTAGCGCGGAAGGCGCCGACGGCGATGCGGTGTGTTTGTGAGTTCGTGATAGGGATGATGACGATTGGTTGAGTAGGGATCGAGATGCAGATACGGGGGAACAGAGAGAGGCTTAGCACGTGGATCCGGGCTTTTCTGGATCGTTCGGATACGAAAATGGACTGGTGGAAGGAATCTCTCGACATAGCATCCGTGCTTCGTTTTTGCACATCGTTCCGGCAAGAGTGGAGCCATGCGCTCGACGGCTGCGTCGTTTTGGCGTGAACGAAACCAAGGATACCCGGTGCTTGGGCTGCTGGCTAGGAAGTGTTTTTTTTTTCTTTCGTGCAGGAAGACATTGTTATGCGCATTATTGATGGATTTCGTCATCTGCACGAATCGTGCAGGGCTGCTGCGATAGAGCTCGCTTATTTGAGGAACACGAAGCCAGTATATTTGCTACGTGCGCACGACGATAGGGGAAACGTGGTGGAGAAGCAGAGCGCCTTGCCCAGCCGGCCGGTTGAGACGAGGTTTCGGAAGTCAGCGAGCAGCCGTGAGGAATCGTAGCAAGACAGCCGCAGTGGCTAGTCGGCTCGTCAGCGCGTCCACGGATCCAGCCAGTCAGACGGGCTTTGCGCCACGGCCGCGGTGACAAACGCGACGGCCACGCACTGATCAGCGGCGCCGGCCAGGCCCACATGCAAGCCTCGGACGATCAGCAGCGAACCAGCGGCTACCCTTTTACACGGCCGACCGCCCGCCCGCCTGCTGCGGTTCTCTTCCGGGGCTGTCGGGCTCGCAGCTAAGAATAGCAGCCCACACACAACCTCGCCATGCCGTCTTTGCACATCGTTACGAGCCAAGTCTTCTGATAGCGGCCATGATGAGCTGCGCACACCGCATCTGCCTGCTGGCCGGACGCCCGGTCGCACAATCGTCAGCCATGCCTGGCCCCGTCACCAGAGGCAGCTGCAGCTGCGGCGACCGTGGGCTGCTCGACGCGCCTCGGCCGCGCACGAGCTCGCTCGGTCGGCTCACACGAGTTAGCCTTGGTCTATACCATTCGCTATCGTTCTCCTTGCCCGGTCCGCGATCCCAAGGATCTGAGACACCGCGTCAACAGCCGTCAATATGGGTGCGGCATCGTCAGAGAGTGTCGGAGTCTTCTCCCGCACCATATATTGCTGCCGAAACCCGGGGCCCATTGCGCTGGGAGCCTGACAGGGCGGGCGGACAGGCAGTCAGTGCTGTACAATAGTCGTGAGGCCATAGCGCGAGAGCCTGTGTGTCGGGTTCGGGCGACTGGGAGGGAAGTGGGGTCGCTGAGGCGGTGCATTGGGTAGGTCGGGAGCACGGCAGCGGGCGGGTGTGACGCCGCGCTAATCCGGACTGTGAGCACTGATGAGCAGCGCATGCGTGGGCCGGCATGGATGAAACCAGGCGGTGCATGGCGCGGATGATGGAAGGGGATGGACCCTAAAAGCTCTCGAGCTGCCGCGGGGTTGAGGCAGGCAGCGAACGTCATGCGCTCGCATGCTGGGGAATGTGACGACACAATTGATAACAGCGCAGGTTAAGGGGATCCGCCCAGCGTTCGGGCCTTGTCGTTGGTGCGAGGTTCGGTGGGCAGGTTTCAACGCACGGTAGCTCCATTTGCTGGCGAGCGCAAGTGGCTGCGATGGCGCGCGGAACGGTGCTGAGCAGGGGGCAGGTGCGAACGGCGCCGCCAGTGACAGCTGCTGGATCCTGCCCGTATCGAGCATCGCCGCAGTCGTCCCGCCTAGAGCACATATCCGCTCCATAACCACCCCTCTCCTGCCGTCTCCTCCCGCCCTCACCTCTCTCGCTCACAAATCTCCCCCGTCTGCACGCCCCACGCTCGCTCTGCAAGTCCGCATAAGCAATATCGCACTCGCTACCCAGCTTCCGCTTTCGCCTACGCCTACGCCGAGCCCGGCAACCCACCCGCTGCCAACTCTTCGTACTCGCCGTACTGCGTAAGCCTCACCATGGCCCTTCCGCCGCCGCTCACGCACACATCGCTGACTGTGGCGCCATGTAGAGATTAGCCGTGCGAGCCATATCAACCACAGCGCTCCCGCATCCTGAGCCGCTCTCGCCACGTTTTCGCTCCAGACCCTTCAGGATGCCTTCTTTCCGGTCTTTCGTCCTGCTCGCTCTGCCGCTCGCCAATGCCGCCGTGCAGGCCGAGCAGCCGCAACCGACCGGGGGCTCCCCTGCTCTTGTCGAAGAGCTGCTCCATGTCCTCCCTGCCGACCGCTTCCCGGATGCCCTCCGCAGCCACGAGCACCCCGCCTTCGAGGACGCCAAGTACGACGATGATTGGGTCCGGCTCGAGGCCCTCCACGACGCCGACGCCGCCCACATCGACCAATTGCTCGAGTCGGCCGCCGAGCAGTACGAGCTGAGGAAGCGGCAAGATACGTCGAGCAGCGCCGCCGCCAGCGCTGCGTCTAGCGCTCCCGCAGAAACTTCCGCCTCCGCCCAGAGTTCCACCCCGGCCGAGAGTTCTACGCCCGCCGAGAGCTCTGCATCCGCAGAGAGTTCTGCAGCCCCTAGCACGGCCGCCCCTACTAGCTCCGCGGTCGTTGAGAGTACTACGTCCGCACCGTCGAGCACGGCGCCGGAGACGACCCAGTCGTCTGCTGTTGAGACCTCTGCAAGTACGTCTATTTCCCCATCGTCCGCTGCCACCACATCCTCCTCCGTCCCCTCCTCCACCGCCGAGTCCTCCGAGTCGTCCGCGGTCGAGTCCTCGACTTCGTCTGCACCCGTGACCAGCGCGAGTGCGACCACGTCAGAGGTGTCTACCTCAGGTGCGTCCACGTCCAGCACAGCTGCTCAATCCTCCTCCCCAGAGCCGTCTACGTCCGGCAGTGCCGCGGCGACCACCACTTCGGATGCCTCGACCACGAGCGCGTCTCAATCTACGAGCACGTCTCAGTCTGCGTCGAGCTCATCCGAATCTGGCGCTCAATCCTCCACTCAATCTTCTTCGGCCAGCGGCTCATCTTTTTCTTCTTCTCCAGCTACTTCTACTACCTCTGTTGCGACTACTACTACTGAATCCGCGACTACTTCTTCTGCTCATGTGGAATCAAGCACTGACCTGGAAACCACTTCGTCTACAGCTGCACCTAGCACTGTCTCGTCTACTGTGGTCTCCACTACCACCCAAGAACAGAGCACTACAGAGGCTTCCACTGCCCAGACCACAGAGACCTCCACCTCCACTGAGGCCGTCGTCGTGCCCGTCGAAGTTACATCCACCAACACCGCCGGCGAAACTGTCACCTCCACCTCGTCTGCCGTCGTCGGCGCCACCGCTAGGGTGACGACCACTGACAGCGAGGGCAGCACGACCACCGCCGCCGCCGTTGTCGTCGAGACGACCGACTCTGCCGGCAGCACCGTTACCTCAACTTCGGTCGCCAGCGCCTGGAAGCCCACGAGCTACTCGTCCGGCCAGGTTATCACGCGCACCAACTCGGCTGGCTCTACCATGAAGACCACCTACACGGGTGGCGACATTGCTCAACCCGTCAGCTCGCTCGTCTTGTCTACCACTACTCTGCCCGACGGTCAGCGCAAGACCATCACCAGCTACGCCACCGTTGATGCAGCAGCTGCCACGGCCGCTGCGAGTGCTTCCGGAACCGCCAGCGAGCCTAGCCTGCAGACTGGCGCAGCTCAGCGTTTCGCCGCCGTTGAGGCTGCTGCGGCTGTCGCCGGCGGTGTCGCAGGTCTGGCTTTGTTGCTGTAGAGCGGAAGCATGTTCTTTTCGTGCAACGATCTCACAGCCTTTTGCCTCTGTACAACTGTTTCGACCGATTGAACATTCTGACCCTTAATTATTTCAAACACTCCTCTGGCCACCGGGAGGGTGTGAAGACGTTCCTTTTTATGCATAGCAAATGGGAGTTCCGGCGCTTTCTGGATTTTCTGCATCACATCCACGCTCCTTGAGTTGGGATATATCGGCAACTGCGTTTTCCATGCGAAGCAACAAGAGGAAACGGTAATGAGAGAGAATTAGTTTCTCTGAAGCGTTGTTTTTTTCCAAAAAGTTCTGTTTACCGAGCCATACACGCACACATGCACCTACATATACATCATGACGATTTACGATGGAAACCAGGTCTCTCCTTTCCTTCGGGTCAGCGGAGAAAGGAGAGGTTTGGTTTTTAACATACAGAGACGCCAGTACATTTGACGTCATGACGATCCTTACTAATAAATATTTGGAGGAGATGATGAGAAATTGGGAGTAGAAGCAATGTACTTGATACTAGTGGCGTGTGGCCTGAAGCAAGAAATATTCGAGAAAATGATATGTTCGTGCTTTCGAGCATCCACCACCACTTGCCCTTGTGCAGTGAAATACCTACAGAATCGTGCTATTACTACCCAATTCAATGGATTGCCTTGCAACTTTCTCTACTTGTTTGTCGTGGCAAGTGACAGGGAAGCGATACTTGCGTTGAATAAGAAAGGCTAGATGACTTACAGGAACGGTGTGGAATGGGGAAAGGGAAGGGGGCAATATACATACAGTAGAAGAAACGGTCGTGACGTATCATCCTCTGTTCGCGCGTCTTTTGTCCTCTTTGTACGCGCCATGTATTTCGCTCCTCTTAGTGCTTTCCGCCATTCGGAATGTTGGAGAAGGAGAATCAGTGGCATCAGTAATCATCACTCTCTCCTCCGCATCGTTGTACCACGGACTCAACTTCAATCTTCAATACGCGAGATACAGGCGGGGGTGAGATTGTACACAGCGCCAGCCAGCCAGTCAACAGTTCACACGAACCAATCCACTCCTACTACTGATGGACAAACTCGCCGTATCAAAGGTCAAACGGTAGGACGAAATACAATCGTTCTCTCGTAAAATCCTCCATTGCCTAATGTCCTCCCGTTCTGCCTGTAGCGAATCCCCCCCTCCAGCCTGCTCGTACGCGTACATACACACACTAAAAAAAAAAAAAGGACAGAAAAAAGTACTATCCCAGCCGTGCTTTTGATTCGTCCAATCTTCGACGTGAAATACAAAACACAAAAATAAACGCTCATCGAAGCCACGAGGGACAAAAGGAGGAATAAAAACATCAATAAAAGGAAAAGAACAAAAATAAAACAAGGAGTACATGATCGTCATCCGTTTCACAAATCACCTCCCTTCCCGTTCGTTCTTCTTCTGCCCTGACTCCTCCGTTTCCAATCCTGACACCCAGCGCTAATCTTTTCGTCATCATGCCCTGCCCTGCCCCGCCCCGCCCTGCCCGTGCTGTCGTCGTCGCCTTCTTATTCTTCATCACCACCAACGACTCCGTGTCACCCTGCCCGCAACGACGCCTATTGCTCCACAATCTTCACATACGCCGCCAACTCGGGGAAAGCCGCTCTAAAGGCCGGACCAAGGCTCCAATTGTCGATGTTGCGCAGGTGAGCCTCGAACGCCGGGTTGATGACCCACTGGTCGTCGTCGTCGCCGCTTCCGTCGGCGTTGCCATTCCCGTCGTCGGCGTTGCTGTTGCCGCTGATGCTGCTGTCTCCGCTGCCCTCGCGTTCTGCCGGCTTTGGGGAGCCTTCGGGAGTGACGGAGGTGGGAGCGGGAGGTGCGGGCGATGCCTCCGTGGCGGGGTCGATGGGGATGCCGCTGGGGGTGGTGTTGATGCTGGGCGCTGCCGCGGCGACGGACGATGCGGGGAGGAGGCAGTCGCGGGGGTTGTGGGGCCAGTTGAGCGAGAGGGAGGTGGTGTAGGGGATGAAGAAGTTGTCGAAGGCTTGTTGCGGTTGGTCTATGATGATACGGTCGCGGAGGCGTGGCCTAGGAGAAAGGGGACAGTCAGTCGAGGTTGTTGTGCTAGGTTGTGAGTGGGTGCGGATGGGAAGTGTATGGAAAGGAAGGTGGTCGCCAACAGGGAGGGTGTGAGTGAAGGCAGATGTGAAATGGCCGACGTGTGGACAGGAACGGATCCAAGATATATATAGCGCCCTTATTGTGTACTCACCAAGGCAAATAGTCATTCCATACGGGATGCGGGGTGAAAAGCTGGCTTGGACGCGGGGTCATCCAGTCAGGTAAGCGCTCGTAGTTCTCCTGCGACGGCTCGATCTGCCACCGCATCAATAAAAACATCATGTACAACACGGCGACCCGCTCCGGCAAGCCTGAGATATCAGGGAAGGTACGCAGAATGTCGGTGAAAACCTTGGACAGAGGATGTGACTGATCGGGCTTGTCCGGGTTTAGAAGGTACGAAAAATCAGGATACAGCGGTCCGACAAGGCTTTTGAGAGGAGCAGCACCCTCGGCTGCCTGAGCATGCCTCTCGGCCAGGAAGTCAAGCAAGAGGCTATCCAGAGGACATGTAGCTTCTAGGCTACGCGGCAAAGTGTTCCACGCCTCCATCGGGCGACCATTGAAGTCGAGACCAGAGGACTGCATGCCTGCCGGCCCACCGTGAGCCAGGCCGTTGCTCAACTTGGCTCGGTTGTCTAAGAGAAAGTTCACCCCCAACCGCTCGTCCGAGTTCTGGCCAAACTCAAGGTCGGGATGTATGTTGCTGCGGGGCTGATCGTAGGGCGGCTGCGCAGGGTGCCATCCACGGACATGGCTTGTTGGCGGCACGCCAGGGAATGCAGAGCCCCAATTGCGGCCATTGGCGCTCTGGCTGGTTGGCGAAGACGGGCTGGTCTGGTCGTGGGGTGGTTGCGGCTCCTGCACCTGAGGAACGCCGTGGTGGTAGCCGCGCTGGTCGGGAATTTGCATGTGCTGCTGGGCCCGCGGATCGCCGGCATCGTGGGGCGGTAGCTGCAGCGGGCTACGTTCGGCGGCGGCGGCCAGCTCTGCACCGGTCGGAAGTCAGCAACAGCAGTTTTGGCGGCAGCAGAGGGGCGGGACATGCCATTGAGGCCGTGAGTGCCCAGGATGGGCTGGATGAGGGTCATGACGGACGACAGGCGGCGGCGGATGTCGTCGTTCTCGGCCTGGACGGCCTCTTTGGCGCGCAGGGCCATCTGCAGCTCATGGTAGGGCTGCTGCGACTCAAGCTCGCGGATGCGGCCGTTCAGGCGTTCGATCTGCTGCTTGGTGCGCTCGCGGATGGCGCGCTGGGCCTCGCGATCATTCTGCCTCTTCCGGGCGAGCTGCTCGGGCGTCAGGTTGGCGACGCCGCGCGACGAGGGCTGGCCGGAGGTGCGGCGGCGTTTGGGGGCGGGCTGCGGGGTCGAGGCGGCGTTGGAGGCATTTTGAGCAGCGGCGGGCGGGCTTTGCGCTGCTGTGTCCATGATCGAAGATGGGCGGAGGAGGGTGCAGCTCGTGTGGGTGAGTCGTGTCGAAGAACGGCTGAGCCAAAGAGACGGAGTTGACGAGTCAGGCACGCCGGCCCTGTGCTGTGGCCCTGCAGCTCGCTTACTACCTACCCCAACCGGTGGCGCCGGTGGCGGTGTAGAGCCAACGCGCCCTCCGCGAACGGAGCCTGTACACCTCTCAACTTTGTATCCCCACCGCCTCGGCTGAGTTGTCACCAACGTAGGTGTTTCAATCTCGTACGATTGCACCCCGCCAGTCCACTTTGTTGGAGGGCTTGGCATAGATGCTCTGAAGTAGATGCAAAGATATGAGCCTTTTTTTGCTCGCATTATTGCCTAGGTAGCTTATCCCTCGACAAGAATCTTGATTTAGCAGAGCCGTTCGGTAGCCTAATCACACGGGTAGCTGCAAGAATAGGTGTTGATATTGGCATGCATGTCCGTTATCTTATCTTCATGAATGATGACAGGCGAGATACTCGGTATCGACGCCAACAAGGGCTTCATGAGCGTCAAGCATTTGATAGTGTTCTTGATGATAGCCTCGAGGTGCCACGCTCGTCTCCAGTGCTTCTTGACTAGGTTTGGGGTTCTAGCCAATATATATGTGCGAATTCTTCAAAGCCACGCCACTACTCCCTCCCGAATATTGTCTCGGCAGTTACTCTTACAGTGAACTAGTAAGGATTGCCCCCCTCGATCATGCTTCTCTCTTTGATCCCAAAAATAATTTCCCCCCGTTGATCTTTAGAGGTTGCGCCCGGGCGCTCGTAGTCATGTTAAAGGCTACATCCACGTCTACAAACATGCTTCAACTCTAAAACCTTTTGCGAAACACGCCTGGGAAAGGTAGAAGCTCTTGTGACTAACAATGAGTTCGCCCGCGTCTATCGTAATCAGCCCATCCCCACCGGGGATTAGATTAGGGGAGCCTGCACTGTGATGGTAGGAGGGTCGGATCAGCGTTGCTTCTCCGCACCCGAAGGCAAAGCGCACTTTGCGTTACAAGCGCTGCAGGTACCCCGATCATCGCCCTCTGGTCATCTCGCCTGGATAGTACGTCACTGCACTGCTAAGATGAGCCCTATCGCTTGAGGCTGAGGCCGCGCACGCCGGCTCAGATAGCCCTACGTGCTAGTCAGGCCACGACTAACCTTAAGTATACTGCCATCTATCCCCGCAGACTACACGTGGTTTCAGATGTGCCGAAGGAGTCGATGGCTTTGCGCTAGGGAGCATTCTGAATTCTTGAAGGCATTCTGGAACAATAAAGGCGGCACTAGGACCTCTGGCGGGGCGTCAAGGGCCGACTGACGCACAGCGGGGGAAAAAAAAAAGAAAGAAAGGCCAGGAACAAATCCACGGCTCGGGCTTGCATGATGGCTTGCGCGAGAACGGTGGCCGGGGGAGCGCGGTAATTTCACAGGGTCTGCCGGGCGTCCTATTCTGGCGTTTCCTTTCGTCGCGCAGAAAGCGCCTCAGTCGGCGCCTCACGAAAGCATGCGCCTCAATACACGGGCTCTCTAGCAGACACGCATCCGGCCAGATCCAACGATAATGTGGCTTCGTATAGCAGGCCGCGACGTCCAAAGTTAAAGGCATGGCGCGTGGACGCATGAAGCGAATATAAGTGTAAATTGGGCTGGTCGTCGATCATGGTGACGTGCGTGCGATGGGGCTGGCGGCGCGGCGGGGACGGAGACGGACGAGATGCGGTGTACCATGTAACGGCGCGGAACACCTGTCGACCAGCTGTCTAGTGGCTGGGAGCGCCGTCGAGCGCCCTGCACACTACGTGGCTCTGAGAGCGTCTGCGGTTCAGCGATGATCCACGGCGACGGTGGCGATCGCTGCAATCCCTGCAGATGGCGCAGGTAAGACGCGGCGGAGCAGAAGATGCGTGCGGCGCGAGGCAGGCGGCTACTGGACCCTTCTGCGACGCAGCGCTGCTAGCGCGGAGCGCAAACGGGGGGGGGCGGGTGACCGATCGGGTGCGCAACGCACTAAGCGCGAGCGTAGGGGAGCGAATGGGTTTGTGGGAAATGGCGGCTCGACGATTTTCGGCACATTTGCTGGTGGCAGGGCGCGCGAGTGGGCGATCCCTGGGCGGAGATTGAGTGACGGTTTCAAGAGAGCAAGGGGCTCGCTCCAAAAAGGTGGAGGCCCTCGCGCAGGCACTACGCCGACACCACGCTGCATGCCTCGACAGGCTCCCTTCGCAACTTCTTTCGTGTTGCGCTCTTCCACCGGCTGCGAGGAGCCCTGCCAACCTTACGATCCTTATCCGTGCCGCCACTGCGACCAAACGCCCCGCGCCTAGGCCCGTCCCGTCCTGAACCGCCCTCCATCTGCCCATAGTCGCTCGACCGGCTTCGCGGCCACCTTGTCGTTCTCTCACGCTCCCTCGACCGCCCAAGCCCCCACTCGTTTGCCATTGCCACCGCCTGAGCGAACGCCCGCGCTGCAGCACCCGGTCCAGTCTGTGCTGCGCTTCAGCTGCGCCCAGTGCGACCCCGACCTCCGCCTCGATTCCAGCGACCGACCGCGCCGGATGAACAGCAGCAGCCAACATGACGCGCCCAACCATCATCAGAGCAGGTAACGCGCAGCCTGCCCTCGGCCGGAGCGTGCGACGCTGACCCGCCATGCGCAGACACCATTGACTTACAGGACCCTGGGTCGCCCTCCGCCGCCGACCACAGTCGCCAGCCTACACAGCCCGCGCCGCTCGGCGCCGGTCCCGCCTCGCCGCACCAGGCAGCCGCCATCCGACACGTGGAAGAAGACCGCGCAAACGAAGAGGACGGTCTCGTACAACAGTGGAACAACCCCAGCGGAGGCAATCATGACGATCAAAGCGGCACCGACTCCGCTGACGTGACGGACGACGGCGACATGGCAGACTCGGAAACGGAGGACATGGACGACGACATGCTGGACAAAATATCCAGCTCCCCGTCTATCGACGATGGTAGGTATTCCCTGCGCTCTTCAGCCCCCCGTGCCTCAGCCTGGCCGACGCGCTCTTCTTCTCTCTACGCCCTTCCATTGCCCGCAACTCCGCCGCAGCAACACATGTATCAGCACTCCAATGTATCGCCTGAGCCCGAGCAGGACTCATCGTCGCCCTTCACCCTGACACCACAACATCTCCCGCTCTCATATCAGCCTAAGCGCCAGTCAACACCAAGATTCGGCACCCCACTCTCATCTTCACCTTTCAACACTTCACCCTCCCACCAGCCCGTGCGCATGCCTACGTGCCACGGGAGGGTTTCGTCTGCGGATCATCATCGTCTGGGTGAGTATACGACGACCGGACCGACCACTAGCGACACGACATACAATCCTTTCGGGGACGAATTCGAACATGGTTTGGAAAGTTGCTATCATGAGGACACCGATTTCTATGCCGATGAGCTGAGCGGAGATGTTGGCCCGCTCCGCTCGGAGCAATACGAGCTAGAATCCCATGAGGACTATTTTGGGGGCGACTGGGAAGATGACATGCTCGTATTCCCTGCGGGTCGCCCCTTGCCGCCCATCCCCGTTTCTGATAGCGCCAACAACCTTCGAGAGCTTTTGGTGCCCCACCAATCGATATCCTCGTTGGAGCGCGAATATTCTATGGGGGCCATGTCCTGGGAGACCGACAGCAACGCCTCAAGCTATGATCCAGGAGACAATGACAACAACGACGACGATGATGACGATGATGATCTCAAAGACACTTTCCTTTCTCTTGATGACGACCGCCACGACTCAGCATACGGCGGTGAGTGCTTACGCGAAACAGAGGACATCGATTTCGAATTCGTTTACGCGCTACATACTTTCGTCGCAACCGTTGAGGGCCAAGCCAATGCCACCAAGGGTGACACGATGGTGCTGCTGGACGACAGTAACAGTTACTGGTGGCTTGTTAGAATTGTCAAGGACAGCAGCATTGGTAGGCACCCTCGCGCCAGTGTAGGAGGGGGGATGCTAATCATGTTATTCGCAGGCTATCTTCCCGCAGAGCACATCGAAACTCCCACTGAGCGTTTGGCGCGCTTGAACAAACACAGAAATATTGACGTATGTTCTTCATTTAGTGGTTCGAAACGTCGATCTAACCTTGAACAACAGCTTTCGGCGGCCATGCTTGGCGACAGCGCCGAGAAGTCGAAAAATCCACTGAAAAAAGCAATGAGACGACGAAACGCGAAAACTGTTCAATTCACCGCGCCTACTTATGTTGAGGCATCTGACTATGATTTCTCCTCTGACGAAGAGGATGATGACGGTGAGGACTTTGACAGTGGACCGGTCCACATCGAAGATACGCAAGAACACGAGGGTGATGATGGGCGTGAGACGATGACCGTCGAACCTCTGAGGATTGGCGGGAAAGACAAGAAGGGAGATGAAGCTGGAGAAGGAAACTCGGACGAACTGAAAACCGGTGACGACAAAGCGAGGACTAGCGATGAGATTTTCGATCGCGCACGTTCGTATTTCATTCTGCAGCCACGGGGAATTTGTGCTAATGACCTCGCAGCGGAGCAAAAGATCTCGAGAAATGGAACCGTCCGAAACACCGATTCCTTCTTCAAGGACGAGAGCGTTGAGACACGGAAGATTACCTTGACACCGAATCTCCTGCGCGACGATTCCTCAGCCTCTACTGTGCGCTCTGAAACCAGGGAAAGAGGCGGAAGTCTTGACAGTCTGGAGAAAGAACTCAAATCTCCAGACAAGCCAAAGGATGACAAGAAAAAGAAAGAAAAGAAACCTGGAATGCTCAGAGGGCTGTTTGGTCGTAAGGATAAGAAGGCCAAGTCTGCTGATAACGAGCAAAATGATGAGAAGCAGTCTGAGGAATTGACTCGGGAGTCATTGTCAAGGGATTCTGAGGAAACGGCATCGCCGAAGGAATCTGCAAAGGCTGAAAATGAGTCTAGTCAACAACAGCAACAGCCTGTGAGACAGACAGCTAAGGCGTCAAAGTCTTCAGAGAAGAAAACTAACGGTCCCCAGAAATCCCAGCCGTCGGACCCCACTGTCCAGCCGGCGAAATCTATTCTTCAGAAAAGCGCCTCTCAGGGTGCTGCCGAAGCTACTATGCGTTTGGTATCTGCCGGCTCAGAGCGGAACCAACAAGAGGAGCAAGAGGACTCCGAGGCAGCAGCGCGCGCGCAAGGACAGGCTCAGGCGCAGGCTGAACTCCAGGCTCGGGCTCGGGAGGAAGCTCTCTATCAGGCCAGAGAAGCCGAAAAGGAAGCCGGTCGCAACAGGAGTGGCTCCACGAGCGCCAAACAAGCAATTTCGAATATCTTGCATTCGAAGTCGAATGAACGCGAGCAAAAGCAGGAGAGCAAAATGCAAAAGCAGGAGAACAAGATGCCGCCGCGCGAAAAGGTCAAGAAGTCTAAGGAGCGTGCTCCGCTGGATGATTTCGACTCGACACCCGAGTGGGAGCACGGCGATCCTTTCGCGGATCCGGGCGAGGATGAGCGGCAGCCAAACGGAACACAGCAGCAAGAGCAAGGACTGCGTCCTGAGGATACCAATTCGCCTGGAGATGTATCGCCCATCGACATGGATCAACCTCCTGCTCTTGTGCATGACACATCAAGCCAAGAGGAGCCGGACATTTCGCCCGTGTCCCCGTCCGGCTCGCCCCTCAGGGGTGAGCTGTCCAACTCGAGCCCAAATACGATGAGGCCTACGTTCACTCCAAGTGCACTCAACACCAACATTCCTCCCGCATCAGCCAACAGCCCCATGACTGGCGAGCCTCCCTCTGCCGCATCCCTTCCTGCTTGGTCTGATGCCAGCCTCCGCTCCTACTTGGACGACGGTTCCGACATCCGCGATATGCTCGTCGTCGTCAAGGACACTTCGGGCGTCGTTCCGGTTGGTGCGGACCATCCAATCATGGCAGGCCTCTTCAGCGACGAGCGCAGCAAGGTTGCGGCAATGGGCATGCAATTGGACAGCTTGTTGGGTGATTGGCTGTCAAGAAAGAGGAGAAGGAATGAAGGCGGAAGGAAGCAAAGCTGTTGATTGCCTACCTGACCGGAGGAATTGAGCACTGATAGTGCGCCGAAGGTTTGTATTTTGCAACTGCTTCATTTTTTCTTTTCTTCCATCCTTTTTTTACAAGAGGACCAGTCATTTGAAGACGTGGGCGGAGCGCTTGCTACTCGCACCTACCGCATTTTCGGCTTCTGGAAGGGACTCCAATTTTTTTGCTTTCGCTTCCGGCGGGCGACTCCCTTGTCTTTGAATTCTTTACTTCTTCTGATCTTTTGCTGTCATCATTGTGGGGTCTGGCACCTCGCGACTATTCTCTTCTAATTCTCCCTTTCGCGATACCATGAGCACATCGAGCGCTTCTTCTTTTTTTCTTTTTGTTCTTTTATTGTGTCAGATTCTGACAGGGAAGTGGAAAGATTTAAAAGGAAGAGCAGAGGCGGGAAAAGAAAGGTGAACGGACCCGCTGAGCTTTTGTCGCCCAGCAACCGTAAGAGCTCCTTTTGTTCTTCGTGACTTGGTTTTTTTCTTTCACCTTTTTTTTTTCTCACGATGTATGACATGATACACACACAACCACACACAAGACACACAAGAGCAACAGACATGACAAGAAAAGATTCAAGTTTTTTAACTGTTACTTGCAAGACTTTCTTCAGATAGTCTGTCTGCCTTAGGTTTAGTCTTTTCTTGCGTTGTTTTAGTTTCAAGTTTTTTTCTTCTCTTCAGCCTTAGCGATAGTGTTAATACCCTTTTCTCGAGAGAAGTAGACGGGAATGGGGGAGTCGGGACTCAAACATTTTTTCTTCATCTGTCCATTTTCCTTTCACCAAATGGTACTTTATTCCTTCGTTCGTGGTTCTCCTTGATTCTGTTTGTTTCCTTTTTCAACAGGAAACTGTATTATACCCTCTCTCTGAATTACAGCTCTCTTATTGTTTCTTGAACTGGGGAAAAGGTTCCTACTCCTCGAATGTCGTGTCGATGTATACCTTCGCTCTGGGTTTTTCCAACTCCTTTTACTACTGGGAGAGATAGAATTATTTCTTCTCAACTGCTGGAGTTATACCACTGTTTCTTTGCGGCTACAACTGCGCCCTGGTTCCTCTATGCAACCTGGTGATTTACGTAGTAGGTGATTGCCTGTTCGTCTGCTATAGAACTAAGTTGCTTCACTGTTGTGAGGTCATTCTGAGAGGAGAAAGGTGTGGAAGAAAGTAAGGCGCACCTAATTGAGTGCAGATGACTTTCAGCCCTGGAGCGTCCTCATTTGTTACAATAGTTCATGTACGCGTCCTGGTAGTACCTTTTTTTTTCGCATGGGGCGGTAAAATAAGTCAGTGGCGGCTCCGTGGTTGGGATTAGGCGGGCGGAAGTGCCAGCCTGGGAGTTCAGTTCTTAAGCCGCGCGCCCTCAGGCGCGGCTCCAACACAATTGAGCCATCCGGTCGCCCCATTGGCCCGCTGTACTGAGAGTGTTTCAAACTCCGTCCCAGATCCGTCGCCGCCGAACACGCCCTGATACTCTCAAAGTCTGCCTTACCAAAGAGGAGGCATCGCCACCTTCAGTCATAGGTCCGCACCGCAACCACTTCACTTCACGTTTGCCTAAGGATTACTGCGAATTTTGTGTAGTCGCTCATAGTCACACCGGCGGCGCACCTACTGGAATGGGTTCAGTAACTTTGAGGGTTTGAAAGTGGTTGACTGCTATGCTTCCGGAGCCTGAAGAAGTCAGCAGAACATCCCATAGCTAAGAATATTATGAACAAAAATGCATTCGGTTATTATATCACATAACTCTCTAATTCTCTTTATTTTACTCTCTCACTCCCTCTGCTCCCGTCACCGACAATGAACCGCATCACGTATTCTAACTCACTAACCGACCAACCCTGATCGATCCCTTTCTTTTCCTGAACCCAACTTACAATGTTCATAAGATCGTACATACGAATATGCTATAAAAAAAAACACAAAGAGAGAAATAACATCTCTCGTTAGCCCCAGGGGTACGTACTCGACTGGGTATCACTGGTCTACTCTAGCTATTTCACAGTCACCCTTAAATCCCCACCTATCTACTCGGCAAAGACATAGGCCAGCCAGCCTTATCCAATTCATGCGTCAATTCAAAGCGGACACGGAAAGCCGCCCACTGATACCAGCAAACCCACTCGACTCGGTTCGTTCCGCTCGGCATGCTCTACGCGATGATAGTAGCAGCAAAAAGAATATTACCCTCCGCCCAAAAACAAACAATGAACAGCATCAGACGCCGTTCATAACGCATCCGAGCCGGAAAAAATGGAGCCATACATGAGTAGTCCCTTCTAAAACCATCTAATCGCACAGCAAGCCAGTGGGAAAAAAAAAGAAAACTTTGGTCGCATTTATACATCTCTCTGCCCGTTCCCTCTCGGCCTCCTAAAAAAATCATAACTCGTCTCTTCCTGCAAAATTTCCGGCGCCGCCCCGCCGTCCAGGCGACTGTATCCGCCGGGCGCCCGGCCCATCGGCGCGGCGCCGCCCATGAGGTTTACGTTTGAGAAGTCCTGATTGTGCGTCTGCACGGGTCCGGCCAGATCTTCTGACGATATGCGGTGCAGTGGGCTGTATGAGCGGGGCTGGTTGGCCAAAACCGTCGACATACCCAGGACGGGTGGCTGGTGATAGCCGGCTGGGTAGGTGGCGCCCCCGCCGGCAGCGGAAGGGCCACCGGCATGCGGGTCGCCGTCGGTGAAGGTCCGGTCGCTGTCCTGGGACCCGCGATAAGGGGAATTGAAGGCGGGAGAGCCGGCACGGGAGCCGTTGTCGCTGCCGTGGCCGGTTGTGAAGGTACCAGGCGTGCCGGGCCGGGACATATCTGACGGACGGCCATACAACTCGCCGTCACCACCGAACTCATCACGGAACTCTGGTCGATCGCGATAGTTCTCGAAGTCGAGCTGTGAGTCGTTGACGAGCTCGAATGGTGCGTTGGGACCCATGGCTTTGCCGGTGCGGGTTTTAGACATGTCTTCCATGTTGTATGTGTCACCGTAGCCGGTGTTGGCCCCGTCGGTTTCAGCTTCCAGACGGCCGCGGTATATCTGGCTGAGGACGTGTTCGCATTTGGAGTGGACCATAGGAGTCATCAATGGCTTGTAAAGCGCCGGATGTCCGAAGCGAACGCCAACACGATCGCGACGCTTCTTCCTCTCCGGGAGACCCTCTTCCTGATCTTTTTGGACTCCCTTGCTGTAGTAGTGCATGCCATCATCGAAAGTGCGCTTGAAGTACCACTTCACTCCTCCAAGCAGAAAGAGGAGAGGGACCATACAGAACAGCTGAGTGTAGCTTTCCTTTCTGGCAGTAATGAAGAGGGTCGCTACGACGTTGGCAAAGAACGTGGCGAACATCATTCTGTTGACGAGTACACGCCAGAAAGAGCCACCCGATTCGTGCTTGGTAATGAAAACATAGCTACGGCATCATATCAGCATGCAAACGCAAGTAAACGCTCCAACAATCAACACTTACAGCAACAGATACTTCTTCAGATAGCTGTCCATGGTGAAGTAGAAAGCAGCTACCGGCAAGACCAGGGGCTGGAAGGGTGCAAAGATGAGGGCGATCGTGGTATAAAACAGGAAGTAGTTGTAATACGCGGCGTAGTCGAAGGGCGGAGGCGCGGTGAGCTCGATCAGATGGCGAGGAGTTGGGTTAGTGCATTTGCGAACGACATAACCCCAGAGCAGGTTCGTCAGCTGTGACAGATCCCATGCGGCACCAAAGTTACGCTGCAAGAGGTAGTTGAGCCAAAATGGAGAAACGTCACAGAAAGCTGTCATGGCGTTGGCCCAAGGATCGGCGGCTTTCAGTGCGTCCCACACGCTGAGATCTTTCTCTGCTTGGATCACTGCGCTGGCATACTTCCAGGCTGTAGAGAACAGCGAGAACACCAGGAGGTTGTTGAAGACGAAGAAAGCGTATAGCTTGTGAGTCACGTGCCGTTCGCGCGAGGTTTTCGAGTAGTCTCCAGCGTTGATCGAGAGGCGTCTGAAGATGGCAGGGAGGAAGAAATAGAAGATGGTGGTAATAAATGGAGCAGCAATACCCTGAACAGCAGCCCAGGTCTTTGGGTTCCGCGAGAGTTCGGTATTGAAAGCAGGCCAAACAAGTCCGAGATTGCCCAAGTTTGACAGGAAAACAGCGATGAGACCGTTAGGAATGCACCAAACAACAGTGAGCATAATGACCCAGACGTTGTTAAGAATGGCCCTCCCACGGCGTTGAGAAGGCGTCAGCGGAAGGTTGCTCCAGATGAGGTCACTAGGCTTTGGGGCAAGCCTAACGGAGGATTTGTGAGGGTGCTTGTTTTTTCCAGCATATGCCACCTGGTGCGCCTCTTCAATGCCCTCATAACTGGCGAATCCGTATGGAAGAGCATTTCGGTTATCGACGGTAAGTCTGACCTCCTTTATTTCGATTTCCAAGCTCCGGATTCTGGACGTCAAATAGTCGATGGCGTCTACCTTTGTTCCGGGTGAGTATGAGCGGTCCTTCTTCGGCGTCTTGCAAGTCGGTCGATTCGGTGGCAGATGGTTTGGGTTCTTGAGGTACCTGGCGAGAACCGACTCCAAATGACGGACGGCATTCTCGTGCTGCTCAATCAGTTCCGGGAGATCCTTGACGTTGCGAGCAATGACTCCTCGTGGATGGCCATCCGTCACGTGCACTTCGTCCAAGAGCCTGCAGACACCCTCGTCGGTGCGGTAAGATTTAGAAATGTCTGTGACCTGGATGAACGTCAGCACTGGACCCAGCAGCCCGAAGATGTGTCGGCCCATACCAGCAAGGTGCGTGAGTGCAGACTCCGCTGATACTCGGGGCTGTCGAAATAATCCCTCCGCATTTTATAGACGGCCTTGTAATTGGACCACAGAAAGTAGCAGACGGTGATATCGAAAACGTACGCCAGCAGCACATGTGCCCAACACGCTTTTCCCCACACACCCAGCGGGGTAAACTTCATGAAGGTTGTGACGCCCGATAGCTGGTTGTTGCTCGCGTTTTCGGCCAAGTTGAGCGGAATGTACACGCCGCAACCAATCACGGACAGAATGAGGAGGATGTTCCGGCACATCTTGGTGAAGCGCAGGAAAACCGTAGCATCAATTCCGACCTTCTCAATGAGCAACTGCTCACGGGTCTTGAGAACGGGCTGTACCCAAGCAAAAACGCCTTTGGTGACGGCGGGTGGGGCGTGCTTTTCGTCGGCATGCTTCAGGCGTGGTGCGTATACAGTGCTGTTGTAGGGACGGAGGACGCAGAAGAGGAGGGCGAAGAGGATGGCGGCGCCGACGGAGTATCCGAGAGAGGACCAGAAGGCGCTCTCGTTGGTCTGGTGGGGATTACTAGTAAGTATGGCAAAGATCTTGGCGGTCGAATTGTTCATCGCGACGGTGGGAGGAGCCTGGGAATAAGGCGAGCACACGACATACCTGAGTACTGAACGGGTTCGAGATCAGGCGGAGGAAGGTGTCGGTGGAGCTTTCGCCGTCACGGGGTAGCAGCGACCCGCCGGGTGCGCGCGTCCACGACATGGGCGCGGCCAAGTGGTACAGGAGCGAACAATGGGGACAGGCAGCGGAGGAGCGCCGGGGTCGCGGGATCGCGGGAAAAGGCAGGCGTAACGAGCGGCGTGGAGCGGGTGTTGCCTGGCGGTATCTAGGCCATTGACGGGTGCAGCACTCACGGCCCCTGATGCGGCAGCGGGTGGGTGGGCGGCCGATACTTGGGCCAGCGTTTGGTGGAAGAGTGCGAGTGTGGGCGGAGGGCCTGGAGAAGAACCGGAGCAGCTGCAAGGGCGGAGGCACTGGCAGCGGGCGACAATCGGGGCCTTAAGGTTACGTAGGCGAGCAAGTGCCTTCTTTCTCCCGCAATACGATGGCGGAGGACGCGCCGTGCGTCAACGAGGACCCTAGCGCCCAGTTGCTGCGCATGCTGTCATCCGCCGCGCCAGCTCTGGGCCGCCAGCGTCCACCGGGGCAGAAAACCCCCATCCCAGCAGCGCGTGAGCGCCAAATTTAGACAGCCCACGCGCCGCCTGCCGTTTGGCCAAGCGCCCAACAGATCCCAGCGCTCCAGCGCTCCAGCAACGCGGCCGCGGCGCCCGTCAAGCCCGCCCAACGCGCTGCAAATGAGACACCAACTCGCGTCGAGTAGCCCCCGTTCCTGCCAGTGTTCGCACGACCCGGCGCAATGATCCTCCCCGGGCGATCACGTCGGCCAAGCACACAGCCCGACCAGTTCTCCACACCGAACGCGCACTAATCGCGCCCTACTTGGCGCATCCCGTATCCGCTTTTTTGCAACGTGAAGGACCAGCCCCCCGCGCCGCTGTGCTATCGCCATCGCCGGCTGCAATCATCAGGCGCAGTTCTGGACTCCGTCCGGGTCCCGCCTGCCGCTGCCAGATGACGGAGCCGGGAGTCGTGCGCACGTCAGCTGCCGTCGTCGACCGAGCTCCCCTCGCCTCAAATTTGCCCCCGTCATGACGATCGCCCCGGCTGCAACAATTGCTCGTATCCGTGCCAGGCACGCAGGCAGACTTCAGGAGACGGCGGGCACGCAGGAACACGCACGTTGGTTGGGAAGGGCCCGGTAAGCGGGCCAGGGATGCGTCGAACGCTATTCATGCCGCTGCTGATTGGCTGTCACCCGCCTACTGTTATAGACACTGATCCACGTCGTACACCCTTCCGTTGACCAGAATTCCTCCAGCCTTTCTTGTCCTGAGCCTTGGCATCAGACCCTTATTCTCACCTCCAAAGAATGCTCGTCTGACCTGAAATTTAAGAGCGCTCCACCTGTCCTAAACTGCTGCTGTGCCGCGCAACCCTCTCGTCCCCACCGTGTCTGCAGCGCGCCGGCCGTGGCACCAGCACGCCCGTTCTACGTCGATCCCGCACTCGCACCCGCCCCCTTCTTCCACGCCCAGTCGGCATCTGCCATTTAACATCCGTCAGTCTCCGCCTCATTATTGGCCCATCTCACGCCTCGCGCAGCACCTACCTGGATGCAGCTCAGGCTCTCCGATATAGCTCCTGGCCTCCTGCTTCTTCTTGTAGTCGCTCCCAAACCGCCTGTCGCGGTCGCCCACGTTCTTGGCAAAGTCGAACTGGTCCTCGGCCGTGAAGCTTGTCATCAGCTGCGGCTCGCCCAGCGGGATCTTGTCGCCGCGGTCCGTCTGCCACAGGTGGAACACCTTGCCGTACAGCTCGACCACATCCTCCATCTCGCTGCACTCGGCCTTCTCCCACGCCGCCTCCGGCACCACGGCCGACGGCTGCGGCATGATCAGCATCCCGGACTTGACCTCGAAGACGTGCGAGTGCCAGTAGCGGCGCTCCTCGGGCGAAAGCGTCGCGTAGAGCCTCGGCGTGATCATGTACTCGATGCCGATGAGGCGCGCGTTCGGCTCGGGGCTATCGTAGAGGATGCATTGTCGGACATCTGGTCATCACACAGCCAGCATCAGAACCGCGTGGGCATCCTTGCCCGCGAAAAGGCCGAGAGGCGAGGGACTCCAAATCGCTACCTGACGTACCTTCATTCAGGTGGCTGCAGTAGTGGTTCGCCTCGACGAAGCGGCTCGTGTCGTTCGCATAGACGTGGAAGGCGTTTAGATGCGCGCAGATGTTCTTGACCGGTCGGAAGTCCTGAAACAAAACAACGGACGCATCAGCCTTCACCTGGTCTCTCCCTTGCCCTTCCGACGTTCGAAGTGATTTAGAAAGCTGACTGACCTGCGTCAATGTGGCACCTGTCTCCAGCACATGGCTCTTTGTGGAGAGCGGCTCTCCAACCGCCTTGTTCGTTACTGGCATATGTTCCATGTTGATCGCTCTATAGTCTCGTTAGAGTCCAGCGGTCGATCTAAGCACTGCGTGTTGCTACTGGTTTCTGGTCTCTCCTCTCTTCGACTGTTGCGTTTCTCTGAGTGGCGTTGCCGATGTCAGCGCCTCGTAACAATCCTCGAAGCTTCGCGAGTGAGTACACTCTGACGTCATCTGTGAGACCCCGCATAAGGTGAGTTTTCGGCGCGTTTTGCAAAATCGGGCTGCACAGAATGCATTTGGTCGCTTGCCACATGCGACAGCGTCTCACCAGGGATCGCAAGCCTCAGGTGGCCAGGAGCACTTTCAATGCCGTGTTGCTGAATAAACAGCAACACAGCCCTAGGAAAGCTTGTCGCGCTCTTATCGATACGCAATACGAAGTCCGAGGAGCGTCATGGTCAACTCGTAGTCGAAGCGTTGCTGCTATGAAGATCAGAACTCAGTTAAGCCGTAGAGTTTCACCTATCTACTACGTAGGGTGACTAGTATCCACAAAGCGTCCAAAATCCCCACTGCAATCTACCCCTGATAGGGTCCATAAGGGAGTGATTCAGTTCCGTGTTTTTAGCTCGATTATATGGTCTACCTGAATCTTGCTACGCTCGCCGCGGTAATACGACGGTATCCAATATTCTAGAATGGAAACACTGCGCGTACCAGTCTATGCTGCTCGTTTGATTCCTGCTCACATGGTTGGTTCTCTCCATACTGTGTCCTGCCGCTTCGGCTTCGGCATCCCGTTCTTCCACGTTTCCAGCTGGGGCTTCTTGACGCCGCGCTTCTTGCGAGACTGAGCAATTTGACGCCTCTGGAACTTCTTCTGGAACCAACGAACAATCATCTCGCGCGTCATGCCAATTGAAGTGACGAACATGACGGGGACGGCGATGTACCAGAAAAAGCTGTCGCTGTGCTGGATGGCCCAGAAGTGCTCGAAGTTCTGACCGAAGTATCCGGTCAAGAAAGTAAGAGGCAGGAAGAAAATAGTCACAGCCGTCAGCTGACGCATGCTTTCATTCTGGTAAGTGCTCATGATGTTGAAGATCAGATCAATCATGTCATCTACTAGACGTCAGCCAATGGTTCAAGTCTGGCAAATAAGAACACTGACCTGCAGATTTACGCATCTCGTCGATGGCTTGGCATATCATGATGCAGTGATCCTCAGCATCGCCCAAATACGTGTGTGCAAGAGCGCTGATGGTCACACTTGACGCAGTGCTGCGCGCGGGCCTTCCGGCTTGATTGGTGGCTGCGGCTGTTAGTCCACCACCTCTGAAGGATTGTTGGGCCAAGTAACCTACCAATCGGCTCCTTCTTGTGGTCACGTAGAGCATTGATCAAACCCATGATGGGCTGGATCCTGTTCCGCAGCACAGAGAGCTCGGTCGTCATGATGTCTGCATCTCTGATCAGCACAAGTAGGTGTGGTCAGCACGTGACCGACTTACACAATGCCTTGGAGTGCCCAATGCTCGGCTCTGTCAGAACGTCAAGCTCGAGGTCGCTGATTGTATCCTCGTATGCAGCCGTCACCGGAATAGCCAAATCAATGATGGTGTCAATCAAGGCCTGCACCATCATACTGGCATCGGCACTGCGTCTCAAGATGGTATCTGGAGCCTCCAGGCGAGTTAGGATCGGTTTCTCTACATCTTCAGCAGAATGTTCGAAGAAACAAATGCAAGTGTTGTCGCTGGTGAGAAACATGGACACTTGCTCCACGCTGACGGCAAGGTGCTTGTCGGAGAGAGCAGAGTGCCGCTCCATGTACTCGGTCCTTTCGATATTGGGACCACCACGGTATCGTTGAAGGGTCCGGAACTTGTGCTTGGGCCGTGCCTTTGCCATGGCACGTGGCGAAAGATACGAATCCTTCCGCTCGAGCTTATATCCTCCGTGTCGGTTGATGGTTTCCAGGGAGTGTCCGTCATCAGACGCCCTTCGACGCTTACTCAGTCGTTTGAACCACTTTCGGTTCTCTTTCTGCTGACGTACAGCGTTTTCAGTCTCGGAGTCACTATCGGAAGAACTGTCCGATGAGCTCCCATTCTGCACGAGCTTCTGAAGGGTCAGGAGGACTGCAAAGTAAAGTCAGTTTCTATAACGAGAATGCAGAAGGCTAGCCGTGGCCCAAGCACCGCAAACGCAGTCGAGAGCGTAAACAAGACGATGTTTGATCGTCCTACATGCATGGCGATATGCAACCGGCATGCATGGCTTTTGCGGCAAAATGTGGAGCATGCACGTGGGAGTCAGTACTTACAGAAAGCATGGTCAGAATACCAGTCGGCCTTCGTTCTACCTCGAGTGTTCATAAGATCTTCAATGGCGAGCCTGTGCAAGTTCTTGTGGTTGCCCAGCAGTTTGATTACATCCCAGCTGAGGCCGTTGACGCTAATCCAGCGGCAGGTGGCCCATTCTTCGCGCGGACGCTCCAGGAATTCTTCCAGGGAATCGTTGTCGAAGGTGTGCTGCTCCATGTACTCGTCGGAGAAGTCAACCACGGTAATGATACAGTCCTCTCGCAGGTGGGCATGCCGGAGGTCCGCTTCGGTCTTGGCCGTGTCAATTCCCGGTTCGGCTCCCGGTTCGGCCTCCCAGACGGGCCGGGTGGGGGAGTTGCGGTAGTGCTTCACCGTATTGGAGCGGATCGGACGACGCTGGGCAACGGTCGAGCTGTCTAGCGAGTAGCGGGCGCTGGCATCCGCATCCGTGCCTGTGGCAGATGCCGTGCTCTCGCGACGGCCGCGACTGGTGCGAGGGGAGTGCGGCGACCGCTGGGCCTCGACATCATAGGGGCTGCTGGTGTTCAGGGAGTGCAGGTTGTTCGAGGCCCCGCCGGCCGCAGGCGCAGCGGGCGGGGTGTAGAAGTCGCGCACTGTCGGCTCAGCCATGCTGCGCGCTGCAAAGATGGAGGAAAAAATCAACACTGGCGGAGAGTAGTGCTAACCAAGCGCAGCAGCAGCGACAGCAGGAATAATGGCGTCATGTGCGGCTGGGCAGAAGGGGTCGTCCCTGAGGCCAGCAGAAGAAGGGTTATTGTCAGACGCCCGATTTAGATTGAGCGCCCGTATTATTCCTCCTAGGGGTCTAGCCGAGGCGCTGGTCGCGCATCAGGGTGTCGCGCAGTGGAGCGCGCAGCGACGGTGGCGGCGGCGTGGGCGAGCGAGAGGCTCGTTTACTGCGACGGCAGCGTGCGCTGGCGGTGTGGAGGTCATCTGCAGAGCTTAAGCAATCAGCGATGCGCCGCGCCTGTTCGGCGCGCGGGCGCGCAGCGAAGCGTGGTCCAGGGCCGCCGCGACGGCGCGCCATCTCCATCGAGGCCGGACGGCGAAGAATACGCCTGGATCGGAAATTATGATTGGCCCCGGCCGGCTTCCTCGCTCTGAGACACGCAGTATTTCGCGTGCTCCCCGGGCCCGTAAGCTATTAATCATCGGCTAGCCAAGCCACGGGCGAGAGCATGAAGGCCAAGCAGTAATCTCAGTCGGGCGCCAAGCCGCAGCCTCCTCGCAGCCTCTCTCCTCACTTTACAGCGCAGCACACCCAGTCTGCCCACGCCGAACTCCTCACCTCGCCCGCACCCGTCCATCCTCTGCCCTCGGCCGCCGCATCAGCTACTCCATTCCGCCGCTGCGACGCTTCTCTCAGCCGCGTCTGACGCCACGCTCGACACCTCGCCCGCTCGAGGTCCAAGGCAGCGCGCCATCGCCACGGCTCGTGCGCCGTCCCGACGTGGCCCCCTCAGGAGAGCAAACATCATCAAGACTTGTCGCAGGCCATCGACGCTGTCGTGTGGCCTTGCCTACGTGCCCGGAGTGACTTCGCCTGCTGCCCGACCGCTCCGGATGTTGTTCTGTCATCCTCTGCTCTGATCGCACGCTCCACCTCAGCCCCATCCCAGTGGCGCCTTTGACTCGACTCGACCCGACTCCGCATACCTTAGGCCGATTGGCGCACGCCTGACACCGTGTTTGATTTCAGGAACGGGCGTTTGTTCACTTGCATTGCTGGCGTTACTGGGTGCGTATTCTCATTCTGTCGACCCGACCGATGATGCCCCTCTGCTAACCAGAGCGCGTTCCAGCTCTTTCTTCATTTTAAACACTTGTGGGCTCCTCGTCATCTAGCCAGCACTAGGGAAACACATAGCAGCATCTACTCGCAATCGCAATCATGCGCGAAGTCAACTTCAGCATCCCGAACTCGAACAAGGCCTCGGTCGGCATCACCACCGCCCTCTATGACCGCCGGGCGCTCGACTGCACCTCCACTCTTCCTCTCATCAACTCGCTCAACCATCTCGCCTACCTTACCACCTCATCCGCCCGTATCCGTGACATTCTCACCGTCGATGGAGGTGTCGAGCGCTTGGTTTGCATATTGAAGGAGGGCAGGAGCAAGGACATGATGGACATCTGGAAGTGGAACCTCGCTTTCCAGTGCGTCGTCAACATTGGTGTCCGAGGCTCCGAGGCTGTGAGGACGAGGGTGGTGGAGGCCGACATGGTCCCTGTGATTGCGACCGTTTTGGACAATTACATCCGTGTCATCGATAAGTGTCGGGAGAAGGCCGAAGCGGAGTACAAACGCAGCAATCCCCGCTTTGGCATGTCAGGGCGGCACTATGGCAGGGCCGGCGACCCTTTGAACCCTGGCCTTGGTCACCGCTCAGAGCGCTCGCGCCGTCACGCCCCGCCGCCGATTGAGATCCCGCAGCCAGTACCCTTCCCTCAACCTCAGATGGAGACCCAAGTTACGGATGTCGCCACACAACAAGCCTTCGCCATAAGCTCTCCCCCGGAACGCACCACCTTTTCCCGGTCACACCACCATCACCACCATCATCGCAGCGACAACCGGACCCACAACCTCGCACCCAGGAGCGGCTCGAGTCGTCAGCAGACTACTCAAGCTCTCCACAACAGCGTCTCTAACTTAGATACCCCGGAGTCTTTTGGACTCCGCCCCGTCAGAGATGCCGATCGTCTTCCCTCAATGCTCCCTTCTTTGCAGCGTGAAATGACGTCACAGCCTGAATCTCCCACTACGCCCAACGCTGTTGCGCAGCCAGGGTCATCTAGGTCAGAGATTGCCGTCGCCAGAAACCGTAGGAGGCCATCTATCCGCCATCAAGTCTCGACCTCCGGTGACTCGGACAACGATGGCCAAGTCGAGGAGATTGTTGCTGAGGACTCTGCGGCAGCGGGATCTGCCGGCGAGCCCATCGTCGGCATCCAGAACGAAATAAACATGCAGGATATTGTTGATAACGAGGAGATGCTCGACGCAGGCGCGACGCCTGTTGGGCTCACGGCACCGGCTTCTGAAGCCACGGATGCCGAAACCTTTAACATTACCCATCGGTCTGCTATCGATGGCAGTATTCTCAATCCGGCAGCAACTCAAGCGGCAGGTCCCCTGGGTTTCTCGCCTGTACAGCCAACCATCACTGTAGCAAATGCAACCCCACCCACGGGCATGCAAGCCAACTGGTATCCGCGGTCGGTTCAGGACCGCAACGCGACTGCCGGTGTACTTGCCGCCATGCCCAGGGATGAGGACGTACTCATGTCTCTTCAGTTGCTAGCATACGTTTCCAAGTACTGCAACCTCCGCTCGTACTTCCAAAAGTCGCACTTGGTGCCCCGACTCAGGATCGGCAAGGAGCTAAATCTTCTCGACGGAGATGGCTCGATGCCGATGACGGAGGAAGAGGAAGAGTGCGAAGAAGAGTATTTGCTGCCCGACGATTTTAACATTTTCCCCCTGGTGGAGAAATTCACCGTCCGCCATCATTCCCAGGACATGCAATACTGGGCCGGCGTGGTAATGCGCAATCTTTGCCGCAAGGACGACTCACGCGGCGGCATTAGGCAGTGTGCCTACTACCAGTGTGGCAAGTGGGAGGAGTACACGCGCCAGTTCGCCAAGTGCCGCCGCTGCCGTCGCACCAAATACTGCAGCAAGGAGTGCCAGAAGAGCGCGTGGGTTTACCACCGACACTGGTGTGTAGCCGCGCAGCAATAGGCGTGAGGCAGCCACGTCCAGCCCGGACTTTTTTCTTTTACAATCACAGTCATCATACCCATTTATTCAGCATTTGGCACGGCGCAGGGACAGAGATTCAGTTTGTGTGCATCAAAGAACTAATGACATGGGACGACTCATCCGTTTTTGAAACTCTTTGGCGGAATCTTACAGTTAGTGGGAGTTCTCGGAGTGCCTTTTTCTATATCGGTTGCTCGGTGGACGGACAAAAATTGATTCGTCTTCGTCAGGCACGGATTGGTTCATATTCTTTTGTTATCAAAGTGGTGGGACGCGTGGAACCAATTCTTGGCTCTCCTTTGTGTAGTCGGTGGTGGGCGCGCAGTTGATTCGCTCCTTACTGGAGATAATTGCCTTTTGTTGTCCCAAGTTCGGTCCCCTGGGGTGATGTGATGTCGCTGAAATGATCGCCAAGGAGGCTCGTTCTCCACAATGCGCACATTGCAGGCTGCCGCTCTCCACCGAGGCTCGCGATGCGCACAGTGCCGGGCGCGTCCACGCTCGGTCCGCGGCAGCTAAGCTTTCCATGACTTGCGCGTTGGAGATGAACGCGCAGCCTTGAAACGAGCATGCGGCCGGATTCGATACGACTGTCGGCAGTGTTTGCTGAAAAGGCAACAAAGAACCGTTCCTGCAGAAGGGTGGGCCAGTGAGGAGCATTATCGAGCTTACGTTGGGTGTCACGTCTATAATTAGCGGGGCCAACGTTGGACAGACGGAGGGCGGAGGGCAGGGCAGGGCGGGGCCAACCGGTGGTAGAGGAGTGCAAGGGTGTGGTGGCTCGGCCTCCCAAGGCCTGCCGTTTGCTCCGCTGCAGCTTGACGAAGCCGCTTTGGGCCTTCCAGAAGCACCAATTTGCTGCGCCTCAAACGACCTCGTGCTCGTGCCCGACTGAGCCTACTCGCAAACCCCTCCTACGCAGCCTTGCATCCTCTCACCACCTGTCCTGACTGCTGTTCCCGCTCGCTCTGCGATCCTTCAACCCACGGGCCCCGGCCCGCGACGTCATCCGTCATCCGTCATCCGCCGCACATACCCGCCCACACCGACTGCGATTGAGCGCGTCTGCATTCCCTGATGAGCCGCACCGGTAGACACCGCACCAGAGCATGACCGGTGCCGACGACGACCGACCGAGTCCACGGTTGCCCGATATGCGCCGCAGACATTCGACACACGTCGATGAGAGCGCGAACGCCGAAGACGCCGCGAATCATGCCGGCACCGGCATGCACGACCTCGACAGGTCAGGCCGCCGTGTCTTCACAGATCCCGCTGCTGCGCATCAGCAGCCCGCCTCTACCACCTCCGCTGTCGATGGCGCCGATCTTCTCTCCTCGCCCACGAACGCACCGACGACCGAGCGCGCGATCAGAGTTCGTTTCTCCACCGACATCGAGCGGACTGCGGTTCCGGGCTACGTTGGCCCCGCTGGCAATGGCAATGGCAGATCGCCGCCCGCGACACTACCTGGCAGCACGATGGGGCAACTGGAGAGAGCAGGCACGCCCAATCTCTCGGTAGACACTACGCCCGCAGTAGCGGAGACAGCGCACTCAACAGCCGCCTCCACAAGCCCGGAAACCGCTCGCTCGAGGCTCTCACCGTTGTCGCCGACCGGTCGAAACAGAGGATATTCTCTTCGGAGTTCGTTGTTCCGCCGCAATGTGGAGAATCCGGTTGCATCGCCAGGGAGTGTTATAGAGTTGGAGGATGCGGGGGCTTCCTCCAGTCAGGTTCCACCAATGTCAGCCGCATGCGACCAGCCGAAGAAGTCGTCCGGTGACGGCCCGAGTGTCAATGTCGAACAGGCTGAAGTGTCACCTCCTCGTGCCCCTGCTGAGTCACACTCGCAATCGCAAAAGAGAGAATCCGGGAAGTCGACGTTGAGAGGGATTTCCGCGCTGCCCAACTATGAATCCTGGATCAACGAAAGGGAGGGTCGGAAGAGCATCGTGAAGACTGCGAGGGAGAATGCTGACAAGCTACGGAAATTCGTGTTCCGCATCAAGGAGATCCCTCCTAGCAAGGATGGCAGGCATATCGACCTAGATGCGTCGCGCACGAAAACGTTGATTGACGAAAGAATTGGGAAGCCCTACGTTTCCAACACCATCCGCTCGAGTCGCTACAATGTCTGGAACTTTCTGCCTCGCCAACTCATCGCGCAGTTCTCAAAGCTGGCAAACTTCTACTTTTTGTGCGTTTCCATTTTGCAGATGATACCCGGCCTCAGTACCACGGGGCAGTATACCACCATTGTCCCTCTATTGTTCTTTGTATCTCTTTCAATTGGAAAGGAAGGCTACGATGACCTTCGAAGATATCGCCTCGACAAAGCCGAGAACAATCGAACGTGCAAGGTCCTGCATGCATATCAACCTGTGGATAAAGAGGCATCGAGGACTAACCCCGAGAACGACTTGGGGGCGCCCTCCCTTGGCCCGACCCATTGGACAAAGACAAAATGGAAGGAACTCAAAGTTGGCCACGTCGTTAAACTTGAACGCGATGAAGCGGCTCCAGCGGATCTAGTTCTTCTCCATTCGACTGGCGCTAATGGAATTGCCTATGTTGAAACCATGGCTCTGGACGGCGAAACCAATTTGAAAAGCAAGCAGACGGCAGCCTTGCTGGCAGGGGCGTGTGACACAGACGACAAGCTTGCTTCATGCCGGGGACACTTTGTTGTAGAGGACCCCAACACTGATCTGTACAACTTCGAAGGTCGGGTTACGTACAATGGAGAAACAGCGCCTCTGACAAATGTCGAGATCATGTATCGTGGCAGTATTCTGAGGAACACTCCTGAAGCTGTCGGCATGGTTATTTACTCTGGCGAAGATTGCAAGATTCGCATGAACGCTAACAAGAACCCAAGAATCAAGGCCCCGGCTCTCCAGACCATAGTCAACAGAATTGTCATCATCATCGTCATTTTCGTCATCCTCCTGTCCATCTTCAACACCGTCGCTTACCAAGTCTGGTCAAGCAAGAATGAAGACGACGCATGGTACTTGACAGATGCAAGCGTTGCCTTTTTCCCGATTTTGGCATCGTACATCATCATGTTCAACACCATGATTCCGCTCTCCCTCTATGTCAGTTTGGAAATCGTCAAGGTCTGGCAGATGTGGATGTTGAACGACATCGATATGTATCACAAGGAGAGCAACACGCCTTTCGAGCCTCGCACCTCTACGATCAACGAGGAATTGGGCCAAATCAGCTATGTTTTTTCCGACAAGACAGGCACGCTTACGGACAACTCAATGAAGTTCCGTAAGATGTCCGTTGCCGGAACTGCATGGCTCCACAACTACGATCTGGAGCAGAATGAGAGCGCACTCATCAGGCGCCCGACGCATAAGAGGAAGAACAAAGGCAAGAAACCTCTAAGGAAGAGTCTCGCATCTGTTAAGCATGCCATGAAGTCTGACAACCAAGATGGCTTCGAGACTCTTGGGGGCGAGGCCACCGCTAAGGCAACCGAGGCCGCCGAGGCTCAAGTGGAGAGTCAGTGGACTTCTTCCGCTCGCCCTTCTAAGCCTCAGTCGGAGCTTTTGACCTCGGACTTGATCAAGTACATCCAGCGCAAGCCCTACACCGTTTTCGCAAAAAAGGCCCGGATGTTCCTGCTCTCGATTGCTCTATGCCATACGTGTTTACCAGAGAAACGTAAGGACGGGGCCATTGAGTTCCAGGCTTCTTCTCCAGACGAACTAGCTCTTGTGAAAGCTGCGCAAGAGCTTGGCTTCATGCTCATCGATCGCGACGTTGGAACGATCACCTTGAAGAGCTTCCCTTCTGCTGACGGTGAACCCGTTGTTGAGGTCTTTGAAGTCCTTGATGTCATCGAGTTCTCCAGCAAGCGTAAGAGGATGTCCGCAATTGTACGCTTCCCTGATAATCGCGTCTGTCTGTTATGCAAGGGTGCCGACTCGATAATCATGCAACGCCTGAAGAATGCTGCACTAGCTCATGAGAAGGTTGTGGAGATTGAACGCAGAGCGAACAGACGTAAGAGCATGGAAGCCCAAGTTGCGATTGCCCGGAGGAGCGAGCAGATTGAGCGCAGAAGCATGAGCCGTCCCAGCATGAGCCGTCCTAGTATGAGTCGTCCTAGTTTCAGCATGGGCCGCAAGAGCATCGGAGCAGTAAGCCGTCAGAGCATGGGAGATACCAAGATGCAGCCCATCAGAGATGAATTGAACGAATGGCTTAATGACAGGGAACGGGAGATTGACGTGTCTTCCGTGGAAGAACATACCACGTACTATTCTCCTCGCCCGTCCGCGCAATTCAACGGACGCCAGTCGATGGCTGTATCTGAGGCGCGCAGCTCGATGCAGCTCGATGAAGAGGATGAGCTCGTTGAGGAGGCTCTTGTCGTGGATGAACCGACTGTCTTCGAACGGTGTTTCCAACACATCAACGACTTCTCCACGGAAGGTCTCCGTACACTACTGTATGGCTTTCGCTTCCTTGACGAACAGGAATACCAGGCATGGAAAAAGGTTTACCTTGACGCTACTACCAGTCTCGTTGACCGCCAAGACATGATTGAGCGGGCTGGTGAGATGATCGAACAGGATCTGGATCTCGCTGGTGCAACTGCAATCGAGGACAAGCTTCAAAATGGCGTTCCACAAACGATTGACAAGCTCCGTCGGGCAAACATTAAGATGTGGATGCTTACAGGCGACAAGCGCGAGACTGCCATCAACATTGGTCATTCTTGTCGCCTAATCAAAGACTACTCTTCACTCACCATCTTAGATCACGAAGTTGGCGAGGTCGAGCAGAGCATCGCTACCGCGATTGTGGACATCAGCGAAGGAAAAATTGCCCACTCAGTCGTCGTTGTTGATGGTCAAACTCTCGCCATGATCGAAAATGACCGCCCGGTGTACTCATTGTTCTTTGACCTAGCCGTGCTTGCGGATTCGGTCATTTGTTGCCGTGCCAGTCCCAGTCAGAAAGCAGGTCTTGTCAACATGGTGAGGAAGAAGGTCAAGAAGTCGATCACGCTGGCCATCGGCGACGGCGCAAATGACATTGCCATGATCCAGGAGGCACATGTCGGCATCGGAATTACGGGTAAGGAAGGTCTACAGGCTGCAAGAGTGTCGGATTACTCGATGGCGCAGTTCAGGTTCCTGACCAAGCTGCTGCTCGTCCACGGACGGTGGAACTACATACGGACGTGCAAGTACACCGTCGCAACGTTTTGGAAGGAGTTCCTGTTCTACCTCACGCAGGCTCTGTATCAGCGGTGGGTCGGCTACACGGGTACCAGTCTGTACGAGTCGTGGAGCTTGAGCATGTTCAACACGCTCTTCACCTCCCTCCCGGTCATCATCCTCGGCATCTTCGACAAAGACCTCTCCCCAGCGACGCTCATCGCCGTGCCCGAGCTCTACACCAAGGGGCAGCGCAACGGCGGCTTCAACTTCAAGATCTACCTCGGCTGGATGTTCATGGCGTCGTGCGAGATGGTCATCATCTTCTTCTGCATGCTGGGCCTGTACGCGCAGGCCGTCTTCACCAACGACCAGAGCATCTACGCGCTCGGCACCCTCACCTTCACGTCCGTCGTCATCCTCATCTCGTTCAAGCTCCAGGGGCTGGAGATGCACACCAAGACGGCGACGGCGGCGTTTTCGTTTGTGCTCTCGGTGGGCGGCTGGTTCCTGTGGTGCATCATCCTCGCGTCGTCGTACAAGGACACGGAGACGATTTACTACGTCAAGGAGGGCCTGTGGGATCCCATGCGTTTCGGTCGCAATGCGCTGTGGTGGTTGACGCTGATCATGATCTTGGCGTGCGTCGCTGTCTTTGAGATTGGCGTCAAGACCGCCCGCGCGGCGTTTTGGACGACGGATGTCGATCGTTTTCAGGTTTTTGAGAAAGATCCGGCGATCAAGGCGCGCTTTGAGGACGCGGCGGCGGAGGAGTTGGCGCAGGGATGGGAAAGGTTTGGGAAGGAGGGGGAGGGGGTGCCGGAAAGGAAGGGGAAGAAGAGAGTCTCGTTGTCAGGGAAGAAGAAGGGCAAGAAGTGGGATTGGTTCGGGTTGGTGGAGAGGGATGATAGCGATGAGAGCGATGTGGAAGAGGCGGAGTTGGAGGCGGTACTGGCGGACGATGAGCTGGTGCAGCACGAGAGTCGGATCAGGAAGACGCGGACGGTTGAGGAGGAGCAGATCAGGGAGGGCGAGGTGAGGGATTTGTTGAGAAATCGGCCGGATGAGTTGTTGGACGCGCAGCAGCGGCAAGAAGAGATGTTTGAGCAGGAGATGGCGGATGTGGAACAGGGAAGGAGACAACCGAGGACCAGCTTGGAGATTCACGAGATGCTTGCGAGGGGCTTTGGGGGCGTGAAGAGAAGTGAAACGCTAAAGTAGGTTGTGATTGTATGCCGTTCCGCGTTGGCTTCTCATTTCTTATTCGGCGGTTCGGCGGTAGCGGTGGAGGTGTTCTGCTTGCTTAAGTTTTTGATTTTGGTTTCTTGTTGTGCTATGATACCGAACCTAGCGAGGTTTCTCTCCTTTTCTGATGGAAAATAGGATGATGGGGTGGCGTTTGCTTCCTGGCTTAGCTGGGCGGATGTCTCATTATGTTGAAGCATCGTTGAGGATATGTGAGTAGATAGGCGGATTGCCTGCCCGACTTGGGGATACTGCATCCAGCAGAGGAGAGTGGCTAGAAGACATATTATGGTATTGTGCTCATTGTAGTAGGTGTGATTCGAAAAGAGTATATGTTTGTATTACTTTGACCTATGCGTCGTAACGCACAATATGTGCATCTCTATCCAACTTGTTATGCTTGAATTCGCGACTCTTGTGGATTCATTCAGCTCGGTGTAAGCTTTTCCCAAAATGTCACCTTCCAGTTGTGGCTGTGACGCCCCTACTGCCAAGCGCGAGGCTGTGCCACGCGACTACTTAAAGTGGGCAGGGCTTCGGGGGCCGGAACGAAAGCAAGGACCCAAGCCGAACCTCAGACGCTCGCGCTCAGAAGTTCTTGATCTCACCTCTTCCAGTTTCGCAGGGCTGGCATCCCCACCACAAGGCCGTGCATCCGACTTGGGATGGAGATGAGCACCCGTTGTTCAGCAACACAGGGAAACAGACACCAACACGCCTTCCTGTCCTGACGTGCGATACGCAACGATGGCGATGAGAACCAGAGACCTCAGAGACCAAGATACTACGGACGCTTCGTCACAGTATCTTACGAGGAAGCGGAGGTGCCGCGGACTTGGTGAGTCGAGCCAGGAGTCACGCACCCAGCTTGATGTCCCTCGGCCATCCGATCATACCTTCTCAAGCACATCGAACCTATCACTTTCACCCGAACTTACGGCTGCTCTGAGAGTGACGAACGGATTATGCGGCTACTGCCGCGTTCTGGAGCTAAATGACCGCGAGCGTGGTGGGCGAGCCCCTTCCTCGAGGACATCTGCGAAGAAACTACGTTTCAGACAGTCAACCATCGAGCTAGATTACAGCCGGGTCGATCGGCTTCGCGACATGCCATCACTCAGTGCAACAGAGAAGGCTGGCTGCCAATTCTGTCGGCTGCTGATACGGTCTCTCAGAAGCTACTACGGCCAGATGTGGCATGAGCTGGATGGGAGTGAGACAATCGAGATCAGCCGAATGCGTTATTCCTGGGGCAAGCATCTCCAGAGCCTCAAAGTCAATCTCGTCTACAACCGCGCGGTGGTAAGTCGCAGCGAGGAGTTCGCATTCCCAATTGCAGCCCATCCTGGTGAGTGTCGTCCAGATCTGCGACAAGCTTCAGCATAGCTGATGACCCAGGTGCTTCTACCGAATGGCTGGGCATCACAAGGCGACCAAGATACGAAAGCATCTTGTCAGAAGATGGGACCCAACTGCAACGCGGCGTAGCCGAAATGATTACCGGCTGGATCAGTGGGTGCAAAGACCATTCCGCTCTCATGAAGAATGCAGATACTCTGCCAACGCGGCTTCTCGATGTGCGAAACACGGATGCCCAAGGCGGAATCCGGTTGATTGGCAGTTTCGAGCACACTGAAGTGATGGAGGGGGTGCCATGGAAATATGCAGCCTTGAGCCACTGTTGGGGTGACCCGGCCAGGCCGCCCCTCAAAACTACCAGAGAGAACATCGATGCCATGTCCACATCGATCCCTTTCGAAACGTTGCCGAGGAACTATCAAGACGCAGTTACCGTCTGTCGGAGCCTCGGTATTCCCTTTCTCTGGATAGACTCACTCTGCATCATTCAAGATGACAAGCAAGACTGGGAGCTTGAGTCCCCGCGAATGGCGGAAATCTACGAGCAGGCCTACATCACAATCATTCCAACAGTTGCAAAGTCTTGCCACGAAGGCTTCTTGAGTCGCTCACCACTTGACCCAAGATCTGTCGCTCATATTGCATTTCAGTCCGCGCTGAATCCGCCCATCCAGGGCTCGTACATGATCGAAGATGCCAACTTCACCAAAGATTTACATGTACGACTGCAATTCCTCCGAGATACCAAGGAGACAAGGTGGGGGAGCCGTGGATGGACGTTTACAGAACAGCTATTCGCCACCAGTCGCCTGTACTTTGGAGCCACCGGACTGCACTGGAGCTGCGACGAGAAGTACTGCTCCGAGCTGCACCACGGCGACCAGCAACCCGAGGAGTTTTCGCTGCGAAGTTACATCAATATGACGGCACGTCTGTCCTCCTCACAGCACTGGAAATGGTACCGGCAGATCCTGGAATACTCGTCCCGTTGCCTGACCGTGCCGCACGATCGACTCCCGGCCATATCCGCGTTCGCGAAGAAGATTGCAAGCATGACCGGCGACCGTTACCTAGCCGGCCTGTGGCAATCCGATCTCTCCAACGGACTGCTTTGGCAGAGCCGCGGCGGTAGCGATGAGCAGCAGCAACATCATGTTCGTGCCAATATAATCCTCCCCGACACTCCCGAGTATGTGGCTCCGTCGTGGAGCTGGCTCGCCCAAGCCCGACATGCAGACCTTACGCACGATAATCCTGGGTCGCCAACAATCAACGCACGCCAGTTCATTCGGGTGATGGAGGCAGACACCGCTTGTGATGGCCTCAACCCCTTCGGCAGGATTGTCGACGGTCATTTGACACTCCAGAGCAAAGCGTACATCTGCCTCCGTACCGAAGCTTTGCACCCGTGTCGAGAATTCACATGGAGTGGCTGGGAGATAGTGTCGAACGGCTCTCACGTAGCCGAGTGCAGCTTTGACGGGCAGGCGCTGCTTCCGAAGTACGTCGAGAGTTGTGGTGGCGAGGCATTCCCGGCATACGATCTAAGAGCCCAGCGAGTGCTACTTCTCGCTATCCGAGCAAACACCTGTTTGGGTGAATATTCTTTCATAGCAACCCCGAACGATCACTTGGCAGTTTCGGGGTTGATCCTCATCCCTAGCGGGCGACGAGATGGCGAGTACTGTCGTGCCGGGGTATTCCAGTCACGGGCGGACCGAGGTGGAGGCGTCAAGCTTTTCGAACAGTGCGAGACTTGGACCGTCACAATCATTTAGCAAGCCGCGGGCCCAGAACATGCTCTGCCTCTTCGTGGATACGGGGCGGACGGGGGTGTAAGCAAAGCCCTCGCTCCACCTTTCCGCCTTCGACGCGCCACCAACAAAGTCAAGTCGCACAAATAATCCAGGCCGGCGTCTTTCATCCTGTTTCGTTACCTGACTGCCTCATTAGGTTAAACCAAATGCGGCTGACCGGCCCGGCTCGCAATCGAGCCCGAGGCTGACACAGGTGACCAAATCCATCTCGCCATACCGGATCGATCGCAACGGACGGAGCAATCAGAAGACGCAGAAGCAGACTTGATGGAGCATGAATCATCAATTGGCTCTAATGCCTGTAGTCATTATTCGTTGATATAAATATCATGCACGGCCTACGACAAGCATTCGCAGATCTGCACTCCTTCTACATAACGACCAAGCATAATGCCACCACTGCCAGTCATCCTACCACTACTAGCAGCTACAATCCCATGCATTCTTGCAGTCTCTGTATCGACAACCTCGTCTCCCTCTGCAGCCTTTCCCTGTATCTCTACCGGCGCGGACGAGACGGCTATCAATGAGCGCTTCTCCAGCAATGGGGCGGGCCATATAGTGCAGCTATGCCAGGGAGCTGTCGTTACGGTGACAGACACCGTCAAACTAACTGCCAATGACCAAGAGCTATCGACCGAGGGATACCCAACAGGGGGTGGCAGAGCGACGATTAAGCTGGCAGCAGGCGCGAGCGCCAATACCACGGTATTCGCAAAATTTTTGGATGGAATCAAGCTGCGAAATATCATTGTGGATGGGAATAGAGCGGAGACGGGGTACACGGGTGAGTTCTTCTTTCTCAGTCCTTTTGTATCTTACTGCACTTGATTCTTACGTCATGACCAGGCGGCGATGCGAACATTGACATTGGTGGTCATTCGAATGGTCAGGTTGTAGACCACGTCGCGTCTAGAAACCCCAGGGGTTGGAGCTGCCTGGCTGTCGGATTCGGTGGACAGAGCAGCACCGACACCGATCCGCCTTGCCTCAATGCCACACTAACAAACAATGACATCGGCCCTTGCGGTATCGAAGGGACCGAGTATGCGGATGGTAATCCACACCACATTGAAGGATATACAACGCAATACTAACCTACCCTCTAGGCATCTCCTTCCAGTGCACCGACTCCACCATCTCCGACAATTCCGTAAGTGGCCAGCTCTCCTCCAAACCCATCTGTACAATGTCTGATCCAAACTCGCGCAGATCACGGGTAGCACCGACGGCGGCATCGTCATCTTCGGGGCACCAGGTACCAAAGTCTTGCGCAACACCATCACGTCGTCGGCCACCGAACGGGGCTTCGGGGCCATCAACCTGGTCGACCAAGCCCTCTACGGCGGAAGCTACGCCAACGTCGAAGTCCGCGACAACACCATCACGGGCGACAAGCTCTTCAACGTCGGCATCAGCATCGGGGCGCACGTCTGGTCCTTCGGGGCAACGGCCGGCTTCGAGAACTCAGGGCCGGTGACGGTAACGGGGAACGCCTTCGCCGGCAACATCCCCTTCGCCATCGCCATCAACGGGTGGAAGGACGGACTGACGGTAAGCTCTGCCTCTGCCACCCCCTCGCCTTTCTTTTCCCGTCGTATACCAACACTCATCCCCCCTTTTCTTCACATAGGTCACAAACAACTCCGTCTCCGCCCTCTCCTCCCCCTCGTCCTCCTTCGCCAGCGCGACGTCCTGCTCCCCCACCATCCAAAACGCCTTCGCCGCCAACCAAAGACTCGTCTACTACGCCCCCGGCCTGTCCGCCCCCTACGCCCTCCAACCCGACTTCGCGCCCACCACCGCCAACGCCACAAACTTCCTCTGCACGAGCCCCGGCACCACCGCCCCTCCCCCGTCCACAACGACCTTCGCACCCAACGCCCTCGCCGTCCACCCTCCGGCCACGCTCGCGACGCTGGTGTCGAGCACCGGGCGCGGCGTCGTGACGCAGTACCAAGGCGACAACAACTTGGTCGTGTACGACACGACGAGCAGCGGCGACGGCAGCTGGACGCCGCTGTGGGCGTCGGGGGTGGGCACCGTCGCGGACGGAACGTGCGGGGAGGAAGGGGAGTGGTGCAGTTTGAACTTTCAGGGCGATGGGAACTTGGTGGATTACGTGAATGGGAGCGCGGTGTGGAATACGCGGACGGGTTCGGAGGATGCGGGGGACGTGAGGTTTGTGCTTAGTGCGGAGGGGGCGCCGTGGGTCAGTGTGGTGGCGGGAGGTGGGGAGGGAGAGGTGTTGTGGGAGGGGGGCGAGGGGGTGTTTGAGGGATGATGGGGTCCTCGCGCTGGATGTCGACAACTATTGGTGTCTTGGTCACGGATAGCAACAAATCATTTACCTATCTCTCCTTGAATGATGAGAGTAAAGTGAATATAAAGCGAGCAAGCGGGTGTCGGGCCGAAGGGTCTAACCGAAGCGGGCAGGTCTGGGACCGCCACTCTGCTCCACATTGATGAAGCTATACGCCACGATGGAGCCGAAACACGACGGATCCGTTGTCGTGGTGGAACGGTTGATGGTGTTGCAATGAATGCCGCAGCGCTGTTGCCTAGCCAGCAAGCCGCTCCATTCCGCCCCGCCGCGCCGCCGCGGCTCCCGTGGCTGGGCTGGTCCGCTGACCATCAATGACAGCACGCGCCTTCCCCCCCACACAGACGCCGTCATCCAAGCTCTCCAACAAGCTGCCCGCTTACATCTTTCGCAACATCGCCCGCCAACCATGAGAGCGCCCTCCCTGCAGAGCCGAAGCGGCTCATCGATGCCCGCTGCTGCAGAGCCGCTCATGCAGGTAGCAGCAGATCCCGCCGCAGCCCCACCCGGTGCAGATCATCAGCGCCGCGTCCAACCACTCTACGCCGACGCCTCCTCTCAAACATCAACAGCAGCAAGCGACATCCCGCTACTACCTCCGCCGCCGCCTTACACCCCCGCGCCCCCTCAGGGCAGATGCGTCGTGCTCCCCGCCCGCGAGGCGCGCTGGCGCACCAACAAGGGCAGATCAGTCGACGGCACCGGCGCCCCGCTCTCCACGCTCGCCGCGACGGTCCTTGTGAGCGAGGGTCAGCTCGAGGGCGGTGACGTACAGCTGTAAGCAATGCCTCTTCCCCCCCCCCCCCCATCGTCCTCCAGCTTCCTAGCTGCACACGTACGTCGGTCGGTCCTCAAACCACATGTCGCCCACATACAGCATCCATCCCGCCTCTAATTCCTCCCTCCTCTCCCCAACCGACCCTCTCTCCTCCATCGCCCTCAGCACCTACGCCACCATCCACGAAATCGTCAGCGGCGCTGCCCAGGGCCCCCGCGAAGCCTTCCGCCAGGTCCGCATGGCCCGCGACGACGCCGCCGCCCGCGACGGAGGGGCTTACGACTTCCGCTCGCTGCTGTCGTCGGCCGTTTACGACGACGACTTGTTGGATTTGGATCAGCACGGGTCGGACCGGTTTGGCGATTACAACCCTACGGCGCCGCCGAGCGTTGCGTCGACGGCGGCGTCTGTGTCGACGGTGGAGGAGGATGGGGAAGAGGGGAGGAAGAGGGGCGTGTGCTTCACGCCGTCGGGCACGGGGACGGTGGTGAGCGGGACGGTGAATGGGGGAGGGGGCTCGGGCTCGGGGGATACGTCGACGACGGTGGGGATGGGGGGGAGGAGGGGGAGGGGAGAGGGAGAGGGAAGGGATGAGGGCAGTCCGTATGCGGCGGTGGCGGCGAGCACGGGCTTGGGCGTGGCGCGCATCGTGGGCGCCGGCTTGAAGGCGCCGGGCGTGTATACGAGCGGGTTGGCGAGGGGGTTCAACAACGTGCCGAGGCTGTATGGGGACGAGACGGTGAGGGAGGAAGAGAGGATCGATGGGGTGGCGTCGGGGTTGGTCGCGGCGGGGAAGGTTGGTCTTGTCCTTGTTCTTGTTCTTGTTTTTGGGTTTGATTTGGTGCATCTGTCTGGGAATGTTTGTTTGCTGACGTCGTGGGAGTCGATAGGGCCTTGGGTATGGCTTGTTCGACGGCATCACGGGGCTCTTCGTGCAGCCGGTCAAAGGTGCGCAGAAGGAGGGGCCGGTGGGTTTCTTGAAGGGATTCGGGAAAGGGCTGGGTGGCATTGTTTGCAAGCCGGCTGCTGGCAAGTTCTTTTTCTTTCCTTCGAGCTTGTCGGACTGCTGACTGATTTTTTTTGTGCGTCAATCAGGAGCTCTTGGAGTACCGGGATACGCGTTCACGGGTATACAAAAGTCGATCGAGAAAGAACTGTCGCGGAAGGCAAGCCCGGAAGAGTGTTTGGCGGCTGCCGAGGTCCTGCAGGGCGAGGACGAGATGCAGCGCTTGAGTGATAAGGAGCGGATGGAGATTGTGACTGCGTGGCTTGCAAGGTGACTGAAAGGGTAAAGGAAAGCCATAAGGCTTGACTGTGTACCAACTAATTTTAAGAGACGACATAGTTTTAACATGCAGACTGCTCAAGTCGATCGTGGTTCGGCTTTCCTTGATGGGGGGCTGGCTGTTCGGGTCCAGAAACACATGTAGAAAGCCCCATGGGTCCAATCATCCCTGTCTCATCGTACATTTGCCCTCTTAATAGTCCTTGTCGTACAAGCAGACTCAGCAAACATGGCATAATGTGCCAACAAACACTCCTTTCTAGGGATAATGATACTGGTCTCACAACGGGACGGCAAATGAATCCAGCATATCTACATCGGGGTCATAGAGGTGCTGAATCATATCTACGTGAGTAGTAGAATCCTATGTCTCGAGGTGTTTATACTGTCTCAAAGCTGAGTAAGAAGACGCAACCATTCGCCTGGAGCTATAACTCAGATTCATATTTCCGTGTCTTTTGTTCCCTACCTATGTCCACATCACCCCTCAGCCTCGCGTTGTCCTCGACACCATAACCGTTGCCCCATTTATTAAATAATAGATAGCTCCATTCCTTTTGCAGACGAAACAATCGACGGCCGTCGCATTCCGGATTTTATACGTAACGGAATATTAGCTTTTCTCTTCCCACCTATATTAAGTTATACCTCCCACACCCTTGATTATTCAAAGTGAAATATTCCTTCAAACCCCCCCTCGCTAGATCTTAACCCATCCCACACACCCTATCCATGCACTCATGCTGCAAAACCACCCCCAACTCAATCGCCACCGCCCTCACAAACTCGCCTTCCCCTGCGGTTCAAACGGCAGAACCAGCACCATAAGCCCCGCCGCAATGAATAATGCACCACTCGTATACACGGGCACTGCCGTCTGCAAATCCGCAAACATGGCGATTATCGGCTACGACAAGCACACGTCAGCCAACCGTTCCCTTTTTCTTTGTTATCGCTTCCTTTCCCATGATCTTCCCTTTCCCCACAACAACACCGAGAACCTCAACCAACAACAAGCAAAGAAAAAAGAAAAAAGAAGGGGGGGAAACATCCCAAAGCCACTCACCGCCATGATGCCAAACACGCGATTCCCCGTCGCCGTCAGCGCGTTCCCGGTGCCGCGGTCCCTGGTGACGAAGACCTCGGGCGTGTAGGCGTACAGCACGGCGTACATGACGTTGGAGCAGAAGTTGTAGGCGCAGTTCCAGCCGAGCAGCGCGGTGCTGTCGAGGGCGGTGGTGCTGGCGTAGAGGAAGGCGCCCGTGGCGGCGGTGCTGAGCGCGAGCGTGCCGCGCCGGCCCAGCCGCGGCACCTCGACCAGCAGCCCGCCGATGAGCGCGCCCGGCACGCCCAGCACCGCGATGATGAGCGAGTTGCGGTACGTGAGGTACGTGCTGCTGTCGCCGAAGGCGGCGCCGCGCGTGGCTTGGATGTAGGGGAGGAAGGCCTGTTTGGGGGGAGGGGTGTTTGTTAGAGGTTGGGTTGGGTCGTCTGGGGTGCGTGCTTGCGAGCGTACTTGAGCGTGTGGGGAGGGGGGGGGCTGGAAGCGACGGGGTTGTTGCGCGGTGAATGGATGGGATTGGGGGGGAGGGGTGTGTGTGTATTGGAGAGCCGGATTGGGTGGGATCACGAACGTTGTACAGAGGGTAGCCGAGCCCGATGAAGGCCCATACGAGGATGATGATGGAGGTGGAGAAGGCGAGCTTCCTGGTGGCGAAGAGGGCGCGCACGTGCGTGAGGTTGACTTTCTCGAGGCGGCGGCGCAGGGCGGCGGCTGCGGTGGTGGATGACTGGGATGTGCCGGTGGGGTCGTCGCAGGCGCGGAGGTCTTCGATGGTTACTGGAGGGCTTGGTCAGTGATGAGGGGGTAACTGAGTAGCTGGAAGTGTTGTTGCTGACGGGTCGAGATCTTGCCGTTACGGCGGGCGACTTCGTGGACTATGCGGACTGCGTCTTCGTCTTTGCCCTTGCCCATCAGGTATTTGGGGGACTCGTATATGGTGAAGCAGAAGAAGCGGATGAAGAACATGATCATGGCAAGGCCGCCCATGCAGATGATGAAATAGCGCCATCCCATGTTCTTGCTCTTGCTGCATGCTTCGCCTTCCTGGCACGTCATGTTTCCGAGCAGGGGCCAGGCCACCAGGTTAGCGATGACTTGGGCAATGGCCCAGTCGATGGACAGGATTGTCAGGAGATACTGATGGGATCCGGGCAGGAACTCAAGAAAGATTGCCGAATCGACGGGCAGGTTGCCGCCAACGCCAAAACTCCAGAGCGCGGCGAAACAGCCGATGGCGGCGAAGTTGGGAGAGCCAGCGGCTATGAGACCGAAGACGCTGGTGATGCCCAGGGTGAGGTTGAAGGCCCAGCGGCGGCCGAAGACGTCGCAGCCGAAGCCCCAGAACATGGCTCCGGCCAGGAGGCCGATGTTCTGTGCCAGAGAAAGAAGAGGCGGCCGGGCGGGGTTGAACTCATTGGTTATGGGCGTCACTGGAACGGGTGTCAGTAAGCAGCCAGCGGCGCGGGTAGGAGAGGGACTTGCAGATGAGCGATGTCACGATGGGCCAGAGGTTGTCACTGGCCCATCCAAAGCCAACGACGATGAAGAGCTGCCACTGATACCATCCCATGCCAATCTCTTGAATCTATCGGCGCGTCAGCTACAATCACCATCGAGCGCCTGCATGGTTTACTGCAGCGTTCAACACCCGGGCTTTGGCCTCGTAGACCGAGTCGACCTCGCCTTTCGGGATGGGCGCATCAATCCCAATCTCGTCCGACTGTGTGTCGGTTGCCGCCGGACCTTTTGACGTAGTGGGATCGGCCATGTCTGTTTGTCTCCAGGTTCGCCTGTGCCGTGATGCAGGGAGCTGAGCACGTAGATCCCCCGCAACGTGAGGTTGAGCTTAGAAGCGCGCCGGGGCCAGCTCGCTGATATTCGCATCATTAGCGATGGCGCAATGGAACCTAATGTGATAAGACATCCCCTGGACGTGATGACTGGTCCGACGTGTTCCGGTGTAAGACAAGCGCCATGGGGCTAAACCTGAATCTGCAGGAAGAAAACTGCCCCGCATATGCGTGCGGCCATGACGTGTGTTGCCGCTGTCTGCTTACCCAGCACCCCGTCACAGCACAGCCGCCATTCCTGAAGGGGAGGAAGAGCCTCAAACCATGTTACATGGGTAGTAATAGCTAGCATGGCACCGACTAGAGAGGCTCGCTTGTTGACTCGGCCGGCACCGTCCCATAATGGTAGGACACATGCTCAGTGAGAAATAGTGGGAGCGTTCGATGCGCAGGGATGTCCAAAGTTCGACTTGTTTCAGTAGCTGGTTTTGTTGTCCCAAACCCATCAAAGGGGGCTAGGTCGAGAAGGTTACGCCGAAAGTCGACATCTGAGGACAGAGCGTACCTTGCCCCCTCCGTCAGCTGACTTCCTTTTTTCTACTCACCCTTGATCAACTAGCAGTCCATCGGGTTGATACAGTCGCTGTCTTGCGTGAGCTGGCCGAAAAGATCCTGGTCGAACAAGGAGTTGCTCATGGTGACAGGCTGACGTCTGTTGCATTGTGATTGTAGCAGTGAGCGAAAGCAAGCTTTCGAAAGACGAGACTGGAAGGCGAAGAGTTGTAATTGGCCAATGATCGAATGATAAGGCGCTGGATCGCGGAAAACGCGAGGGAGGAGAAGCCTGGCTGAAGTATTCGAAGTGTGGCACTCAGCCTACTGTCAGCAGCCCGCGGAAGGGCACCGGTTCTAATGAGGGTCAATGCAGCTATTTGACACAATTGTCTCAGTGGTCAGCGCCAGCGATTCACTTTCCCACGTTCAAAGTTCGAGCTCCAAGTGTGCAAACGTAGAGTCGGTCTAGGCTTACTCGTCTTTGCAAGATAGCCAGTACTGAAACGGGAGACCAAACTTTACAGCATCTTTAATCTAACTAAGGTGCTTCTCAGTTCTAGTAGCCCGGCTTTTGGAGCTCGCTACTCACTAGGGAGGAAAATAATCCAGTCGGTTCGGTATAGTGCTCGGCATAGCTATCATTAGCCAACCGTTCCGTGGAGCTTGTTTGTACTCCATAATCGCAGGCAACAGGTCTCCTCCGCCCCGGTCACGCTGAGACTTCAGGCAAGTGCAAGACTCCGGCCAGCAATAGGCCCACCCCCATCATACTCATTCCCTGTCTCTGTTCCGAACGCCAAGCCATACAAACACGTCCTCACTACGTCTCTACTCATTTCTTGCCCTTCTTCTTCTTCTTTCCTCCGCCCTGTGCGGGCTTCGAGTCCGTCTTTGCCGGCTCCGGGTTGGGCGTGTTCGTTCCAGTGCCCTGTTCGGCGGCGGGCGCATCCGGCATTGCAGCATCTACACAACCACCGCGTCAGCACCTTATCCATTCACCAAAACTCCACCGCCCACACGCAACCCCGCTGTAAAGCGCAATCCCCAAACGACACCACAGCTCAATTTCCCCCACACGGCCCCCACCTCCGCCAAAAAAGAACGCCCCCACAGGACACACACATACCCTCTTGCACACTCGGCAACGCCGCCATCCTCCTCGCCAACCGCTCCAAGCTCGAGATCAGGCGGCCCACCTCGGCGGCCTTGGTGGTCTGGTACTTCAAGCACACGCCCGAGGCCGGGTCGTACGTCTTGAGGGTGAGGGCGGCCTGGGTCGCCTGGGCGGGCGCGCCCGCGGTCGGCTTCTGCGTCGCGTCGGCGTGCGCCGAGTCGCTGGTGGCGACCTGCCGCTTGCCGTCTTTGCTGGTCTTGCGCTTGATGATCGAGTACTTTGTCACGACACGGGCCTGGAAAGAAAAAAAAAATTGGAAACGTCAATTGCGGCTCTCGGGAAGGTTGTGGGTGTGTCAGGACACAATTGGATGGGGGGGAGGGAGGGAAGCGCACGGTGGTGGGACGGGCTTCGAGCAGCAGCCGGGACTGCTCGAACCACTCGGCGCTCGTGGTGAAGTAGGGCATGGCGCGGGGGTGACGGACGGAGGGGTTGGCGGTCGAGGTCGCGCGGTGGTGATGTAGCTTGGGCGAGCAGCGGCGTCGAGGGTCCGCAATCGTTATCTTGTCGCGGGGAAGCGCGGTGTTTCTTCGGAGATGGGCCGTTGCTGCCTTGGTGCACCGCCCGCCGTTGAGGCTGTGAGGCCTGACCATTCGCTCCGACTTCTCGTCTTCCATTCTTTCGGTTGCCTGTTGAGTCACCGCCCGGGAAACTGTACGATCCTTCTTCTCTGTTATATAAGGCCAGTGCCTCCGCAAATCTGCGTGCTGCGGCCTACTTCTGCCAGACTGGCGATCCAGGAAATTTCCTACACCACTTACACTTTTCCTGTCCTTCTACGTATACAGTGCCACATAAACCCACAGAGACGCATGAAACATAGCCTCTGGGCCTATTAGAAAAAGAGCATGGACAAGGAAGACGCGGAGAATGGCTCGCAAGCCACCACCAGACCAGCCGACGACCTCCCCGCCGTAGCGGTAGCTACCGAGCTCCTCAACCGGACCAACACCCTCCTCTCCGAGCTGGAGTCCTTCGACAAGCTGCTGGAGAAGCATCGACGCCCTCAAGTTCTTGGCCACCGCGCCTTCATCCAAGATATCAACGCCGAGAAACGCTTCATCGAGCGGCTCCTTAACAAGGCCATAACCGAAACCACCAACCCGGAAGCGGACGTCACAGATGAGACCGAAGAGAAAGACCCCCTCGACGCCCTTGAAGCGGATCACAAAATAAAGCACCAGCTCAGCTCAACCAACATCACCTCCTACGAGGCCCAGTGGACTGCCATCAAGACGTGCCGCGGCGTCGTCGCCCTGCGCCAGACCTTCTCGCGCCAACCCCCCTCGCGACGACCGCGGAAAGGCGGCACCCGCGCGCTGTCCCCCTCATCCAAGATCAAAGCCCACGTCAAGAAGACGCAGGACGGCGTGCTTGTGGATGCTGTCGTCGACGAGGGGCGCGAGTGGCTGAAAGTGTCGGCCATCAGCGAGCGCCAGCTGCTATTCCAGATGGCGCGACAGGGGTGGCGGAACGACTCCGACAGCGAAGAAGACGACGAAGAGGAACTAGGCAAGCCTGTTGGCAGCGCGGCACGCATGGACGGCGCTGCTGGAGAAGGCGACTCCGACAGCGACGACGAGGACGAAGTCGTCCTCGTCCGCCTGGCCAAACACCTCACGCAAGCAGCGCGCTCCAACCGCCACAACTACCGCCACCCGCGCATCCGCCTCGTACTGCCCAAACTCGAAGCCGGCCGCGTCAAACAAATCGACGCCCTCCTCGCCCGCATCCGCGCCTTCTCCACCCCATCCGTGCCGCTCACCCTTGAAATCGGGCCTCATGCGGCGTCCCCCCTCCTCCAGCAAGACCACCTACCCGCCCCCAGCACCGACGCCACCGAAAACGTTCCATCATCGCCAGGCCCCGACCTGACGCCCCTCCTCACGCACCCCTTCTCCACCTTCACCCCCACCCTCAACATCGACTGCACCCTCCTCGTCGCCCTCGCGTCCGACATCTCGCACTCGCACTGCACCGTCCAGCCGTGGTATCCAGGCGCCGTGCAAGGCCAGATCCGCGACGAAGCACGCGAGGCGCTGCTCCCGACGACGCTGTACCCGGCACTGTTAGCAAGCGGCGGCAATGGCGGCAATGGCGGCAACGGGGGTCCCGCGCCTGCCCCTGCGCTCGTCTGTACGCGTGAGGCAGCGAAGCGGATGCAAGAGATCGTGGCGACGATCGGGACGGAGAGCGAGGTGGCGAGGGCGAAGCTGCTCCTTTCGGATGCGGAGGGTGATGATGAGGCCGAGCTCGAGGAAGAAGGGGTTATTACGGATGGTGCCGGTGCTGGCGGTGCGTCAGTGCAAAAACGACAGTCGTCGCAGACGCCGTCGTCGAGGGAAGACGTGCTCGACGCCTTCCAGGCCCTCTCCATCTACCCCGTCCCGCGCGACCTGCAGCTCCCCATCACCGTTGTCCCCTCCTCGGCACCACCGCCACCACCACCAGCATCAACATCCGACAATCATACCAGCCCCGGCCCCACCAACAACCCAAGCCAAAGCCAAAGCCAAAGCCCAAGCCAAAGCCAAAGCCAACGCCGACCGCTCCCCGCCGTCGCCGCCGCCGTCTCCGCCCACCTCACCGACATCAACCGCTCCATCTTCCTGCACGGCTGGGCCGAGGGCGTCACGACGCTGTCGTCCAACGGGACCGTGGCCAAGCAGATCGAGACGCTCGTCGAGCAGCACCGCACGCGCGACGACGAGGCGGGGCCCGACGTGTGGGTGTGCCCCGTGGCGCGGAGTCTGGTGGCGAAGAAGGGGCGGAGGCAGGCGTGAGGTGCATTCCTTGTTCTAGCGTTTTTTTTTCTTCTTCTTTCCCCTTTCGAGTGTGCTTGGTGGGAGAGAGGGGAGGGGGAATGGAAGTAAAAGGCATGGAGAAGGGCGATCGGGAGTGTTTTTGATGTGTTGTGCGCTTTGGAGCAGACAAAGTATGTGAAAATATGTATATTCCGTCTCGAAGCACATACATCAGGAAGAAGAAACATTACGCAATGTTGGGTTTTATTTTCAAGCCCAACAGCGAGCCTGTAATCATGTCTAGTAGTCATCCAGTCATCCAGTCATCCAGTCCTCCGGGAGAGGTGATTACCCTTCGACCACAATGAACCGACAACACCGCCCTTGTCCCCCTCTTCCCTCTTCTCTGATAGTGTCTAGGACATCTAATGGTCTCTTTGGAAAAAAAAAATAACAAAAAGCAGCCCGCAAACCAGAAAACACCAAACCCATCATGCAGTGTCGTAATAATGCTCGTCAAACAACGCTTTCACCCTCCTCCACCTCCCCAAGCCCCCAATCGCACCACGTCTTCCCCAGCCGCCAAACGACATCGAACACCAACGCCGGCCCCACCACGCTCGCACACAGCACCACACCCAGCGCCACCGTCGCATACGCCCACGGAGTCCAAACTTTCTTCTTACTCCCAGTCGACGCGACCTTCTCCCTCGCAGGGCCGAGAGCGACGGCAGTGACGGAGCGATCACCACCTCGAATCGAATCCTACACGCTCACCGTCCCATTCCCCACCAACACCTGGGCGGCCCACATCTCCCTCGCCAGCGGCGACGCGGTCTCGGTCTCGTGGAAGACCATGTGGTTGGCGTCCCAATGCAGGTCCATGCCGCCGGGGCTCACCAGCGCGCCGTTGTCGTCGCCCGTCTGCAGCAGGGGCGCGGCGGCGCGGTCGTAAGGGCCGGTGACGCCGCCGGACGAGGTGGCGAAGGAGACGGTGTAGTTCTCGGTGCTGTAGCAGCCGCTGCTGAAGAAGAGGACGTACTCGCCGTCCCACGTCTTGACGAGCGACGGCGCCTCGACGATGCCGTCGTCCGAGACGCCGGCGTTGTCGAGGAGCTGGATCGGCGAGCCTTGCGGCGTGACGCCGTCGGCGGCGACTGCGAGGAGCATGATGGGTGTGGCGGCGATCGGTTCGACCTTTTGGTGCGGAAAGAAACGGAGTTAATAGATGGTGATTTATTGATTTCTTTCGGTAGGAAGGTAGCAGGAGAAGACGGGCGAGAGGGAAGAATGACGGGGCCTGCTTACGGTATTGCCGCAAACGCCGCCGTTGCCCATGGTGTTGCCTGAAGGAGAGGTTGTCAGTGATTTGATTTTCGAGGATCTGCTATCGTGCAAAACTCACCGTCCACTTTATAAACTATGTATCGCTGACCCCTGCAGAACATCATTAATGCGAGAGCTCAAATGAGTAAAGGCGCACCTACCCGTAACCACCATTCGACCATTCCGGATTCAAGTAGCTGTTGTCGTCGCCCGTAGCATTCGAGAGCTGGCCGTTAGGTCCCCATCCGGTACCTCTCGTCTCCCAGTCCTTGAAGCCGGCGGCATCGATGGCGCCGCCTTGGTCTAGCGGGCATGCCAGGGTGCTGTTTATCGGCGTGTACGGTCCCTCGACCGTGTCGGAAAGCGCGGCGCCGACGCAGTGTTTGGTCGTATCATTCATGGTGGTCGCGCTAAAGTACATGACAAAGGTGCCGTCGTCCTGAGTCAGGGCGCAGTGCGAAATCAGTCACTTGCCTCTCTCGGACTCGCGCGATAGGAAGGATTTCCTGAACGGGTAACCGTCGATCAAAGGGAACAACGTCAAGCCACCTCAACAACACCGCAACTGAGACAACGGAAATTACGGAAAACACCTTGGCAGGACCAAGAAAAAAAAAACCAGGGAAGAAAACAGGGCCACGAAGGGAAGAACTTACGAGCTCGACGACGTCCGGTGCCCACGTGTTCACCGTCGCCATGTCGACCCAGCTCGGTGGGTCGGGCAACGCGTCCACGCCGTCAAGGTACGTCCAATTCTCAAAGTCGGACGACTGTGCGACCTGAATGTTGATGCTGCCGTCCATGGTCGCAAATGCCCACCACTGGTTGTCTGCGTAGATAATGGAGGGATCCGGAAAGTTCTGCTGCATCACCGGCCCAGTGACATAGGTGCCATTGCTCTCGGATTGCCGGGGGACGAAGGAAAGAGGCTTGGCGGAGACATGCTGCCGGCCGAGGAGTATCAGTACGGACAAGGATAGAAATGATGTTGTGGTATTGGCACGCATTGTTGGCGGCGGGCGGAGGGAAGAATGCTCGGATGGCTGGCGGCGGAGAGAAAAATGTAGTTGTAGAGCAGGGGAAGTAAGCTGAAGTAAGAGGAGATGACGGCCAACAATTGCTGCAGAGTCGATGGCGCCTGCCGGATCTTATAGCGCCATGTTGGCATATGTAGCAAGTCCTTGATTTGCAGGGACATGATTTCACTTCTCACACGGGCCGTAGGAGCCTGGCTGACAATCGAGAGCTACCAGGCGGTCCCTCGAAATATTGGTCTTAGGTGGTGTAATGCGGCGGTGGAGTATGCAGGACCGTATTTGCCCATGTCGGGCGTGTCTTTTGTCTTCAAGCCAAGGCATCCTGCAGGTGTTCTGGGAAGGCGCTGGGAAGGCGCAGCTTGGCAGGCGGTGCCGAGCGCCAGCGAGCAAATGACGACGACATGTGCGTGCAGTGTCGCGGCCTACAGCTGTCATCATATAGTATTGGCGGGCCTGCGCGGCGTGCGGGCAGCCGCTGCCAAGCGGGGTCCCAAAGGAGCTGAGGATGCCGTTTGCGGAAGTGCGCGAAGTTGGAGTGACGCGTATTGGTGGCAAATAGGCGCGAGCCCGGTTTCTGGCGTTTCAGCGTCTGTCTCTGGCTGTCTCTGGCTGTCTCTGGTTGTCTCTGGCAGTCTTGGTGCGCCACACCCCGACCCTCCCGCCACAGGCCCGGCCGCCAGGGGAGATGTGCGACGGGCTCACCGCTCAGCCATTGGCCGGGCCGGCGACCATCGCATAACGGCCATGCAGCTTGCTACAGATGTGCAGTTGCGCGGCTCGGACGCCGAGTTGTGCTCGTGGCCCTGGACGTCGTATCGTCTGCACGCCCCGGCGCGGCGATGCAACCTGGATGTGCAGCAGCTGTGGGACGATAATAGGCAGGCTGGCTGGTCAGGTGTCGGCGGGTGGAGCGCCCGCTGGGCTGGCCCGGCTGCTCTCCACCCGTCGCCGACGAAAAGAGGGGCCCGCGGGCCTGCGAGCTGAAAAACAAAATCCGCTCCGCACGTCACGGGCAAGACACAGGCGGTCAACGCCTTCGTCCTGGGCATGCGTCTTCTCGACCTTGCCGTCGTCGTTCGCTACCCCGCTGGCGTGCCCGTCACTCCACGCAACCCCCCTAATCGAGCACTAAAACTGGGCCCCTGCTGCCGAAGAGGGAAGCTGGCAGCCTGAGGATTGCGAATGCTCGCCCCGCTTTACTGCGTCCGGCCGACGCCAGGCCCGCCGTCAGCTGCGCACAACAACGGGGCCGACTTGACTATTTTTCTGGCCTGTTTCCTCCTGTCCGGCGGAGCGGATAGCGTCGGCCGCCGTCCGACGCCCTGCTCGCGAGCAAGAACCTTCTGGCGTGTGGCCTCTGCTGATCCCGACGAAGAGGGAAAGCATGGTAGGCGCGAAGCCCGCTTGGAGGAAGCGGCGCCGGCGCGCGGTCGGCGGAGCGACGGCGGTGCACAGGAGAAAAAAAAAAGTGTCCTACCACCTACGTAGTACGTATGTGCTTCGGCGCTGAGGGGATGATCTCTTGCTGCGTCCGCAGAGGCCCGGGCGAGGCGAAGGAATGGGCGGGCTGGCGGGCTGGCGGGCTGGCGGGCTGGCGGGCTCCACCTGAACCGCAGTGGAAGCATGCGCGCGCGCGCCGCGTTCCCCTCGCGTGTGCACGAGTGAGCAACACCGGTAGCGAGCGAGCGAGCCACAGCCGGCGCACCTCACCACGCCTCGTTGCGAGCCGCTTCTCGTCTAAATGATCGTAGCGCGTCTCCTCCCTTCCATTGCTTCCCCCCCCTTGTGCCTGATCGACTCCGCCCGCGCGTCCGTCACATCCCGAAGTCCCGATGTCAACACCAACAACCCCCTGTGATCCACACCCTTCCTCGTGACTAGCCGTTCCCGATGCAGCCTCACCGTCCCATCCGTCAGCCACGCGTCGCATGTTCAAAGCAGAGTTGGCGGGCCATCTATTGCTCTGTTGCTATATTTGGTTGTTCCTGCCCCCAACCTGCAGGTTGAGGGCAGAGAGCCTGTCCCAAGGCGCCGGCCCTTCATATATTGGAAAAGAAGCTTAACACCACGCAGCCAACCCAAACCCCCCCGCTAGTGAGCAGTGAGAGGAGTAGCGGCCTGGCTCTCCGCTTTTAGCGGCCGATCCACCACCACACAGCCCCCTCAAACCGAACGCCCCGCGGCACTTTGAGGCTGGCGCCACGGCTTTCTTTGGCTCCACCACATGCAAAAAGGTTCCAAGAATGTCGAACGAGAGGCGTTTTCACCCCCTTTCGCCCTGCATGGTCTAGAAGACGCCGGGAAGCTTGATGCGACTTGTGCGTCTCACCATTTGAGGACCACGTGTGCAGAACATCTGTTCTCGCAAAGCAGACTACATTCATTGGACTAATGTTTAGCTGTACACGCACAGCGTGCGGAGACTGAAGCCACCCAAACCCACAAAACACCAAAAGGAATATAAGTGTGATGTGTACCATTTCAAAGCCACAATGTGAATCCCGTATGTCGCGATTGCAAAATAAACTGAAGGGGGAACATTCTCTGTTTACTTATTTCGATTCCGAGAGCGACAAGGACACTCGCTGAACGACCAGAACGACCAAAACAGGCAGGCCAAAGCCCTGATCAACCGTAAAGAAATCTCTTCCGCGCAGCGGCGAGAAGCGCGCCTCAGACCCCTTTCTTGGCTTTCCGTGCCCAACATATCATGTGTAATTCCCTTGCTTGTTACAGCATCTCCCTTTCCATCTGGTATTTGGACGTGAAAAAATGAAGCAAAAAATTGCGCACAAACACCTCAAACAAATGAAACAAATCCAACGGCGAAGAATGGGGGGCGTGAAAAAGAAAAGAAAAAGGGAAGAAATCGGGGCGATTACGAGCTCGCAGAGAAGTGGTAAACAAATTGTGCCATGTAGAATGTAAGAAGAAAGAAGACCAGCAAGAATGATAAAACGCAGTGCTTGAGAAGCAAAAGAAGCGAAGTTTCCAAGAAGAAAGAAGAAGCAAAAAAAAAAAAAACACCTGTGTGCCTCCCTTAGCAGCGCAGCAGCAAAAGAAAGGTCGGATGGCGCAGGTTCTACCAGTCCGCCTTTTGGGTCTTTCGTATCTGTACCGGCCGTGTCCCACGACTGTCAACCGAACAAAACGCCTTTCAGCCTCCGGGATGTTTGATGTGTCGTTCAAAATTGCATCAGTTGGTGGTTCACATATTAATTATGGTATTAATGGTGGCAATATTCGCGAGAAACACGCTGGAAGAACCGTTTGGAGAGGGGTATATCAACGATCGGCGGCGAATGTGTGCGTGATATGTACGAACGCACACCGTCCGCAGGCGTCCGGTGTGCCTGTTTCAAGACAACCAGATCTCCTGCATCCAGCTGTGCGCTCGGCGAGCATCGCCGGGAACCAGAGCGAACGCTACGAAAAATTACATCGTCGGTTGTTGGTGGTGTTGTTGATGCTGCTCAGGCGAAAGACTGGACGGATCGATGGTGCCAAACGAGACAAGATTCGACATGTCGAGGTCCTCCAGGTTGTCGTCTCCCATTGGTGAGCGGAAAGGCAGCGAGAGGGACTGCTTCGCGTACATGTCGCTTAGCGACATGCCATCATCCGAGATTGCGCTATCCTGCGACATCGGGTAAAGGTCTGCCGAGGAAGCGCGACCAAGCGAAGTTAGGGGTGGCGACTGGTTCGCGATGATGGGATCACCATGACTTATTGCCGACATGGGAGACATGGACTGATGCGACATGCTCGACTGATCGGGCAGCGGTGACAGATACGGGTTGTTGTACGGAGTGCTGAAGTTCGCAGCAGGCATGTTATCAGGGCCCGGGTTCGAGGTGAAGAAACCGGGGGTTCCATAGTCCGACGGAGAGTTGGCCGTGGTGGCAGACATGGGGTACTGTCTGAAATCCATGCCGTAGCCAGCAGAAGTGTCGATGCTAAGGTTCGGTCCAATGGGTCCTGACATGTTGTGCTGCGGGACAGGCGCATAGATTTCCTGCGGTTGCGGGGTATATGGCGGGGCAGGATAGGAGGTCTGCGGAGGAGGCGGAATCATGAATGGCTGCATGGGGTTCTGACGCAGCATCGAGAAGTCCATGGCCACGGGCACCGACCTACTCCTCTGGCGCTTGTGGCCGCGGTGAGCGGGGGGAGGCTGGAGGCCACCGGGCATTTCAAAGGGGCTCTCCTGGTACATGGGCGCGGCGTGCGGGTGGACGAAGTGGTTGGGCTGCGACGCCGGCCTGTGGTTGATCGGCGAAACCGGAGCAGACATGGCCAAGGCGTTCGGGTCGTAGAAGTTGTGTCTGTTCTGGAACGACTCGAGCGAGACGAGCTTGGCCAATTGGCCGCTGAGGACCTTCGGGTGGCCGCCGAGGTGATGGACAAGCATCTGCGACGCTTGCTGGTCCTCGGTGAAGTCACCACACTGGTAGAAGCCGCCAGATCCCGAGGAGTCCATGAAAAAGTTTGGCGGTCTGGTGAGTTCAACAACCAGGCCACCGAGTCTTGGCGAGGCGCCCTCCGCGTTCTGTCCATCGCCGAGCTCAAGGGAGATGTTCTTGATGTAAGCGAACGGGTACTCGATCTTGTAGCCGGCCGAGTCGTTGTTGATGTAGTAGGTGACGCAGCACTTCTCAGGCGAGTAGAAGATGACCAGGTCCATAGCGCTCTGTCCAACGCGACGCCACGTGCCGATGCTCAGAGATCGACAAGCGAAGTGGTGGATGACTACCAGCAGGTCAGTACGATGCCATGTCAGCGCGCATGGCTGATGCGACTACTCACCAACTTTGGACGAGCTGGTCTCGGTGTTGAGCAGCATGCCACTGCCATAGGGCATGCCACCAGTGCGACCCATGAAGTCGCGGCCCAGAGTCTTGCCCGACTCCATGGCCTGGAGCGCCAGGTATCGCCGCATTGATTCGGGGATGTCATTGCAGTCCTCCCCG